CATAAATTTGTTCAATCATGTCTTAAAATCGTCACATATTAATAATTATGAACAACTTTTCAACGGGAGCTATGCTGTTTCTGGGTTTCACAACTATAAAAAAAAACAACTAGCATTAAATGGAGAACAATTCTGAGAATGACTTTTGTCCGCCTAAATCAGCTATTTTGCCCACTGTGCGGCGCGGCAACGCGACTGTTATTTTCCCTACCTGCCATTATAGTCTTTTTTTATTTTTATTTTTTTAAACAATACGGACAAATATTTAATTAACAATGAGAAATATAACATGGTAAATCTGAATAAAAAGATAACATAGATACAATATAACGGGTTGAATGGACGGGTACAGCCAAAAACCGCACATTTCATCGGTTGCCAGGTAAGTACCGGTGCCAGGTAAATACCCCACACTTATATTGGGTAAAAAGAGGTACAAGAGGTACGTAATAAATGAATTGTAAACGCAAGGCTTTTAATGACATTCAAGAGACACCGCAAAAAATAATACGCTGAGAGATGTCATCCATAGAAAATAATACGATAATAGGAAGTAATGACGTAAGCTTAATAAGAGTATTCAAAATATTATCCGTCCAATTAAAAAACAAGTTAGTTAATAAGCACATTTTAATATTTTTAATACATCATTTTGAATGAAATTGGGTTCATTTTTAGGATTACTTGTTTAAATGTTGGGAAGAATTTTTTAAGGATGGGGATCGTTTGAAATTTCTAAAAAACGTTAGAAATCGATTTCAGCAAATAAAATTTAAATCATTTTTTTTAAATTTTATATCTTAAATTTTTCAACATATAAATTGTACCAAAAAAATGTTTTTTGAATATATATATATATATAAATAATAGTTTATACGACATTATAAAATGTGCGGTTTTTGAATACAGCAATTTTAAAAAGTGTGCGGTTTTGCCCTGAGTTTTATCATCTATATTTTGAAGTCCATGAATGATCCAGTTAACTGTTATTATTAAAAGTAAAAATTTAACTTTATTTATACATGTTTATGTATAAGTTTTTTTTTAACTTTTACGTTTATTAATGGTTGTTATTTTTCTAACTTTTTTTTGAACATTTCCATCGAATGGAATGTACTAGTATGTGTTGTTTGGTATACGAATAATTATTGTGTATAATTTTTTTGCCTTCCTTTAAAACAATAACACTATTTTACACCTATGCACTTTGCAATAAGTACTAAAAATATATAGGTAATACCTACATGCATTTATAAAATAAACAAAGATAACAGTTCAATAATAGGTAAACAGTTTTCTAGAGATAATAAAATATCGTTTTTTTTTTGTGGTGAAAAATATACATTCGGACTTCTTATCCGACTTTCAAAATGCCATCTGGAAATATTTTTTAAAAACACCCTCATTTGAGTCGTTAGCTCATTAATGAATAAAAACGAATAAAATGTGAAATAATTACTCCTTAATAATATGTCATGCTGGCAGCACAACTAACACCATTAATAATCGTATATTGTATACAAGTATTGTTAGTGTTGGCATTACTGAGAGGCGGTTTTTTTAAGGGCGGCGATTTGTCCGGCGGCGTTTTGTCGATTTTTGTCCGGCGACGTTTTGTCGGGCGACCTTTTGTCGTGTTTCCGGGTCACACAGTGAATTAAAAATAGTACAGCCTTATTGTATTAATTATGAAATGTACAAGTTTTCCCCTTTAAATAAACAATACTAGCCGCACAACATACACGAATAATAATCGTGCATTTTTTATAAATATTGTATATGTTGGTTGGTACCCCTTCGAGTGGCTGTTTGTCGAGTGGCTCCGTGTCGATTTTCGGTGGTTGTTTGTCGAGTGGCTCTTTGAGGTGTAGATATATATCATATATATTATAAAAAACTAGATTGCTAACTGTACATGCCACCAATAGAGAAGATTAAAGCAGCCACTTTCCGCCATCTTGGTGGGAATTAGAACCTTATCACGCGAGAATTCTATATGTTTATAACAATCACATATATATATATATATAATATTGATATAATAATATATACAGATATATATTATATGCATTGATAACACACATAAATCCCACCAGAATGGCGGACCGTCGACTTCAATTCTTATCGCTAGTTACTAATCTAGTTTATTCATAGACCTATAAAGATATTTCTTTATAGGTCTATGAGTTTATTCACGATGTAGAGAAGATAAGTTGACGCCACTCCAACCAAATCAGCGGGTCAAGAAATTACGGCATTTTGGTAGTACAGTTTTATCACGTAGATAGCGCCACCATTCGCCCGAAAACCGACTTTTACATGGAGCTAATAGGGTTTTTTACATATTATACGTTACTGTCATTTTTATTACTAAATAAAAATATATTACATGTAATTTTATTTTATTACAGGACTATAGATTACATATTATTTTAAAAACCACAATTTTCGTATGTGTAGTCTAATTAAATGTACTATTTATTCTAATTAGTAATTCCTATTCCACAAAATACGTTTATAGTCGAACGATGACTATCATTTTATAACAATATATGAAATTATTCTATACGATATATAATATAATAACAGGTATTATGTACAAGAAAAAAATTGTCCTCAACCCCTCCCTCCCCCTTCCTATATCGAATTTTAAGCACCAGAGAAGTTTTTTCAAATTGAGTTTATAGTTGTTGAAGGTCTAAAGAATAATTCGTCCAAAAGAATAACGAAATTTCTGGACTTACAGTTCCGAAGATATTTTAATTCTTACTTAGGTAGCCGCAATTCCCCTTAACACTTAATAATTAAAATATAATTATTAAATTATTATTTATTTACTTCAAGTTCTAAATTACTTCAGAGAGTAACATTGTAACAGTTATATAATAAATACCTATAATATATTACTTAAAACACAATTTTTTTTGGCTTTGGGGGGTTTAAACCCGAACCCCCCCCTGTAATACACCACTGTACATAACAATACATTCTTTCCGATTATTTTAATTTACCCCTGAAAAATAAGCATCGCTTGTGTAAGGTGGATATTAATTACTTTAATAAACCCCAATTAAGTGTCTTCGAAAGCCCGACTACCGTGTAATTCAAGCCCAACCATACGTGCAATGCCTAGGGACGAAGTAGCGACATATTCTCTGCATTGTGTTCCTAGAGATGATATTTGCATCACAAATAATTGTTTATATTTTGTGTCTACATAATAAACCGTGGCATATATAATTACAAAATACTGTTGTTCTTATTCATTTTTACAAATAACATTCATTGACTAATGTAGATCTTTTAGATTTATAATTTATTGGCAATATTTGCTCTACTATAGTTTTATTCTATTATTCTGATCTAGAATTTAGAAATTATGACCATGTATACTAATGACTTATTAGTATTGGAATACTACTTTATATTAGTAGAGTAGCTAAAATAATAAAATAAATAACTGTGCTGGACAATGACTAGATTAGAATAAATTTAATTTAATTAATTATGAAAGCTATATTCTAGTGCCAATATTTACTTTAATGCCATTAAAAAACACAGTTTTCGCAATTAAAAAGTTAAGAAAATAATTGTTTTACTAAAAAGACAATAAAAATAATAAAAACTCCAAATAAAGAATAATAAATAAAAATAAAAAATAAAACGTTTATCGTCCATAAGCCGCATAGAAAATATCGGCCTCCGGGCGAATGGTGGCGCCACCTGTACAGCGAAGCTGAACTACCAAAATGCCTGAAGCATTCGACCCCAGATTTTTACTGATAAGAAGTTGAGTGGTGTCACCTTATCTTCTCTACATCGTGAGTTTATTATATTTATCTGTGGTGCTCCCATAACTTGCTTGTGATTAACTTAATTTAAGATAAGATTATTTAAATAAAATTTGATTATAAAACAGAAATCTTGGTTATGACTTTTGACTTAAGGTCTTTTTATAAAAACAGCATAATTACTAGAAAGTAGAAAGACTACTTTAATAAATCTTTAGGTTTAGAAAATATATTAAATTCTAGCGAAAATTAATTAATAATAGAATATCAAATTAGTCAACAAATAGTATTTTATGTTCATCCGAGGACGTTTTATACACAAAAACGTTAAAATGTCTATCGCGGACAGCGAAAGCGGAGGAAGCAGGAGACCGATGAGTGGAACTCCTCCTCCTCTTCGACGGACTTAATAGTAGTTAAAAAGAAATCAAGTAGCATAAGGGCCCGAGACTTATCCCAAGATAATGAGCATTGAGCGGACGCGACTGGTTTATGGAGTCAGCTAAGGCGAACCAAAATCAGAAGAACTTCAGTAGAGAAATTGTCAAGGGCATAACGGACAAAGCAAGGGCTCTGAAGAATTAGATCCAGGAGGAGCGGTCAGGTCCCTGGGGGTTACACGGAACATTATAATAAAACATTTCCATGATTCAATGTTTTTCCGGGGAGCGGAAAGAATAACACTATATTTTTTATAATAAAGTATCAAACCAAAATCAAATTTAGATGATTTATAGATACATTTTGCGTTTTTTAATATTTATATTTGTTAGTTTTTTTAACGCTTATTATAAAGATAAGTGAAAAAAATTGCCTTTGCCATAGTATAATAGGTAACTTATAAATACAATGTGTTGGATAATTTATAAATGTTTTAATAAAAAGAAATAATTAAGAACTAATTCACTCCTACTTAGTGATCATAAAAAAAAATCAATACATTCTTTCTTTGCTTAGAGTGTAAATAAAATAAAAGACAAGGTTCAACATTTTTTCCAATAGGCAGATTCTTTGTTGAAGGCCGATAAAAATTTCAATTTCAGTGTGCCAAAAAGTCTCACTCCGGCGCTAGATATTATAAATCCACTATCTAGTTTGATTGGCATACTATAAAAATTCTTAAAATATATCAGTAAGGACTGAGGTTCAGGTAACTTACACACCTTGTACACATAGGGCACGGTGAAGTTAATTTAATTCATTTCCAAATTCAATAACAACAATTTTGATAATGTATTTATTATTTTAATAAAAAAAACACTCAATTTGTTCAAACTTCGGTTTATATCTTAAATAAAAAATGATTTAAGATATATTTATTTAGCTTTATAATAAGTAAAAATATTATTGAAGTTCATTAATATAAAAAAAAATTATAGTAATAAATAATTTTGTTATAGTCTTTTTGACCAAGAAAGAAAATTTTGCTGTTAAGTTATACTACAGATTATGATAAGGGCACACACTCAGGCTGACTAAATGGTCCAAATTTACCACTAACGTCCCTAGCTCGAACTGTAAAGTAAAATCGTTTGTCCTTGTTGCTCGACTAAAACACAAAAATAAAATTTGTTTAAACAGTTTTTAATAACTTAGGTAGTTCTGTAGTGTAGTAGAGATCTTACCAACTTTAATGTACATGTCATTGGTAGGGGCAATGCTTTGACTTCGCCAATTAGCACCCACTGTTTTGGCTTTTTTGCATTATCCCATAACTCATAGCTATAAACTTCAAAGCTCTTGATGGGTGTAGTGATCTGGTCTTTATCCAAATCCCATAACAACATAACAGCTATTTTATAAGACATACATTTAGTAAATAAATTAATTTAAACAATTTTGATAAAATAAAATATAGCCTTACCAGGATGTGGACGATCCTTTGTTAGTTCAAGGGTTATCTTAGGAACCGGAGGTGGTTGGTATGTTATTCCTGAACTGTCATGTAATGACTAAAGAAAAATATACAATTAAATGAAGTTTAAATATTTTCATAACACATAAATATATTGTTAAGAGATATTTATTTTCTATTATTTATGTGCTATACATATTAAAAATTACGAGCTATGAACAGTGACTTGTCTAATAATCAAGCAACATTTGATTTAAAGAAAATTGTGCAAACTACTTTTTTATTAAATCAAAAAAATTATTATCCTTGAGCTACAAAGTTTATAATAACTTGGTCAATGGCACCATTATTAATAAAATTATTTAAGGGGAGAGGTGTGTAAACAGCCGTTTTGCCAGAATTATTTTGAAGAAATGGTAAGATTTAATAAAATGAAATAAATAACATCATAAAATTGTCAATTCAGAGTATAAAATAAAAAAAAATTCATATCGAAAAAATAAAAAATGGTGGTGTTGCAGCTGCTTGAATCTGGCTTTTTGTTTTTGCCCCGTAGAGCATACAGGTCGCTATAATTCTCTTAAAAAAAATTGCAAAATTTTTCTGTTAATGTAAATTTATAAGCTTAGCGTGAACTTGAAATAAAAAAATTAAATTATAAAATTCTGGATCATTTTTGACGAAAAATCCCAATTTTTTTAATAACATTTTTTAAGAAACAGTATTTATTATAAATTAAGTAATAATTTTGATCAATTTTTATTGTTTTATATGACGTATGAAATATATTTAATTAAAATAATGGAATTTAATCTGTGTACTCTATTTATAAGCTTAAATTACATTTATTAATAATACATAATTATATGTATGCACATATGGTCTCATTCTACACATTTACCCACTATGATAAGCAGACAAAATGTCAATGATCGAGAGTCTGTTATTCAGAGATTTCACTGTATATTATTATTTGAATTATTTTAAGCTTTACTTTTTTTTAGGATAAACATTTTGGTTATGAGGTCATGGGGGGTTATTTAACTAATGCAGTATTTGAAAGTGGAAAGGGTTGGCTTCGGTTAAGGTTGACATAGAATGCCCTGAAGTAATGCCCCAACCGGCTAGTTCTGGGGTCACCTACAATCTAAAGCGTAAAAAAAAAAGTTGACAAGATCACAGAATACATGAAATCATAAAGGACAATTTCAATGTAAACAAAAATATGGCGACCATGTTCTACACCTGCTAACTTTATACTTTAGATTCTAAGCTCAACCAAGAATTGTTAAATAATTTATGTTACATAATACAAAATAATTAATTGTTATTTAATAGTATTTTTAGTTACCTGAGCAGGTCGAGATGAGGAATCGTCATTGCTAACAGGTAATGGTATAGCTATAGGCAGAGGAATTGCTAATGGAACAGGTTTCAACATTGATAAATTTTCTTGGTTGTCTCTAACACACTGTTGGGATGATGATGTACCATTTACCTGTAATACATTTCTCTAAGTTATGAACAGCATATGAAAACATTTTTATTGCACTAGTTTATACTTACAACCGTCTGATTTATTCTTAAATTATTACTTATTTCAACATGTTCCATAACTGCAGTTACTTTGGGTTGTAAAAGCGGAATACCAGAAGTTGGAGTAATTTTACCATCCATATGTAAAGTTTGAATTACTTCGTCATTTCCCATATTACCAGTTGACATAGTGTGATTTGTATTTTTAATCTGTGGTTGTGAAGTGACAATCGCACTTTTTGAGGAACAATCATTACCAGTTTGATTTAATGGAAGTGCATGTTTATGAGGTATTTCAGTAACTTGTCTTTGTGACTGTAATACAGGGAGTTTGGGCAAAACTTTCTGTGGTTTTAGGAGTTCATCGATAACTTGCTGATTTGCTTGTTTAGTTGATGAATCATTTAATATGTATGTTTCTAGATTCTCATCAAATTCTTTTTTCCCTTCCCCATAAGAAGAGTCTGTCACTATAGGCTTACGACTTTCGGATTTTCTTAATTCAGCCAAAGTATTTTGAGATTCCTTTTCCTAAAAAACAAAAATAAAATAAATGGTAACATTATTCAGTAAAAATGTTATCTATGTTATGAATTTGTACATATAATCAATGATAGAATGTATCAAACAAGTAAATATCAGTGAATAAGTAAGTCTTACATTATTGTCTAAAGTAGCCTGTACACCAGTGGTCGTGTATATTGGTCTACTATGATTCTTTAATTTAGCCAACCTTTGTTTATCTTCTAGCACTGCTATCCTTATTTCATTTATTTCTTTACGCAGGCTCAAGCAGCCATTTTTTAAATTTTGTTCTCGTTGTTTAACTGTGTCTAATAAATAACGATCTTTACCCATTGAACTAGTATCAGTTAAATGAAGTGCTATTTTTTGCATTAGAATACTTTCAAAAAGCTATAGTTAAAAAATGTCATATTATTAGTTGTTGTAATTTTTTAATTTTTAATTTTTTTAGTTTACCTTGATGCCAGATATTGGATCCTGTAACATTCTTAAAATAACTGGCCAATTTTGTTTAGAATATTCTACAGTGATACCGTCAGATGAAACATTCATAATAAAATTACTATTTTCACTATCATCATCACTATCAGTATCAAGTGTAATGCATGGAATAGCAGATTGATCAGTACTGCTTATTATGTCAGTACAAGCAGAATCCGATATGGGCATCACATTTTTACGATCACTGTTCACATATAACACAGATGAGTTAGTAATACTAGGTGGATTTTGCTGCAGAGAAATATCACTCTTGCTGGCCATTTTATTATTCAATGTTCTATTAATTTCCTCATTAAATTGATTTGCAGTAGTATCCTCTTTTGATACCTAAAACATAATATTATATATATATATATATATATATATATATATGTTTTGTCTAAAATTTTTAATGAAAAAAAAAATATTTATTAACATGTTAATAGGTATGACACATATTCACTTCATCTTCGTATATTTTTCCAATAGATTGTAATTTAACCCTAATAAATTTAGTCATAAATTATTTCAAGTTACAAAATGTGTACATGAGTCATATTAGTTTTTTTAAAAAGGTTAATTTTTTATCCACACTGAGGTATATGCACACAAAAATGATAAACAGTGAACGTGTTAAAATTATAAAATGGAAAAATAATTTTAGAAAACTTGTTTTTTTGTAAACAGTGGCATAATTTAGACAAAATTGTCTTTACCTTTAACATTTTAGGCTTAAATCGACTTAACCACCCCTACCCTAATTAAAAAAAAATTGTCAATGCTGATTACGAATCTTAAGTCAGAAATCAACGGACTCTTTTAGTTCAAAAGTTAAAACAAAAATTGCTAACTTAACGACCCACGACGCCTCGGGCAATACAGACAAGTATATTTCTTTAAGTTCAAGTAGCTGTGACTTAATAACTAAGTCCACCCAAATTTTTTTTTTGTAACATTGTTTTCAGCATAGAAAAATAAGTCGATTTGTTCCAAATTTTATAATTTTATAAGAAGTGTATGTGAGATTTGGTAAAAAATATGAGGGGCATGGTATGGTGCAGAAGTTAACTCAAGTAACACATAGCACCTGGCCTTCAGCTGCAACAGTTATGGGTGATCATTTGAGATTTTTAAAGGTAGCCTATACCATGTTACAACTTAAAACCAAACAACCCACATGAAAACGACAACTAATGACCTAAATTGCTAAAGCTGATGAACAAAAATATTGTATTTTTTATTTGTTGTGAAACTTTTTCTGAAACACCATCAAATTTTCAAACATCAGCAATTATGTTACATTATTTCTAACACAATATTTTAACATTTTGACGAGCAAATTAAGAATACACAGATGCTACTCAGAGAGCGGATTAAGAATGGAAAAAAAAAATAAAAAGATTTATAATTTGGGAGCAATGACGTGTATGTACATTGTACACATTTCATATTTAACATAGTATAAATTATTGCTAATAGAATAAAGCACATAAATCACAATGGGTTTTATAACACTGTGGTTTATTAGATAATAATAGTTTATAAAATAAAGAAATGAAAAACACTGGCAGTAAAATAGTATACATACGTCAACGCTCCATTTTGCAAAACTTATAAAATTGTATAAAAATTGCTTGTCAAAGGATTAAAGACATAAAAAATGTTTTTATGGTCTTATGGAACATCACAATTATTTTAATATGATATTTTTTCAATATGGTTAAAATACTGTTACTTACATATTTATGTGGTTTAACAGGAGCTACATTCTCATTAGAACATCTTAAACGTTTTTTATCGTTTTCCAAGTTATCAGTTTGAACACGCTTACCATTGGTATTAATAAGTAAATCGTTGATTTTGGTCATTGTCATAATGACATACGGTAGGTTAACACTGACTGACCTAAAAAATTAAATTGTAAATTAATTGTACTATCTTACATACAGGACTTCCAAAATTTCATGGATCAGTGATTTTTGTTGTGAAATAATTGTTTTATTTTTATCATAATATGTGTAATGTTTTTAATAATTTAAAACTTACCCTTTAAAACTACCATACTGATACAATTTTTAGAACTTAAACAATAAAATATTTTATTAATACTTTAATGGAAAAATATATTTAAAACTAACAAAGATTTTACCAGACCATTTTTCAGGAAAACAATTATTTCTTAGTACCTAAAGTTAAAATGTAATTTGAATCAAAGCAGGTGAGTATAAAGATATGCAATAAAATGTAGTGTCAAAGAAAAGAAACTAGACTACGCTAAATTGTGAAGAATATTCCTACAGTACTAAGTTTGAAAAAAGTATAAATAAAAAATGGGATTCTACGAAACACACATAAATTTGGTATAAATTATGGAAAAAAAATTACCAAGTAGATATAAAAAAGTGCGTTTTATTTTGAATTTAATGCTATGCAACATAAAATTAATAATACGTATTAGTCAGTTTAAAAAAAATTATTTGCGACATAAATTGAATTTTGCATTAAAATATTTCACGAGTAGTTTATAGTCTTACTTATATGTATTCTGGAGATACAGTCGGGGAAAAAACTCTGTAAACACACTTGAATTAATTTACGACAAAAAACAACACTAACTAAAAAAATTGTTCATTGATATAAAGTGCTTATTGGGAGACAATAATTTCGTGCACATACAAGAATATTGTTTTTATCACGACTTCTTACATTTCAGTTATGGATATTGTATTGTTACTAAAAATTATCACTTCAATTTTGAAAAAATGATTGAGTAGACTACAGAGTAAGATTCGACTACTGCAGCTGCTGCTTATTCGACAATCGACGCCCTTCTTTAAAATATTAGTTATTGCAATATAAACAAGCACACACAACTCACAAGCCATTTGGAGACAAAAAACATGGAAGAAAAAATAATGGCGGGCGATAAAGCATAGATTGTGGACAACAAGAATAATATAAATTATTGATAGGCATAGGACTCGATTATTTATTTATTTTATTATTAAATATTATATATGGCTAGACTACCGCGTTTTAAATTATATCATTTTATTATTGTATTTTACGACTATTTTGTATTGTATATTATATGATTTATTTTTATCGTCTATATTGTCTATACTCTATGTAGTCTATAATTTGATTTTCAATTCCTAATTCTATTTAGTCTAAGGTTTTATACAAGCTCCGTTAGTAATATATAGCTAATGAAAGCAACTTATGAATTAATTTTCTATACTTTGGTCCACTTAAGAACAAAACCTGCACAGAAACTGAAACATGTTAAGTATTCAAGAATTGCCCCCTGGTATGTATCTGAACTAAATGAAATCCTATTGTTTTTTTATATTATTTACTTTGATAAACAACTTTAGACCCAATGATCATTTAGATTAAAATAAAATAAATTATCATAAATAGACCTCATTATTTTTTTTTAAGTACAACAAATAGTTTATACCAAAGAATTTATATTTATCTAGAAAAGTTAAAAGACCTTTGTTATTATTTTCTGTTTAGTACCAGCTAGTACAATTTCAATATTAAAATATTTTAAGAAAAGAAGAATAATACTTCTTTATTTCCTTAAGTATATAATTAATAATAATTTGTCTTCTTATTTATTGGCTTAATATAGGTCATTCAGACACTTTGACGCAAACATCACTTCTCTTCATTCCTCACTCTTCATCACCAAGATGACAAGATTTTGGAGACCATGTCATATCCTTTTTTTGTCAAACAATATTTAGCTTAATATTTAACATTTAAAATTGCATTTTTTTACGTTTTTAAAATAGCTATAACTTTTTACCACGTTGTTATTTTCCAAAATCGGATATGACATTGTCTCCAAAATGTTGTTATCTTTAGATTTTATAATATCGCCTTTACGGTACATTTAACTTCTTAATGAGAAGAGAGTATCACATCTTCTTAAGCCTAAAACGTATTATAATATAATAAATAACACTGAAGGCAGTAGTTTTTTTTTTAATGCATATGGCTTCGACAAAAAATATTAAGTAATACGAATTACAATTACAATTACAATAACAATAAAATAACAATATATGAATATAAATTGATTAATAGATATAAATATAAATTTAATTTTAACTAAGTAACAGTAAAAAATTAGAAGAAAAATAAGTAGCGTACAATATCTTGAGGTGGAAACAGGGGTAAACAGTACGATGTTGTGGGTAGAAATAGAGGATTATAGACGCACATCCAGTTCGCCCATCCAGTCCACTGCCTTGGAATCGCACCCGTGAATGCTTTCAATCCCACCTTCAAATTTTGTTTGAGGGCATTCCTGCACGATGTGCTTCACTGTTTGTTCCGCTCCGTATGTGCAAGCAGGTGATTCTGTGAAACCCCATTTGTATAAAAGGTAATTACATCTTCCCTGGTCAGAACGGATCCTGTTTAGTGTTGACCAGATTGGACGAGGCAGCTCAAAACCAGGTGGTTTTATGTTTGGGTCGTCAACCAGGAAGCTGTTTTTAACGCCGGATTCTTTCCATTGTTTTTTCCATAACTCTTGTGGGGTTTCTTGTAAGGTAGTAGTAATATATATAAATATATATGTGTTTTTTGTTAATTATTGGCTTCGATAATTGAAAATTATGTATTTCTTTACCAAATTTATATATTTTTTTAAATATATTTACAATCTATAATATTAGGTACAATGACTACATTTGAAGAAAATTATACAATGACAGGACGACATGATAGAAGGGGATGTGCAGTAACACTACTTTAACAATTTATAATTACTTTTAAAGTTAATATGAAGATGATATGTTCATACGTTATTTTCTAGATATCTTACATCACAAGTCCATAACAGTTTAATTGGGTCCTTTTAATAAATGACCCATCTTCCAAGAGAAATGAATAAAATTTAGTCTATCAGAGGTGTCGCAAGGCCTAGGTATATAGGATTAATACCCTTCTACAATTTTACTTTAACCACCAAACCAGTAAATTAAATAAATGAACAGTCTCATATCGAATAATTGAGAAAATTAAATTTTGTTTTACTATACCAATACCCCATGAACACTGAGTAAAAAACAATTTGTAAAGGTTAACTTTTCCAAATAAAAATGAATCTTTTCTGAGCTAACTCGAAGTCACAATCCTTTTTTATGCCCCCAGTTTATTTTAGGAACCCTTACACTTTACACGATACCATGGGCCCTTCGTGAAATTACATGTTATGCAGCTGCATACCCTGTGCGCACGCCTACCTAGAAATGGGTTGAGTTATAACTATTTCAGATTACTTATATTAACAATGTGAGTTTTGAAGTACCACATTTGATTTATAATACTTTACGAAATTATTTGGTAATCATTTTATTTATATGTAAATAAAAACAACATTTCAAAATTATTAATAGAACATTAGTAGAATAGTATTATCATTAGATTATGTTGATTTAAAAAAAAATTCTACACATTATAGTTGAATAATTTTATTAAATCGCTGTACATTGCGTTTTTGAAACAAGAAGCTACATCTATTTTTCTTGCTGAATCTAAAATTTGTCTGATTCTCGCTGTTTTTTTAATAGAATCCAAAGTCAAACATCAAAATACAAATCCGTAACATCTAATTTTTTTATATAAAAAAGCTAAAATCTCTACATTAATACTGAAATTAAGTAATATAATATAAAAACAATTGTATTTAAAATCAATTTTAGAAAACCATTCAAAAATACCAAACACGTTAAAAATGTCACATTTTGCTGTAGTGCTAAATTTACATTAAAAAAAGTCGTTTAATATATTAGTGGTATAATAAATGTAGAGAAAAAGTTTTACACGCAGTATCAGGTATTAAACTAACATATTTGTATTTTTAAAGAAAATGAACACATTTTTAATAAAATATGAAATACTTCAATATTTTATACTCTAAGAAATATCCCATTCAAATTTGGAAGTAATTCAACAATTTTTTATAATATTATACGCATGCCTTAAATTTACGTTGAAAAATTGTACTTTTTGCACAAAAAAGTGTTAAAGTCTTTAAGTGTTTTTCCTTAAAAAAAAGGGGTAAACATTTTCAACTTTTGCCTTAAGGTACCTTCTGTTTAGGTAAATGGATTAAAATTAATTTACTAGTACCATCGTTTTTCCCGTAACGCATGTCTTTGAGAAAAATAACTTGTATGTTGTCCTCTTAAATAATATTACTGTGACTGCTAAACCCTAGCTGTGTGTGTATATGGTGCACGAATTATTTTTTTTTAATCTTTACAAAACTTTTGAGAGAGAGACATGGTGTGGTACAGTGGAGATACTTCAGCTGTCACGCGGAACCTGAGGTTAAGTTGTGTCCGTTGCTACTTGTTCCTGGATGGGTGACCACCCGGGATTTTAAGCTGTGACCCATGCTATGTCACCACCACACGTGTTCTGCACATATACTAACCCAACTAAACCCTAAACCAATAAACAACAGCTAATGTTTATAGTAGCCGAAGCTTGGAAAAAAACTTGTTTGAGATTCCTAATCGACTGATTCGCATAGAATTTTGGTGTTTAGAATATTTTGTAAGTAAATAGAAAAAGATAAAATAATTGTAATAAAGGCATTATAAAGATTGGGCATTAAACGATTTTCAATTAAATATACTACCCAAAACATTCGCAAAAAAATCTTTAAGGGGTTAGCAATTGCTTCTATTATTTCACTCAAATACATCACTGGTAGTTTCTTAAAATTTAGAGGGAAAGCATTCAATAACTAAACTTGCCATTGAAAATAGAATTATGTCCAGGATTTGATTGCCATCTGCAGACATTAAATATCGTTTAAATTATTGTTAGTCTTAGCCAGGTTTGTAAATGTTTTATAAATTAGTTATCTATTTATTTGAATTTCCTTCGAGTTGGACTTATATTTTATATTACTAACATGGATACTGGGAGCAAAAGTTAAAACGTTTTTTTAGAAAATCTGTAGCACAGCAGGTCTTATGTTGGGTTTTTAGAGAGATTTTCTGACTGTGATTTATTATTTGCTTTTGAAACTATTTTTTTTCTTCTTCTCGATTTCCGACGTTTCACAGGTGTGCTTGGTGGAACCATCACGATAGGTACAGGCGGAGTTGGTGAATCAATAACAACGGTTTCTTCATTCTCGCTAGTCTTTACTGTAGCACCGGCAACGGATACCTCACACAAGCTAGACGAGCCATCATCACTATAATCATACAATGCAGTTTAGTGCGTACAAATATTTTGTGACTCTATAAAATAACGCAGACAACACTATACTTAGGAACGGTCAATGGAAAGAAGAAAAAGAACTAATAGTAATAGTACTATTTAAATCAGGGATTAAAAACGTTACTAGGTATAAGCCAAAATGTACATTATTTTTTATAACTACAACAAATGTTGATTAAAATTATTAATAATATAATGATCCGATAACTTAACTGATTTCAAACTGTAAGAAAAAAGTAATTTTAAAAACATCTGAAAATTAAGTTATGTGGAATGTTTGGAATATTATAAACATTTCGCCCCTAAAACGATATAAGTTCAAAATCAGAGTATTAAAATATTAATATTTTAATCAATATTTTTGTAGTTATAATAATTTTCGATTTATGGTAGGTAACGTTTTTTTATCCCTCATTTAAATAGTTATAAAAGTCTATAACTGAAAATAAGTTCATTGGCTCATGCCTCATGGAGAGTACAAAGTAGTCTTCTTCCCATAAAACTAATTTAGTAATTATAAATTATCGAAGCCCCTAAGACATTTTTTGTGTTAATATTATGGGAGAACTTTGGTTCTTCAGATCATTTAAGTTATTTGCGTTTATTTATACTGACCTTGAGTAATCCGATACTTCAACGTTTTTGGGTTGTTCCGAGTTTGACCCTAGTTCCATTAGTCTGGTACATATCTTGAGTTTCATTCGTTCCTGAAAAACAAAATGACCAGTGACCACCTGTAAGTACCATACTACCATCAATAACCCTCCAACAACCACGTGATTTTCGGTCACAATTAAGCATAGTGTGACTGGCGTACATTTCGTACCTGAGCCACGGTGTGACTGGTCCACAACCATAACCCACCCGCATAACGAAGGCTTAATGGGAATTTTAACTGTGTAAATTGGTTATAACATCAATCAACAACTAAATGTAACTAACATGAGCTAACAAAAAAGGAAAAATGTCAGCAATAAAATCCGAATTAGTGGGGAACCACCTGATTTTTAGGTGATAAAACCATTAGTATAGCGTAGAGTAGGTATACCGTATATGATATGTACCTTCCAATTATCTTGGAACAATCGAAACACATTTTATGAAGCCAAAACTCTAATAACGAATATTGAATATTGCATTATTGTACAAACTATTGTTTTTAACTAGTCCGAGTATTTTAAGTAGGAAGACTTTTAGCTTCGATGCATAACTAAAAAATAGCTATTGTATTTACAATGATGTGTTTTTTTTTGTCTAGACCCACGGTTATATCTTTTTAATCGCTGAACCGATTTCTTTGTATGGCAACTAAATAAAATAAAAATCGTATCTGTAAGGTACTTTATTGGATCGAAAACTTAAAAAGTTCATCCCTTCTCTTTTGACTGCGGTCAAATTTGATAGTTATTCCTATTTTTCGTGAAACGGGACACGGCGTACTCAGTTGACATGCCATTTAGGAATATTTCATTTAGTTTTTATTTCTTATTAATGCACACCACCACCAACATTACCCCAATAGAAATAAGAAATATTATTAAAAAAAAATAATTTACACTCGGTTACTGACATTGTGTGGATGATCGCTATAATAGTCAAGCAGGGTCTCGCAAAACGTTTTGCCCATATCTTCGAAGTCTTTGTGAGTGAAATGCGTGTCGGCCTTAGTGCCCGGCAGTGACGGGCCGCAGAACGAAGCTTCCATCGTATAACTGTTTTCCACGCCCATCAGCCACACTACTACTCTTGCCGTATTCTCCTTGGAACGATGCACGCTAAAATTGCAGTCTTCGAATGAAAACTCCACAAAAACAATTAATAAAAGAAAAACGAATTATTTATGAGAAAATATTTTACGTGCAGTAATCTAACTATCAGTGTTGTATACTTGTATGATGTAGTACGTATTTAAGACATTCGACGAGTAGGCAACAAATTTGTAACTTGGAAAATGTCTCCCCCCGTATAACAAAACTTTTGTCACAACTAATTAAAGTGATGAAAACTCAAAAGGATACAAGTGACTTTAATCAAATTTCAAAGAAGAGCTAAATAAAAAAGTTATAATATTATTGTGTTCCTAAGGGTAAGTTTTCTCTATATTTCTTCATACATAGAAAATTATTTTATTTGTCACTATATTGTATAAACGATTAAAAGCTTTTTTTATGAAAAAATATTACCTGTATTCTTTGGTTCTCAGTTTTGGACTCATCATATTTTTTGGTAGTACAAAAAAATTGTAGGTATGAAGAGGACGTGAAAAATAGGATAAATTGCGGATGGATGAAATGGAGGGGAACGTCAGGTGTTTTGTGTGACAGGGGGATACCTATAAGATTGAAAGGTAAATTTTATAGAACGGCAGTCAGGCCAGCAATGTTATATGGGTCGGAATGTTGGGTAGTAGACAAGAAAACTGAACAGAGAATGAGTGTAGCGGAGATGAGAATGCCAAAATGGATTAATGAAGTGATTTGAGATGATATAATAAGAAATTAATTCATAGGGGGAGTCTAGGAGTTGCATCAACTGTAGGAAAAATGAAAGAAAATAGGTTCAGATGGTTCGGTTATTATATGAGGAGAGATGAGTGATATGAAGCTGTTATGAAGATGAATGTAAAGGGAAAGAGAAAAAGAGGAAAACCGAAAAAAAGATGGATGGACGGAATAGAGAGAGATATGAGGATAGCTGGGGAAATTTAACGATGTATAGAAGATCAAGCTCTATGGAGGTGTAGGACTAAGGTGGCCGACCCCATCTAGTTGGGAGTGTAAGGCGAAGATCCACAATTTATCCTATTTTTCACATCTTCCACATACTTATTACCTACCATTTTTTTGTACCACCTATCCTAAGTACTTGAATACGTTTGTAGGTATAATAAGTTTTTGAAAATTCTAATAATAATTTAAACTAATGCAATATTTGATTAATCATTTAAATACCTAATGCTATACTTAATTAATATCACTACAGTACATTAAGTATTAATGCGTTGGCTATCTAGTCAAAAGGTCTCTTTTCGTTTTTCGCATCACATATTGTTCAATTCTTTTTCGGCCTGCCTGATTCGCTGATTAAAAATAAATAAGTAAACTATATTTATAATTGTATTGAACTTACTTTTTCTGGAGCGTTTTTATGCAACATAAGCGGAAACACTTGTTCCCGAAGTCTGCTGCCGTCACGACTTTTGCCTTCACAACCGTACACGAAGATATTCATTTTCCGAGAATGAGCGTGAAAATCGCAAAACAACGCCACCCGTCGTTCTTCGATTAGTCTTTTCGAAACAAAACAAAACAAAATACTAAAATAAGAAACTAAGAAACAAAGATTTTGATGTTATTTTAGTACTATGGCTTTTAATTTAAGGCAATTTAAGCATTTAAGTTTATGCTAGCAAAGGTATAAGTAAGTACTGAGTAGATACAGTGGATTCAAGTTAGCCTGTCTTGTTTTATAAAAGCTTAACGACCAATATATTTTTTAATAGTTATAAATGTAATTTAAACTTTAAAGATATGATTACACGTCATTGATATATTGATAGACAAGTATTTTGGGGCTTGGGTATGCTTTTATCGTTGCTAAAGCATACCTATTTTTTTTTATCACATAATTGCTCCCTTGTGTATTAAGTCCAAATGCTAAATTTATCGTTACGTATTACTTATTTGTGTTTTATCTTACATACAATATTTATTATTTATTTTTTTGTAGATGTAATATTTTATACCTGCGCAACATGAGTTTGGTATGCCATACGACCGGATGCGCGTCTCGATTAACACTGCGATACTGACGGTTCAGATCACGACCATTTAATGAGCACCGACTGTTGCCTACTATAACACCGTCGGGGTTGAGCATTGGTATAATTTTAAATATGAATCGATCTCGTAACTCCTATTATATATATATTAAAATAGAGTTAACTAGTTTTAAGAATGTTGGCTCGTTTTGCTTTACTTTTGCCTGAGGAGTGTCGGCAGTCAGATAATCGATCAAACCCTTCATCATCCACGATGACGGAGTTTCTGATGGATGAACTCGCGCCGTGACGACAATTACTTGTTTTTTCTGTAAATTACAAACATAATACAACATTAAATGACACCGAAATGATAATTTTTTTGTTTAACACGTTTTATGTAGGTATTAGATGTACTCGCTTTTGGGTCTTCCTGTTCTCGACAAGGTTCAGTAACAGTCAGGTAGTGGACGTTGTTACCAGCGAGTGAACGGCATAACACCCGAAGTTTAGTGAACGAAGCCTTAACTGGATCGTCCTTTAGAAAATCACAAAAATATAGTTAAATGTTATTAATATAATATGTATCATAGAGCCTTCGTAGATAGGTTACCTTGAGCTTTATCAGATAGTCCTGTAGGTCCGAATACGTGTACGGGTAGTTGTACGCTAGATATACTTGGTCTCCGTCATGTGGGAATTCTAACTGAAACGATAGTATGTACCTTAGGTTGTCCTCACTGCTGTCGCCGTTTCTGATATCATAGAGAAAAGTATACATCAACACAGTGAGACACATGCAGGTTACTTTTCAAGGGGGGTTATGGTAATTGCTATAATATACTTGTAAATCTCTAAACATAGGAGTAATTTTAAACGTACCTCTTGAAAAAGGTATCCTGCCCAAAACATAATTAACATTTAAAACCCCCTTCTATAAATTTCTACTCTCAAAAACATTATACAATAATCAATATACATGATAATTTATAGATTTAAACATTTTTGAACGTAATACAACTTTGTGTGCTAGTAAACATTTCGGGAGAGTTATGACTCCGTATGTACCACTATGTCAACGACATAACATAACATGTGAGGTGGAAAGGGAAAAGGGATCTCTTGTCACGAGAATCCAAATCGCAGAAGAGGCCAAAACATGAGGGTTGGAAACATTTTTAAGAAAAAAAATTGTAATCTACTGAAGGGAACTTATTTTAATTTTTAATTAAGTTTCATTGTTTAAGTATGTAAAATAAAAAGTTGACCACATTTCAAAATTTGAAAGCGTTTTTATCAAAAAAGCCCATTTTCCAAAAATAAGTTCAAACAAATATAAATTGGTCAATTTTCAAGATAGGAAAACAATTCTGGTCTCAAAATGTTTAGAATTTAGTGCAGAATTTGGAATAACCATAAAAATATAATACTTTATAGCGTATACGTATTTGGGCAGTAATATTTCCAGCGCTGAAAATTGAAAGTATTATTTTTGTGGTAAAGGATTTATTTTATAATATATAACCGCACAAGTGTTGCTTAAGTTTTTTCTAGATTGGAATAAACAGTAGCTCATTATTTGATTTTTGCGACAAGAGGTCCCAAATAGTATCTTTGATTAAGAAATTCCATTACGGTCCATCATTCATGTAGTAAGTTATATTTTCGCCACAACGTCTCCAACCAGTTTTGCCTTGACAGGCATCTTCTGTTGAGTACATCAGGGGTTTCATACCAGCGGCGAACAGACTCTCCGGTTTATACATGTTGACAATTGAAAACCTATAATTCATAGTAAGTACAAAATATATATTATTATATTTACTTATACATACATATAACTTTAACTTATTAAAAATAAGAATATTTATTTTAGGAAAATAACATATATAATACAATGTTTTCATCAGGTAAAGAATAAACTGAGAGGGGATGTGGTAGAATTAGTCAGCTGTTTCTTTAAAGAGTTTAAAGTAGTTATTGATTAAATTATTTAAAGAATAAACGGAGCCCAATTTCGTTAAAAAAAGTTTAGTGTGTTGAACGTCAAATAAATTTTAAGCTCTTATGTAACTTATTGTAAGGAGTCATGACCAAGCCTTTCACAAATTGCGCATAACATGGTGGACAAAAACTGAAGAGTGTTTAATGACATCTTTCATAAATGAGTAATGACTTTAATATTTACAGTTCGAATGCATCTGACGAATTTATTAGCTATGTATATAGGTTCCCTTTTACCTTAAATTAATTTTTTTTAAATCATTCTTAAAATTGTGTTTTTTAAACTAGTAAAATATGTTTTTCTTCATTCTATACAAATGGACTTGGACAAGAATAATGGACAAGAATAATGCACTCTCTAATTCTTTCTATTATTTGCCATTTTTCTATCAATATTCATATTCACACATGGGAATATCTAAAAGAATATTTATTATATGCAATGTAGGTATACTTCGTAAACATAAAATTTAAATAAAAAATACCTGTACTAGTTTAAAGTTACCTACCCGGCTACAGGCTATGATAAATAATTGAATTATAAGAAACTACTTAGCAATATATATCTTTCATGTTAAATGTTATAACGTATTTTTATTTAATAGTTAAGTATTTAAGGGGAACGGAAAGCGCTATTTATTAAAAAGGAAGGCAAAGGGTAGGCAATATTTGACAAAATTTTTCTAATAGCCATTTTTATATGACTACTAATTTCAAGGTAAACACATATTACAATTTTCTTATTGTAATACTTTTAAAGTTATTTTTCTCTTAGTTATGACAAAAGTTTGATAAAAAATGACTTTCGTAGAAGTCATTTTCTGGCGTATCTATTGGACAGATTTCAATTTTTTTTTTATGCGAAGCTTACTATTTTTTCTATGGAGCTAAAAGACCGATTTTTGATTTAGCGATTAAAAAAGTAGTTAGATGTATAAGAAAAAAACTATAGAAAAGTAAAAATAAAAATGCTTGTAAATATTTTTTAAAACAAAAAAAAAATCGGCCTTTTAGCCCCCATAGAGAAGATGATAAACTTCATAACAAAAAAAAATTATTGAAATCGGTTCGGTAGACACTTCAGAAAGTGACTCCGCGTTTTAGTCTTTATTGGTAAAAAAATTGACGCTTTCCGTTCCCCTTAAGAGATAGATATTAAACCAACTGCCTGTACTATTAGGCTATACAAGTTCGGATACCAACAAAAATTTTTAAATACCTGTATTTTATGTTTCTTCTAGTGTTGTCAATACGAAAATAGAACCACTGCGCGTGACGGTCAGTGTACATATCAGGCCTTAGTGACAATTCGTAGTATGTGTCGGTTATCTTAACGACTTTGGCCAAGTTGCCTGACTCGAACCGGGACTCAAAAGACAAGTCAGTAGGGTCTTGACCATAGTGGACTCGCGAACATGCACCTCCCCCGACAGCCGATCGACAGAACTGTATACATTTATAATTAAATTTTGTTTTTACTTGATCATTTGAAGAAAATATGTATAGTATGAATTTAAAACCAACTCACATAGTTAACGCTACTGATCGGGTAGTATTTGTATACGACATCGCCTGAATCCTCGCCTACTTGCTTCGGTTGGATTTCCTTGCCAGTAAACTGGTACAAGTATTCTTTTTCGAGCCCTCGATTTATCTGTGTAGTGTACACGTGTGTCACGGGATCATCTAAGACCTATAAAAAACAATTAGTTGCCGAATATTACAAAAACAATACTCAAACAATAATATATTTTACATAACCAAAGGCTGCTTCATACTTTGGTCTGTAAGTTCTTTGCAATCTTACCTGACATTCCATGGGCCATCTGGCTGCTTGATACGGACAGTCTACTTCTTTCATCAAAGACAATATTTCTCTTAAGTCGCGGGGATTTGGAAACGCCTTTGTATCGTCGTCCGGATTCAGCCGGTTGTTTTTGACCGTCCGGTTCAGTAAACTGTTCAAAGTGGACCCTTTTTGATGGGTAATTAAATTAAAATCAAATAAACTGTTTTTAATTGTAAAAAATATGAGAAAAATCGAATTAACAATGATTAGCTTTAACTGATATCGAACAGTTAATTTCTACGGGTGTAGTACATAATTCTTATACATTTTTTTCTATCTAATTGAAAACAATATTTGTTTTATATTTTTTAAATTGTTTCTTTTAAGCTATATACTCGATATCTACACGATATTAGTAATTAATATTTTACCTATTACAAGTCTGACAGCGAGTATAAACTTGATGTGTATTGCTAATTTTTTATGGACTTTAGCTTCGATGCGTATAATTATTGGTTTATTGGAAGGTAATTAGTTCACAATGCCGTGTGATTTTTATTTTTAAGCCCAATATTATACTTAAAGAGCAGAGTAACAATTTATTTTCTAAACTATATAAAAAGTTATATTCCTTTTTAAATCGAATGAATAATATAGTCAGCTAAAAGCTGCAAAGAATTGTAGGTCCCGCGAAAAAGACAAACCGCGGCAAGCACTGTCGTTCAAATATATTTGGAGTTAACTTGCCTAAACAGTGTTTCGTCCGGTTATAGGTTTGTACGAAACCTATTATCATGAGTATATATATTACAATTGTACTCAATGCTGTTATACATGATAGGATAATGTAAATAGTTATCGTAGTAGTTAAATGTTAAATTTATTATTCCAAGTACAATAGAATTTTGATTTATTATGAATTAAACATGCTCCGATTGGATAAATATTTAAATCGCAAACGTGTTTAGTTCCAATTAGTGATTGTATAATATGCAATAGGCCTGGATTGCGTCCCTATCAGAACCGTGAGATATCTATGTGTATTTATCTATAGCACAAGTATTATAATTTATAATATAAAATTGTACTATAAGAGGAAACTCGCAACGGCGTTTTGGCACGATATCGACGGCCGTCAAACAAAAACTTAAGTAGCTAGGCAACATACACGCATATCCACAGCATACAAGACCTATTTAAATACATTAATTTTGATAGAATTTTCAACTATCTTAATAGCCTTAAGTGGTAACATGGTGCGGAATCACGAAACCCGGAAACGTCCAATTTAAAAGCTCTATACAGTAGCTGCATACTGTTATGTATGTACTATCATACTATTTTGCCTACATAATATTTAAAATAGCAACAATACGGGGGGAGTCGTCCTGACATTAATGTAAATTAAGTAGTAATGTGGTTATTTAACATTTATGAATATTTGAATATTTAGGTTTCAAGCTATTTTTGGATTGTTGGATTTTGGATTTAAAATACAGCTAGGTAAGTTTTTAAAACTCAATTAGCCCCCCTTGGTGAGTGATAAAACCTGCCCCGGTCTGGGGTGTTTATCGCGACCAGTTTACGGCTCCATCCCCGGCCACAAATCTAAACTTTTTGCATTTTATTAGGTTATTAGCAGATTATTACAGTGTTACAAAGCCATTATAAAAAAATTGCGATAAATTAAGTGGAGATTATGAGATTGTAGTCTGTATAATATGTATAGAGAAGGGAGGGGAAGGAAGGATAATTTCGAAATTCGACCATTCATGATTTTTCGTATTTATCTCGTTATCTATACCCCAAAACATATTCATGATTCTATATTTTTCCATGTAACCGAGAAAATTAATTTTTTAGTAAGTAGATAAATTAATATTTTAATTAATTGCAACGTTTCGCAGCACCGCTGATCAATTTTAGTGTCACTTTAATTATAATTACCACAATACAATATTTAATTTCGTTAGCCGTATAGTATTATACTACAAGAAACCATTACTAAATATCAAATATAAAGAAGACATTTTTTTTTTTAATTCAAAAATGTAATACTCATTAACTCATTGCATTTTTGAATTATGATGAAAAACATTTTTTTTCTGAGTATTCAATTGTATAAAAAAAGTTTTATCAATTTTAAAAATGTCCATCTTCATTCTTCATGTACCTTTCAATTTCAATAATTTGTGATGGCGTCGGAATTAAAAATTGGTGAACATTTTCTAAAAGTTAGGAGTCTCATTTTAGGCCAAAACGAACCAAAAAGTCAAGTGGCCATCAGAATCCCACGTTTGAGGCTGATGACTTTCGTGATTTGACGTTGAATGCTCCATTTACAGATTTGTCTGGATTTATTTTGATTCGCCACTTGGGTGACCAGTTTTCAATTAAATTAAAAATAATTTGTAGTTATAGCTAGATGTATCTTCCGGGTTATTTCCAACACAAAGTATTGCAATCTTCATAATGGTGTTAGTTGTTTTTGGTATGTCAGCGTGTAAACATTGAATAATAGTCTAAAAAGTGAATAGGAGCTTCCATAATCCATATTCGACTATATAAGTGCGGTATTAAATATAATAATGAATAATCTATGATATGGAGTAGATAGAAACCGTTTATGTTTAAAAAGCAAGCTTTCGTGTATACACGGTCAAAGGCTTGTGCTACATCCAAAAGAACATAAAAACAGAATTATATTTTTTTTTAAACAAAAGGTCCGGTACTAAGTTTATGTATTTGGTGCACAATATAATGATTAATGATTACTAATTGGCATCTAAAGCCATATTAAGAATTTATGATTTTGTTTTGAGTTTATAATATATTTTTCTAATTTCTTCATTTTTGCGACCCTTCAAATGTTGCGCCCGGGGCGTGGTTACCTTTTACTCCCCTTGCTACGGCCCTAATTAATTGTTTATCAGAGGGAATGACAATACATTTGCTTCTAGAGTGAGCACGACGTTTTTCAGAACATAACGTAACATTTTCTCTGTAAACGCTGCTGAATTTTAAAGTAAATAATAACATAAAAAAACAATAAAAATTTGTTTTTAAAAATCAAGCTTTAAGGTTTCTTTTTGTACCTACCTTTTAGCTATAATTGTTTTGAACATATTATTGAAACTTAAAGGAATATTTATAAACAAAGCAGGGCGGTTTAAAAAGCAGCTAATTTAACATCTAAATTATAATCTAATATTATAATTTCAATCTAACATATTGTGGAAATTCGTGCATGTGTATATATTTTATATATTTTTATGCACGGCTTTTAAATGAATATGTGCATATACCTTTTGAACATACGGGAAACAGAGTGTCTTGCAATTTTTTGACCCGTACCGTGATGTCAACGTCTGCACCCTCCTTGTCCATGGTTTCAACTCCAAGAACAGTTCCACCAACAAACGAACTGCTGTTGCCACTAGCTACACCGGCAATCGATAAGTGCAAAGGCATTCATTGTGGTCGTATTTCGCCTTTTATTGTCAAGTAAAATAAAGCTGTGCACACAGTGGTATCATTATAGTTATACATCACGAATATATGTGTTGTGCAACTAGTCTATAAAACATGTACTATACCAGTAGGCAGTAAACCTACCTCGCGACCTATTATATATTTTGATACGGATTGAGTTGAAAATGTGCACTTGTATAAATAAAACGCTCGCTTGTAGTTTACTTATTCTAATAAATTAATACCATCGAATAGAAATTATATTTAAGAGAACGCACACGTCCGTTATTATAGGTGTTAACTAGCTATTTCTTAAAACTGTTTTATTTTCTATTTTCAATCGACGCTAAGTTTTAAAACTTAGAGAAGAATAGAAAAAAATGATATTCACCGTGAGGAGGACGAGTGGGTAACGCGTCAGTGTGCTTGGCGATTGAGTTGACCTAATCGCCAGTACATATGTAGTTCATTTTTGAATAGTACAGAGTGGCGGAGAATGAAAGATCACATTTGTAATGGGCGCCATAATTTAAATTTTTGAGGTAGAAGGGTGAAAAAAATAACAAATTGTTGCAAATTTAGGAAATTTTTATTGGATAAGAACGTTCCATGGCTACCCCGCTTGCCGATCTCACCCTCTGCGACTTCTTCCTATGGGGGTATCTGAAGTCGAAGGTTTATGTCAATAGGACCAAGTTTCATTTCCAAAAAAGTCAGCCTATCTAAGTAAAGATCTATATTGTGGTCAAATCTGCTATTTCTTTAGTTCATAACTCACTTCACTTTGATGAGCCTCACTGGTTTTTTAATTTTTATTGTTTAACACTTGACCAGTTTCTGGATAAAGCATACAACAGACTTGACCATAATGATATCACTACTTTGATGGCCTGACTTTTTTGGGAGGGTTATCTGGAACTTGTTTTTTTCTTCCAAGTTCTCTCTTTCCCATCATTTACGTAACTCTTATACAGTGCTATTTTTATCTTGTGGGCCCCTGGGACACGAGCCTAGGTCTCCTGGTAACCCCGAAAAATACAATTTACATATTTACGTTTATTTTAGTTTTCTTAAAGGGCAACCAAACTCTGTGTGCCCAAGGGCCCCTACATAGTTTAAGACGGCCTTGCTCCTATGTGAGAACAAATGAATAATGCTACTGATGTTTTATTCCTATTCAGAAATGAAAGTAGGAGTGAAATGTGGTTATGGACTAAATAATAAGCAAACTTTGCCACAATATATGTATCACTACTTTGATAGGCTATTTTTTTGGGTATGGAACTTTTTTTCACCCTTCTTTCAAGGTTAGCTTTTTGTTGGAGATATCGTTCCTTTTTGCTGGCTTCAGCGTAGTGGCTCTCGATTTTTTTTTATACATGGCTCGAGCCACAATAGCTAGATTTATTTATATCTTACCGACGAAAAATAACACGGGTTTAAATTATAGACTGAGTTAAATATTATGACGATTCTTAAATTATTCTGTATTCGATGACCGATAAAATAAGATTTATTAATACTGCTCTCCATATAGCGGCACTAATTTTGAGGAATTTACAATTTTCAGATTTTTTTCCTTTACTTACACTCGAAGACCTACCCTTGTGCCAAATTTCATGTGAGTCAGTATCAAAATAGCGAACTTTTAAGTTCTCCCATTTTGAAAAGGCTTAATATTAAGGGCTCAATTATTTACAGTGTTCTAAACTCATCAAGAGGATTGTATGGGGTCTATTTTTTTACCTTTGAGACCAAAAAGCCAGACAAAATTTCGACTATTTAAGATGGTCCTATTTCAATTCTGTAAAGATAAAAAGAGTTCTTTGGCAACTTTACTAGGTAATGTAGAATAATGATTTTTAATATTTTGCTTTTTTATGTACAAATTTTGAGTTTTAATATTGAACAAATTACAAGAAACGGATTTTTTAAATGAAAATTAGTTTCCTACAAAATATAGTAAATAGCCAAAGAACTTGAGTCTCTTGAGAATCTTGAGTCTCTACAGAATTGAAATTGGACCATCTTTTAGACGAAATATTGTCTGGACTTTTAGTCTAACATAAACCAAAATGGCTTTTACTCGTAGAAAAAATTATTTAAATTAAAAATAATACCTTAAAGCTTATACAAATTAACCAGTAAATTAACTGACATGGTCGAAATTTATTAAAACCTCTTTTTTCTTAAATATTGCCTATACAAAACTCCTTAAAAACAAACTGCGTGCAATCCCCTTAGGGTCATTCTATGTTTCAAATAGAGATATGAGAGTTAGAAAAACCTGGTGAATTAGTTAGGTTGAGGGGTCAATGTCTAAGTACTGCCCCCTGATGAGTATGACGGCTTCTTAAAGTAGTGAAAAGATATTTTGACTGTAGAAGCTTTTAAAGAAATGCAACATTATTGAAAGACATTCGATGGTGAAGTTAATTTATATAGAGCTAAATTGTTTCGATTAACAACAATTGGTGGTCATCGCCTAGCAAAAAAAAATGAATTTTCCTTTTTTAGGAGTTAAATCAATAAACGTTGCAGAATTTATAGAAATTACTTTGTTTATTATACAATATATTATCGGAGAACCTATGCCACTTGATTTTAGCTTCGTTGTTGATACTTCACAAGCTTAAACAATATTAATTGGATATATTTAATAAGCATAATGATAACAATAATATTTTAAATAATTGTATGTATTTATGAATTTAAATATTACACTCCTGGGTGTTTATTAAAAAGTAATATGATTATCTGATTTCTATTAATTAATAATTACAAACGAAAAAAAATTTAATACCTAAATATTATTATTTTTATTTAATTAAAAACGTATTACATTTTATTGCACTACATTTTTCGCAGTATGGTAAACATTTTAAATATTGGAATGGATAAAAATTTGTATGTCTTCGATAACAGTAAATTATTTGTAAGCAACATTATTCAAAATACACAATACATAAATCGTAATTATGAACAAAATTGAAGCAATTAAATTAATAAAATGTATGTACAGTTAATATTGATGGTTTAGCAGTTGCGCCAACAGGATATTTTTAATTTAAACTAAATACTTTTTTTCATTTAAATACAAACAAATTATTTTTAAATAAAATGTATGCAATAAATTAAATATATTATTTAATAATTTATTTAAATTAACAAATTTTTGGAAAGGCCAATAAAAATGTAATTCGAATGTCATTATTTTCAAATTATTATTTATAATTAAAAAAAAAAAAAATCTAATCTAATGTAACAATCAAGAAACAAAGGGAGAAATGTTGTATAATAGTACCTAGTTATGAAAATTAATTAGGCTACCTATATTATATTGTTTAGCGATTATTCTTCGGAATAGCCCAACAATTTTTTTGTTATTAAATAATTTAATTTAATTTTTACAATTTAACTTCCAGAAAGCACCATCATTTAGAATATGAATATTTGTTTTTCTATACTTATTAACTTTTATGTTTTGATTTATAGAGTACAGAAATATTATAAGAGATTTATTAAAACGATGGTAGATTTTTTTGGGGGAAGGGTAAGCAAAACAATTTGTCGTCAACCTGAAATTCTTAAATGTGCTACAACTGGCCATGCTAACTGGACAATTTTTTTTTTTTAGTTAAAAGATTTAATTTAACTTTATAAATAGCCATTTTAGTCACGCGACATAAAGTCTTAATCGTGATTGTCACACATTAAAAATAATTAAAATTAAAATAGTTCTCACTTTGCAGTTTAACAAAATACCAGGTGCAAAAGTATGAAAAGTTGACTGGGATTTATGCATTTTGGAGTGGTAGCAACCATTAACAGTATTTACATTTAGTTTGTTGAATTTTTTATGTTTTATTAATAAAAAATTGTTTTAAAAATTGTTCTTCTATTGGATGTAATTTACCAACAATAACCATGGAATGTAATGGTGGTCCTAAATCTACATCAGCCATTTCTGCTAAAGTAGCTACAACAATTTTTTGATCTGGCCATCCAACACGAGCCGCGCCAACACACAAACATTCTCTTGACACATCTAGAATACAAGTTAAATTAATTATAATGGACTATAAATATAAAACTTTAAATTATCTATACTAGCAGTATCTTTCTTTTTCATTAAGAACCCAACACAAATTGTTAAAATAACCCAATCTCTCATTTAGGATAGGGCATAAGTAGAAAATAGTAGAAAATAAGTATGTCATAAGTAAGTCATGAATACCAAATTTTTGGAAAATAAATCATTACTTCATGAATGACCTAAAATGGTACAGCTGTGAAAAATGACTTGTTTCTTTTTCAATATCCTGAACCTAAGTTATAATTCCAAAAAATAATAACTAAAATTCCATGTCACAAGGTGATATTCAATTTTTTGTTTGATTAACTTGTGTTGTGTCTCAAATTCATCAATTCATGAATTGATAGGGTTTAAAACACAAGTCACTGACTAGTGTAGTTTCTCCTTTCAATATTTTAAACCCAAGGGTCATTTATTGAAGAGTATTGAAATCCGCCATAAACTCATTTTCCACAATAACCTCGACACATGTTGTTTCTAAAATGACTGATTCAACTACTTTTTTTTTACCTCCAACCCACCCAGTTTTGATCATTTATTTATTTATTAACATTGTTTCACAAATAAGATTGCATTAATAATCATCAGGAATAATCTTATTGAACTAAGATCATGAAACCATTTAACCATTACCATTTTAACCTTAACTATTTTTATGGTTAAGGGTTTTTTATTATTATTTTATTACATATAACTATAAGCGCTTAAGTTTTTTCTAGATTAAACTAAGGTTATGGAAATTCCAAATATTTTAACACAGACCTCTGCAGAATCAAAATCTATTACCTAACTAGCCTCATGTTAAAAATATACATATTATGTAATATGTTTATTAGCTTCAATGCGGAGCTGAGAAGGTATTGTTTTTACAATGATGTGTTTTTATTTTTGTGTCTGGAACCACGATATTTCGTAAACCGCTGAACCAATTTCTTCGTGTAGCAAATCTATAGATTAGAAATCATACCTGGAAGGTAATTAAATGGGCAAAAAATTTAAAAAGTCACCTCTTCCCCATCAAAATCAAGAAAAACAACCAAAAAATGTACAAATTTTTCAACTTAAAATTACGATACTCTATAATTTTTTTAAAAATAGTCGAAAAAGTTCCAAATTTATATGAATTGTTCTTAAAACAGAACTAAACATTAACAAATCAAAAAATACCTTTTCCTTAGAAGGGATAGAATTTTTTTTCTTTATTTCACTTTTTCAAGGAAAGTTTTTGAGATTTAGATCTGAAAATTAGACCGAAGGTAGATCTAAAATGGAACTATACCATTTACAATTTTCTCAAAAATCTGTAGTCAAATTTTTTTTTATTAAGGAAAACCCCTAAAAATAGGGTAAATTTACACTTTGACGGTAGTCAGTCTAGGTTGCTATGTGTGAGTGAATCAACAGTCAACAGGTAACGAAAAGATTTTCATTATATTGTTAATTACGATATATGGGTAGCTATGACAATACATATGTTTATAGACAGACGATCCACCCTGCATAAGACTAAATATTAAATTTTAAATACATTATTGCTGGTCCCACAATATCTTCTAAACCACTATAACTGGTTTGAACATACTATCCACAGATTCGCATCGAAGCGTTTATTTAAAAGTGATTTTATCACTTTCAGTTATAATAAAATCTGTAGACCTGAGACCTCTCCGTCCCCACTATGCCCCGACCCCACTGTACTGGCTTTTTAATAATACAAATAGCTGTTTAGTAACATAATTCTTATTTTTTCAGCATATACTTCTATAACTATACTGAAAACTAATAAATACTTACAATTTACTTCTTCAAACTCTCCTTTGTTAATAATTTGCAGTAACTGTGAACAAGCTTCTTTTACCTCCATAAATCTGGAAGGTTGATATTCTTTTTTTTTTTTAGTTATACTTTCCCATGTTGGTTCTTTAACTTGAATATCTAAATAATTAATGCAAAAAATAATTTATGGTAATATGTAAATGCAGATAACAGCATTAGAGACCTTATCTTTGTTAATAGCTCAAAAAATTATTTTTTTATAAAAATAGTATAAAACTTTGTATAACTAGACTGAGTTATCAGTATTTCCTAAAAACATAACTCACCAAGTAAGCATAATGTATGTAAGCCTATTGCTTTGTTTTGATTTATTTTATTAAGAAAACTTGAAGGCCGCCAGATGTCTGTCCAAAAAGGTATAGATACAGTTTCTCCAAAATGATACAGCTGATAAAAAGAAAATATATATTTAATAATCATTATAAGTATAAATTACAACATTGTACTTTTGAACATCCAAAAATCACCTGGAGTCCACAACATCCTATTGCATTTAATATTGAAGCATTATGAACTACTTTAGTGTTGATGTTCAAATCCCGTGCTCTTAAGAGTATATCAGCATGTGTAGTCGCCCCAAAAGGATCGCCAACTACAAGTAATACAACATCTTTTTCATGAGCGCTATCCAATATTTCATCAGCAGATTGTTCCACCATTTCTCGATCAGCTTCGATCAGTGGTTTCTCATAAAATGTTTCCTAAACAATATTAATACTACCATAATACACAATTTGTCGACTACAATGTCACTACTTTGTACTAACTAATTTTAGTTTATCTTCAGGTAAAATTGATGTGTACGACTCCAAATAAACTCGTTCTGCATTTCGTACAATTTCTAATCCTCTTACGGTTATATCTTTGACACCCCCTAGCCCTAAGCCAACAATATAAAACATGACTAAAGTCTAAAGTATTACAAAAGTAGTTATATTTATTAAGTTTAAAGAAAATGTACACTTGTTAAATAACTTATGATTGTTATAGTGTTTTACTAAGTCCAAACTCCAGATAAGTATACTATATACTATAGTGATTATCATTAATTAACCATGATCACATGGTTCAAAATTTTATCTACAAGTGGATGTTAGCAATTCGGCCAATTTTTTATCAGTTGATAACAGATTTTCGTCATGAGCACAGCAATGCCATTATTTACACCAAAAAAATGTATTCCAATAACCAATAACTTTCAATAACAAATCAGGTAAAAAGTAAAAAAATGTTTTATTTAAATAGTAATATAAACAATTTGTGGGAAATTTCAATAAAATTATTATTTTTTTTCCAAATAATATTAAATTATAACATATACTTATAAGTTATGTATATACACTAATATAATGTAATTTATTATGAATTTTACATTATATAATTTTACGTGTATAGTGAATACACGATTAATTAGAGAATTTATAAAGATCTAACTACAATTTGCAATAAAGATAAGAACCTAACTAAAGGCAATGCTTTTGATATTAAAATACGAAATTTCTCTTAGCGGGTTTTTGGTAAAATCGATTTTGGTACTATCTGTAGTATTACACATTTTATAGATTATGTAACATTTATTTCTTATCACGCGTTATCATTTTTTTGAAGAACTACCCCCACGATGTAAAGAAGGTACATTTTTCGGGGGTAAATTAAAATAATCGGAAAGAATGTATTGTTATGTACAGTGGTGTATTACAGGGGGGGGGGTTCGGGTTTAAACGCCCCAGAGCCAAAAAAAATTGTGTTTTAAGTAATTTATTATAGGTATTTATTATATAACTGTTACAATGTTACTCTCTGAAGTAATTTAGAACTTGAAGTAAATAAATAATAATTTAATAATTATATTTTAATTATTAAGTGTTAAGGGGAATTGCGGCTACCTAAGTAAGAATTAAAATATCTTCGGAACTGTAAGTCCAGAAATTTCGTTATTCTTTTTGACGAATTATTCTTTAGACCTTCAACAACTATAAACTCAATTTGAAAAAACTTCTCTGGTGCTTAAAATTTGATATAGGAGGGGGGAGGGAGGGGTTGAGGACAATTTTTTTCTTGTACATAATACGTGATATTATATATCGTATAGAATAATTTCATATACTGTTATAAAAGGATAGTCATCGTTCGACTATAAACGTATTTTGTGGAATAGGAATTAGAATAAATAGTACATTTAATTAAACTACGTATACGAATATTGTGGTTTTTAAAATAATATATAATCTATAGTCCTGTAATAAAATAAAATTACATGTAATATATTTTTATTTAGTAATAAAAATGACAGTAACGTATAATAATATGTAAAAAAACCCTATTAGCTCCATGTAAAAATCGGCCTCCGGGCGAATGGTGGCGCTATCTACGTGACAAAATTGTACTACCAAAATGCCGTAATTTCTTGACCCACTGATTTGGTTGAGTGGCGTCACCTTATCTTCTCTATATTGTGACTACCCCCAACTCTGCACATTGCACATGAGCCGGCGGTTGTTATCAACTAATCACTACGGTAGTTTTAAATTATGATAATTAGATCCCGCGTTAAATAGTAAATACTGCTGCGGGCTGCCACTGTAAGTAGCAAGTGCCAAGAAGTTAGTACTTGTTTCTCTGTGCTGTATTGTTTGTAACTACTAACTTGTGTACTTTCAGCCTTTTGTCTTATAAAGAAATGTACATTAGTTTTTAAACTTCAGCAAACCGTCAATGGTGGTGTGAAGAAAAGATGAACCAGCAATGGTACCAGGATACTTACTACGATGAAGAGCGCACCTATGATATCGCAGCAGGTAAATATTAATTAAATATAACAATTTATTTCAATGTATATGTTTTCTTAAATTATACCAATGTAGATTATTACTATTACGAAAATGATGCTGATGATGACTTCGGAGCATTGCACCCGTGGTCAACACCTGTAGAAAACCAGTATTCAAGATATATGTTCTGGAGAGAATTTAATCTAATCACAGAACAGTGTGCCTTACCTGCTGTGCTAACTGCATACTGGTGGAGTAGCCATGTTGGTGTTACTTTAGTGGCTTCTATCTGTTTTCGGATACTGATTTTGTTTTGTAAGTTGTTAGTTACTGAAATTATGGTAATATTATTCAAAATATTTATATGAGATGATTTAGTTCAAAGATTCAGATGTTTATCCAACTGGGTGTTACACATAGTATGTGCTGCTTGTGGTTTAGCACCTGCACTCATTAGCTCTTCAACTAAAGAAAATGGAATCCCACACCATCGGTGGGTACCAGCAGCGTTGATAGTTGGTTATATGGTGCTTCTATATTCCATATCTTTGTTGACAATATTACTAGAAAGGAATAATACAAATAAAAAACAAGAAAAATTCAATGCTGCAGTGGTTTTTTCAGCAGTTGTCTTAGCATTACTTGTGTATCGGTAATTGAATAAATTTAATTTTAATATATTTTATAGATTAAGTATACTATACTTAATGTATAGCCCGCGGTAATGTAAAAACCAGCAATTTCATTTTATCTGTATGTCTTAATTTGTCTGTATTAAAACTGTTAAAAAATTTAATTAAAAAAGAGTGGCAAATTCATATGTGGACATTTTCTATCGATACTGTATTTAATGTTTGCTCTAATGTAATGTATAATGTTTTAGTGAGTATGTACTGGATAGCTCTAGAGCATGGCAAAGCACCCGTGGGACACACATGTTAATGTCTATGAAAGCTGTTGCTTTAATATTAGATTATAGATCAGGCCGCCTAAACAGTCTGCCTAGTATAGCTGAATACACAGGCTATATGTTGTGTGCTGGATGTGCACAGCTTGGACCTTATATAAGCTATAAACAGTACTTACAAGCGTTTCGGTCACGACCATCTACATACTTAAAGGTATCTACGTAACATGTATATCATTTAATATATTACATTTCTTTATAATTTATAAAACTGTATATTTTTCCTATATTTAATGGATTTAAATTAAATTATTATTTATAAATTAGAAAAATAACCAATTCTATTCAATAGTTTTTTTTATACATTTTTAGTAAATTTACTTTGTTTTCAATTTAGAACCTAAAACAGTGGGTAGCTGTGATTAAAAACTTGGGATTATCCATGGCATGGTTTATGGGATCTGTTTGCTATGTTGACTGGCTGCTAGACACGAGCTATTATAGATATTATGGGTATGTAATGTATGTCTGAAAAAATATTGGTAATTTCATCTATAGTCTATTTTAGAATTGCTATTGCGGTAGACACTTATAGAAGAGCAGCTTCATATAGATCTGGTCATTATTTTATTGCTGCTGTAGGTACTACAAATGCTCAAGCATGTGGGTATCTTAGTGAATGTGACGAAAGAATAGTAACTGCTAAACCCAGTTCTGTAGAATGGCCAAAGCAAATGTCCTATGTAGCATCAGCGTGGGATATTCCAACTCACCAATGGCTTAAAACATGTAAGTAGAATGCAAAAATCAAAATTTAGTAATATTTATTTTTTTAAATTTTATATCATATTTTTATTATTATTTTGCAATGTTTAAAATTACTACATCAAATATTAATATATAATTATTTACTATAGCGACTTATAGAACGTTTAACGCACAAACGGCTCAGTAAATAAAAATTGGATGTTGCTTGAACACCTGATAATGTTAACAGCTCTGTGAATTATCGGTTTTTGGACCTGTAAAATACTGGCACGATTATCAATTATAACCGCAATTTTGTTATAATAATATAGCATTTCTTAATGCAACATTTTATTAGTTTACACTATCATTAAAACTTTACACAATAAATTAGTAACAGATTAGTTACAGGGACATTATCACATTTACAGATAGATTTTTATACAACCCACCCTAAGAAAAAAAAAAACGCCAGTACTAACAGTAAATTTACCAAATTTTCACAAGGTATAGAGAAGAACTTAATCCATGAGGTAGCGTTTTAATTTTTTTGGTATCTATACTTAATATTTTTTATAAGCAAATTTAAAAAGGAAAAAATAATGACTACGAATGAATAATTTTGATTGTGCTTAAGTTATCAAAAAACTAAAAACGCTACCCCATAGATAAAGTTCTTCTCTATCCATTGTAAAAATTGTATACGGCTACCCTAAATACTGCCTTCACATTCTTGTCACCCGCAAAATCATTTATCAAGTATAAATTATGGGTGGTTAGCATCCTTTGAAGTAATATTTAAAATGAAGTGTTTTGATGAAATATTAATATATTGTAAAAAAAAAGGTCATGATTGTACGAATAAATGAATGTTGGATACTTTGGTAAATAAAAATGTTTATTGATATTTTTTCAGAACTAAATTTATCAAAAAATATCCCAAACAATTTTGTTGCTATTTTTACTTTAAGAGTCATTATTTCCAACACGGCCTTCATGAAGTACTTTTAATTAAAAATTGTAGGTTTGGTCCAAATGATGTGCTAAGAACTAATCCATAAAATTTGCATTATCAAAGAAAAGCAACATTTTTGTTAATAGGTTTGAAAGGTTTTCACCCTTATTGCAAAATGATTTTGTGCAAAAAGAAAATTCTGGGAAGTGTTATGGATTTAGTCTAGATTGGTTCATAACACAATATTCTGCAAAAAAGTGGTTAATAGCACCTTATTCGGACCAAACATAACAATTTTTGATCTATAGACTAGATGTGAATAAAGCAGTTGCACCATAGAATAAATATTATTTTGTGATTCAACAGTTAAAAAAACTGCTGATAACATTTGAATTAAAAAAAACACAGAAAAATCAACATATTTTATATTTGTCTGATGACTTTTATCCGTGTACGTAGTAACTTAATTATTGCTTACAATAATTGACGGTAGCAGTAAGTATAATAAAAATGAATTGAAATAATGGATAACCAGTAATGAATGAATTGTAACAACTGTAGCCAATAGAAAGTGTAGACTTTATACTAATATTTTGGCTACGTTATTTTTTCTGTCGTAATTCATACATTGACAAACCAGTTGAAACATAATAATGAAGTTTGAACATATTTTTAAATTTCTCTTCTTATTTATTTAACAATATTTTCTTTTAAAATATTAATACTCTGTTCGATACAGACGTGTTTGACAAAATGTATAGCCACGGTAAGGCACCAATCGCAGCTGCTGCAACATTTGCCGTCAGCTGTGCTATACACGGATTTGAAGTACGAGTTTCAGCTGTTCTTGCTATGATTGGAGGGTGTGCTTATGTTGAGCTGCTACTGCGCAAACGACTAGCTGCAAAGTTTCCAATAATATTTGGTAAAAAGAGCAACATTAAAAAAACTTCCCTGTCTAAAACGACTTCAAGATGGATGCGGATTGTAATAAATATGCTATTTGTTGTTCTTAATATTATTCACCTTTCTTACTTAGGAGCCGTAATGGACACTAGCAATGATACAGAATCTGTGTTTTCTGTATGGCATAGATGTGCATACATAGGCCATTTACTATTATTTTTTACTTATATTATTGCTGTTTTATTGTAAGATAGTAAATATGTAAAAATACCAATATTTTTAAAACAAAATTATCAGTTTACAATATTTTATCAGTATTAATTATTAAATATTTATTTATATAATTATTTAAGACTTGTGCATTATCTAAGGTAATTTTTTTTTTATCTTATAATTAATGTAAAAATAAAAAAAAAAGTTCAAATAATCTGTAATAATAATCTATTTAAAAAAATGTAACCTAAAAAACAAATCACCATATTATGCTTTAACATAAAATTAATAAAATGTAAATGATATGCTTTGAAAATTAAGTACAAACACCTTCAAAAGGAGTAAATCTTTGAGTATACTATTAATTAATACCCTGTAGTTTCCAAGATGTATACTCTGGTTCAAGAGAATATACCAGTTCTGCGCATTACAACTGACTGCTGTTTTGAAGTCAATTTTGAACCCAACCGAAACTCATTGCGGTCAGACGCTTGCAGGGAGATGCGCAATGCCCAACAAAAAGAGGTTGATGCCTAGTATTTTGTTGTCTTTTGGAACAGAGTAGTATAGTGTGCTTAATTATTTTTTATAATATAATCTTGCGTTTCTCTACCCAACGGGCATTAAATTCCTCTTGCTCTATATCTGCTTGTACAGGTCCATCCTGTAGTTCATACCTCGCTTCTGCAAGCCATTCCTGAATAACATAAATTAGATTTATAATATTAATAATGGTATATAATATATTTGATATAATTATTTAACTTCAGCTGAGTAATAATAAAATGCTTTATATTTTATTTCATTACAATATAAATATCACAAGTGTTGCTTAAGTATTTTCTTAATGTTTATATCTTTATTAGTGAATATTAATTTGACTGTATTGAATAGTTTACTATAATATTAATTTAACGTAATATAACTAAGCCACAGCAACGCGTGGCCGGGTCTGCTATAAATAATAATAATGTATCACTTCTGTTAACCAGTATTTATTAAGCCGGGTACACAGGCAGCTAGTTGCAGCTAATGATGTTTGTTTCGTTTGGACGTGTTAGCTCGTTGTACGCGCACACTGTTTTGATGTTCACTCTAGAGGCGATATTTGAACAGAATGTTGGACAACACTTTTTTAGTGTGGACGTGATCGGCAACAACTTAAGTTGTAACATTAAATACTCTATTCAAATATAGTATTTAATTAAAATAATTATGGTAAAAAAAAAATGGTCTATTATAATAACTGATGCTTATTTTAATTGTAGAGATAATTGGAGATATGGAAATATTATATAATTACTAGCAATTGTTAGTATTATATTACTAGTACAGAAATATGCCAAGGGTGGTGATCACTACAGCGCCACCTTGAAAATACTCCACTGGCTTACACCACAGTAGAATAAAACAACGAAATGTAATATATTTTGAATGTAGACGCTAGTAGTTTTTACTCTACATCTAACAAAAAAATAAGAAAAACATTGATCCAGTTGAAATAATGCATATATTTAACGTAAAATAACATTAATTTGTATTAATATAGAATATTATACCTAATATTGATCTCCAAGTATTTTTAAAATTTTTAAAACTGAAATTTATATAATATTGTTTCGGGCTATGTTTTTATCGATGTTACCAAACATCAATGTTCTATTAATTATTATCATATTATTGTTAGAACTAATGTTATGATGTGATGTTATAAATTATAATTTACACATCAATTAACACAGATGCTATGCAAATCTGTTTGACTACATATTTATAATAAAATCGTATATGTTATAAGCTCACTTTTATCTACACAAGTTTATTTTTTAGACCTTAAGCTCTTAAAAACTGCTCAATATGGAGAAATCAAGAACGAAGAAAAAATGTCTCTGTTTTCTAGGGGAAAGGGTTTATGATATTTATACTGTTTGTCAAGGTTTATCGATAATACTTTTCAACTAAGTAATATTCCACAGTAATTTTAAGCTAATTAACTTATAACCTAAATCCTTTTTTTTAGTTTTCGTAGTGTGCGCATTAGTAGTGTGCGGGTTGGTAAAAAATAAATTTGAACAAACACAGATAAATCATAATGAACATTGTTCACGTACATGCTGGTGCACAAGTTTGCCAACACCGGACAACATTTCATCGAACAAGTGCACGCACAATGTTTCTTAGTGTGGACCCAGCTTAACAAATCTGTCTCTTTCTAACGATATTGACCCCGCGGCAGTATAGGCGGGATGTGTGGGAGGTGCTAATGTATTTAAAATTGTTTTTTAATATCAGGGTAGATATGAATAAGGTAGCTTGTCTGTCTTAAAGAATTTATAGTCATTGTTAGTCATATAATTAACAATACAAATAACTTTGCCAGATAATGTTTCAATGTTGATTCATTGTTGATCACCGTTTTAAGAATATTCTGTACACATTTTTAAGTAATTAAATGATTTTTTAAAAAGTTAAAGCGTAAAGGAATTCTAAAATAAAATGTGTTTCAAATATTTTTCTCGATTTTGATGGTATGGTGTCGTTTTAATAAACTTTAGACTCACCAAATTACCAATCTCATATAGTTCAAACAAAAAAAAAAAAATGATTATAAAACCAATATTTTCACAGCATGAAGTTAAAAAACAAATAATGTAAACAGTTTTCAAAAACCATGACCCAAGTAAATCATTTTAGGTTCTCATGACTGAAATATACTATTATAGCGTGCTACCCCCTTTCCGTTAAAATGTTCAATGGCAAAAATAAAATGGCAGAGTAAGGGCAAGCCAATCAAATTAATTTATTTTATTAAGTTACTATAGTTGCGTTGCTCTGGATTCGCCTTTTGAATTTTCCAATTTTTTGGGCAACTTTTCCAATTTTACTTTTTGCTAAAACACTATTCGGTTAACATTTTCTACGCTTATACAAAAAAATCTACTAGGATTTTTTTTTTTGGTTTCAGGCTTTTTTTTGTCAACTTTTATAAGAATTTCTTAAATAATTATGTTACTTAATATACTTATGGCATAATTATTGTAAAGTATTCGTAATACTTACATTGTCATCGCCCTGTGATGGTAATATATTAGTAACATTTAGATCTGAAATTCCTACGACTCGAAGATGGCGAGAAGAATATAAATAGAACATTTGTAAGCCTATTGGATCCATACCGAATGTTACTGCATGGTTACTTATACATTTCTACAAATAATTAAATATATTTTGAAATATTTGACAGATAGATTTTTAATTACAGTTTATGGTAATTTATTATGGTGATACCTCTTCCTTGAATCTGACTCTTGTAGGATCAAATATTCTGTTTAGACGAAGATTATGGAATAAAGTACATCCATTTTCATCCATATTTTCAACAGCCATTAAAGAGTCATCAAGACTTTGCAAGTAACCATCTAAAAAAATTTCAATTGTTAATTATTTCTATACAAAACGTAGAAAATAAAATAAATCTATTACCAAGCATTTTGTTTACGTTATTACTATCACCTTCATCACAAGAAGTACCAATAATGTGAACCAAGAGCTGGAGAGCAGTCCAACTTAACAAAAGGCTAGAGTTCGCGTCCAACAATTTTCTGCCTTCTTTGTCTGTTATATACATGCCTGTATAGTATGGTAGCTTGCCTTCAGTATCCAGAGCATTGATTAAACGTATAATGTTATTGTGAATTAGCCATGTTTGATCTACTGTAACAAACAACCATCGGTACTGTCCTGAATATCCTCTATATATGGTTTTAAGAGCATGACAGTAACGTCGCCATCGCACTTCTTTATCTGTGGTGAAAAGCCAGTCAACACTGTCCTCAGTCAAATAAAGGTTCTTTCGACCCATGTACACTATTTTATTACATCTGTTGTCTTCACGCCATGCATTACGCTGAGCAAGAACGTCATCTGTATCCTGAATTAATATCAAACACAACAAAGACACATTTTTAAAGTGTGTAGATGGTATTCTGGTTTTAGCTAAATTTACACGATGGTATTGCCGTTGTTTATTAAACTTGAGTTTTGTTAATACGTTTTTGACATTATTGTCTTGGGTGGTAATAGTGAATAATAAGTATGCCAATAAAGCTCCAACTGCAAATCCTAGGACAAACGGCAAAAGTGATGTTGATGAAAACGGACGTCGCCGTCCATACCACAATGACACCATTGACGGTTGCAATTACAGACTATTGAAACGAGCGCCACCGTCGCGTCGTTGTCTATCTGAATGTTTTCCGTCGCACTAGTCATCTCATCACAAACACGAAGTTTACGAACTTAATAGGTAATACACACTTGTGTCGTAGAACAGATGAAAACGCAAGGTGGTTAATAAGAGTACGTACATTGAACACCTATATAAATAATTATGATATTATTATTCACTGTGCTAAATAGTACACAGTCAGCAGAATTACTTATTAAAGCTAAAAACGTTAAAATTGAAAATTTTAATAACGAACGCGAGATTCCCTATGATAATAAAATATTATATAGATATAATGATTGAAATAATATACCATGGATAATATGACTATGATAAGCCCCTTGACTAATGAATATTATTCATGGAAAAGCAGTGAGGCACAGAATAGATAAAATTTAATCTATTCTGTGATTAAGGCATGCTTTTCAAACAAAATATTATAATACCTAGTATATAATATTATAGATAAAATTTGTGAATTGTATTCTAATTTTCTGTTCTCTATTATAACTTACAAGTGCATAACGGCCAACGGCACACTTGGTAAAATGCAAACATACTCATAATTTAATGGTCATACTTGATAAACATCACACTTCACTGGCCGATATTGACGACTTCACTCACTATCTACGTCCTCATCATGATATATGATTTTGCCTAAATTTGTCATACAGCTGCGAGCCGTATGCTATAAAAAAGTACTTGACTTGAAGATTGCATGGGCAATAACCAAGATGGCTCTTTTTACTTTATTAGATGTATGAAAAATGGTATTTTCTTTCAAAAACAATTTTAATTGTAAATTGTAAAGGTGAAAGTAATAGTCATAAAAGCATTTTATGGGAGTGTGAAGGCAAAGCGCCCGTTAACGAAATAATTAACCTTTTATCGGTCGCGCGGTTTTTAGTCACGCTTATAAGTAAATACTAAATAAGTTTTCCACGTTAGTCAAATAAACTATATCATGTGACTGGGGTACGTTTTTACCCTGTGCGACCGATAGAAGGTTGGACTATTAAACAATAAAAAAATCGTTACGTTTATAATACAAAAAATTACTTTTGTTTGGGGGAACTCAAAAATAAATTATTCAGATTTAAGATTTACTTGGATAATGTAATTTTTTTAGATCGAATTCTACTTATACTAAAAATTTGAATATGATAAAACCAGAAGTAAATAGGTTAGGTTAAGGTAACAACCATAAAATATCTCGTATCAAGATCTAAAAGTTTATGGTGAGGTCGACTGAAAAGCAAAAATTACTTATAATTATTGAGCTCGAGAGCCAAAATTTTTAACATATGTCGAGTTCAGTCAACAGCCGTATTTCCATCTTCATATTCGAAAAAAAAAAGTCCAGGGAACCATAGCTTTCTCTAAGAGGAAGCAAAACTATTGTTCGTATTGTAACTACTTTAATTTAAAAATGATAGTGACAAATACATTAATATTTGTGCATTAACTACAAATACAAAAAATAAAAATGGTAGTTACAATAATATAAAAACTTCATTCTAACATAGGTTCAATAGTTTTTAAGCATGCTTTAATGACAAATACATTTTATTTTTAATATTTTTTCTTTCTGGATTTATCTTTTTCAACAACAGGGCGATGATGCTAACTAATTGATCTGAACTCAGATTGGAACGATTTTTAAATTTAGATACTAGTTGTGTAGTAGTTATTGGTTTTCGTGACAAGTATCGTCGAACTGCTTCTTCAGTAATTCCATGCGTGTCAGACATAGTTAAAGAAGAAAATTCCAATCTTGCTTTCTTTAACACTGGTTCCGAACTAAAAAATAAAAGTATTTTTTTTTTATACTTTTGTGTTAATTTAACCGTTAATCGAAATTACTTTTGATTATTAGTACTACTGGTACTTTGATCACCACTGCCTTCTTTGATTGTATCTAGTCCAAATGGTCTTTTTCTAAGTGGTTCACTATCAATATCAGAACTATCTAAAGAACTGTCACTATCTGAATCTAAAAATAAACCAAAATTTTACAATTAATATTCTCATCATTTTAAACTCAATTTACAAAAGAAATTAACTTTTGTTACACTATCAGTAACAAAATAAATTACTTTACCAAACATGCTAATTTTACCTAATACCAATATATTTATTAAAATGATATTTAAAGACGGTCTCACATGCCTGGTTTATTTGGCTAATATTGGTCACTGGCAATAATTAACAATCATTATTGCAGCTCATGTATGTATACAAGTATTTCTTTTCCCTTATGTAACAACTAATCAACAACTATGTGGAAACTAACAAAATTCCAAGGCCAAACTTTGCCTTCATTTAACTCGTCTACAACAAGTTGTAAATGTTGACCAAATGGTCGAATTATGTGGTACCCGTCTTGGTTAATATAGGTTACTTCAGTAGGATAAGTACTGATAACTAAACAAAATTAATGGAAAAAAATTATTCTTCCCACGTTAAAGTGCGTTTTTACAAAATTTGACCTTATCCCTCTGATAAACAAAATGTTATATATTCCTGCTAATCTAACATGAATACCTTAAAATTTCTAAATTATTATTTAATTTGTATTTTATTGTAAAATTTTAAATTTAATATTATATAATATATATGTATATAAATATATATAACCTGTTTCTTTTTTTGTTTTCTTTTCTACTTGTTTTTTCTTCTTTTTATTTGGAGTAGTTTGTTTAGGTTTAGTATCCTCTTTTTTGGCCTTATCATCATCTTCGACATCTGTGTTCGTACCTTCTTCCTTTTTCTCTTCTTTTTTTTCCTCATCCTCACCTTCATCTTCATCAGATGTTAAAAGGCTTTTTAATGCTTTTTCTTCAGATACACCCTGCATTTCTTTAGTAACTTTGGCTTCATCGTCTGATACCCTATTCATAAAATAGAAATATTGTAAATAAATGTCAAATTGTGTACTTAAATAATTACTCGTCTGATGAATCAGAAATATAGTCTAGTTCTCTGCCTTCTTCATCACCATCATCACTTTCTTCAATAGCTGACTCGTCAGAACCCTTATTTTTCTTTTTTGGTTTTGGTTTGTTCTTATCTTTTACTATAAAAATTAGTTTGTATAAACCAAACATGAATTTAAAAATTGTTGTTTAAATTACATATAAATTTTGTTTACATTTTTGTTTTTTTTTCTTTTCAACTTTTTCTTCATCATTATCTTCATTTTCATCAGACTCTTCTCCTTCACTGTCAACCCACTCATCCATTTCAGAAATTTTAAGCTCTACAAATGCACAAAAAATAAGTAGAAAGAGATGTGTACAGTTTTTATTAGCAAAGGATAATATGTATGAGGAAGAACAGTAACCAAGTGTTAGTGATCCCTCGACACTCAATTAGATGGTAACCGTCTAGGGATAAATTGGAAGGCTTGAGGCACGTATTATTATTGAAATACAGCAGAGTGACTATGGGAGAACATTATTTAAGTTATTGGAACCAACTTAGAAGGCCCTCATCAAAATTGGAAATTAGCCTGACAAAGTGAAATAAGGAAAAGTTGTTAGTACTTTTTAACACGCTTATATTAGCTTCACTTGAATGTATGTTTGTTTGTGTGTAACTAAAAGAGATAGGCAACCGAACGTACATGCGTGTATTCATTGTTGTTTACCTGAAGTTTTCAAGTAATAGAGACACGTATGTACTAGAATTAAAAAAACACGATTTTAAAGCACATCGAACTAAAAAGTGGAAAATAAATAGTTTAAAAAAACTAAAAAACACGCTTAAATAGTAAAATAAATTAAAAAGTAGAAAATAATTTTCAATATAGAAATCAATTAATACAAAATAAATAGTATTATTGTGAAAAAAGTGTGGGGCGCTTTTCAAGAACTGATATATGTAGCACCCCACGCTTTTTTCACAATAATACTATTTATTTTTTATTAATTGATTTCTATATTGAAAATTATTTTCTACTTTTTAGTTTATTTTACTATTTAAGCGTGTTTTTTAGTTTTTTTAAACTATATTTATTTTTTAGTTGGTCAAAGTATATTACTAATACTTTATCCAAAAAATACTCCATACAAATTTGGAAATCATTAAAATATTTTTAAAAAAGTTTTAGTGTCATAATTTAAATTAAAAAATATATAAGCTTTATTCTCGATCTTTAAAGGGGTTTACTTTTTACATTTTATTTGTAATAAACTGCCTTTCTGGTTAGTTTTCTGATCTTAGGACTGTCTATATGAAAAAAATCGAATCAGCAATTTAGAAGATATTATGGGTTTGTAAAAACAATACCTTCTCAACTACGCATCCAAGCTAAAATAGTGTAATGGACATTTAGAATTTACTATACTCAGTTCTATAGTGTAGCAATTAACCATTTTACCTTTGCTTTTTCGACTTTTCGTTCCTTTTCCTTTATCTTCTTCGTCCAACACTTCATCCTCTTCATTCTTTAGTCTCTTTTGTAACATAAGATTAAAATGATTCATCACTTTATTGCGTCTAAAAAAAAAACCTTAAATAAATAACTGTAGCATTAAAAATTGACATAATCTAATTGCCAAAAACCTTCCGAATTCTTCTTCTGCTTCTTCAGCTGATAATGTTTTGTAACGTTGTACTGGCTGAAAGTTATACCATTCTTCTAACTTATGAGCATTAATAATTCCATCTGCTCCGTGAGTGAAAACATAATAAGAGGAATTATCAGTTATACCACCTTCACGAACACCTCTAAACCTATGACATTCATACATTAATAAAAGTAGGTATAATGTGCTAATTAAGACAAAAAATACTTTTTCCCTCCGAATTTCAAAGTCCAGGGGCTTGATTCACTAGCTTTTTTATTTCCACCATATCTTCTTTTTCTAGCTTCTTGCCTTGCTTCACGTCCAAACTCACTTCCAGCGCCAAATCTATGATAAAAAGAACATTTAATAAATTATTTAATATGTATTTGAAATAATATTAAATACTTTGGCATGTCTTCTTCTGCAGTTTTGCCATCAACTTTGTTAGCATCTCTTTCCATTTTCGCATGAGCCCATTTTCCAAAATCAATATTTAAATTGCTATTAAACTTCATAATCTCATACTTTTTATTAGGAATTCTAAAAAATACATCAAAATAAATAGAGCAGTTTGTAATTATATATAATATGAAAAACAAAATATAAATATTAGTGTCCTTATATCGACTGCGGCAGCAAAAAAAGTCATAACTTGATTTTTGCAACTTTTGAAGAGAGCAAAAACCAAACTTTAATTTTGATTACTTATTCTAATTTTATTTGCAGTCTTATATAAGTTGTCTATACTACCAGATCGATTTTTAAAAATATTATTTTTACGAACATAGAAAAAAGAAAGAAATTATGGAACACATTGTTTGCTACCCCTACAGCACCTATCCTACTTACCCTTGTTATCTTTTTATAGATTTAAAAAAGTACTAAATATTAAAATATTTTTTTCTGTAAGCACATATTTTTAAAAATGTGATAAGTATAGCCTATATCTAACAGGAAAATATAATATAAGACAAGTATTACAAACAAATTACCTATTAATAATTTGACATTTAAAATATGTCATAGAAGTTGAGAAAATAAATTTTGTCAAATATTGTAGTTTATATTGTATTTCTTAATAAAATAGCCGCACTCATTCCCTTCAATAGCGTGAAATTAATTTGTATTTTTCAATAATTCGATCAAACGTTTTTCGAACCAAGTGAGGAGGCGAAAGCAGTTTTGCCCACTTCAAATCCTCTACAGCCTAATTTTAGAGGCAACTTATGAGGAGAGAAAGTCACACTTAACTTTACTACAGCCAGTTGTATTCATGTACGTTAAACTTCACTTATTATTTTCTATACTCTGTTTAAAGAGAGAACGGTACTTCATGCGATGACGGAAATCGTAACACGAATTTTCCACACAAATTTCAGAATGATCCCCAGCCTCAAAAAAACGAATGCATGTTAAAATGTTTCAGTGTTAAATGTGTCAGAGATTTAAAAAAAATTGTTTAGTTATAGCAAAAATTTTATTTATTATTTTGATGGCGAGTAATTACTAATTTTTGCCTTATTAGGACCCTTGTTCATACGTTTGATAAACTTACTTAGGAATTCGCAAAGAGAATTCTTGCATTGTGACGGTTTTGTTTTCCACCAGATTTTTAGAATTATTCATGTTAATTTTAACTATTACTTGTGTGCAAATGTATTGTATTAATAGTTATCTATAATTTACAACGAAATTATTGGAATGAACCGTAAACTAACAGTATAATTAATAAAAGTTAAAACTATGCATAAATTACAGAAACAAGATAATATGAAATAAAGAACAGAATTAACAAATTATACGTGATAACATTCAATCCACAAGTCCGGTAGTCAAGGTTAAACATGTTTTATCAGTGAAACTAAATTGATACCTGAGACATTGATTATTGTATTTTATCAATACCCAACAGTAGTATAGAATTAACGACTTTTTAAGTTTTTACTCAACCTATCAATTGAGCTTGTTACTTAACATAATAAAATACAACTATATAATAATGTATGAAAATTATATTTATAAATTATAATACAATATATACTCTGACTCTTAAAGTTGTAGTACACAGAATCCGCTATTTATAGTGGCGTTAAAAACCATAGACCTATTAAGAACTTCTTTATAGGTTTTTGCTAAAAACACATAGTTCCTTGATAAGAAGTAGAACTGTTGTTCTGATAACATTATCATAATTCGAGTATGCGGCCAGCGGCATGTGCTAAATTCTATCAATATTAAGTTGCTGTCCACACTCCACTAGGAATATCATTTCAATTTAATTTTTTCTATGTCTTAGCTGTTGTGTAGATTCTCAGCATTAGATTAACCATCAAGTATGGCTGAACAACATTAGCAACGATATCGCGTTGTGGCTAAAGCTGTGGTTCAAAATTAATATAATACATTATAGGGAAAATGAGACTATTTTATTTTAATGTTTGCCAAGCCTACAGGTATAGCTTGAAGAAAGCAAGATGTTCATCAACAATTTGGTATTATCGAAGCTTTTCTGTTAAAACTGATGATGTATTAGATATACCCTTAAAGTATCAGGATGTGCCAAGCGAAAACATACGGAATTTTAGTATTATTGCTCATGTTGATCATGGGAAAAGCACATTAGCTGATAGGCTTTTGGAAATAACCAATACAATATGCATTGAGGCTGGTAAAGCTCAAATATTGGATAGGTATGTATGGTTTATTAATAAACTAATAATTTAAATTAAGTATAACTTATTTATTTAATTTTTAGGCTGCAAGTAGAAAAAGAAAGGGGTATAACTGTTAAAGCTCAGACAGCATCATTGTTTTATAGAAGTAAAATAAATGGAGAGTTGTTCTTATTAAATTTGATTGATACGCCTGGTCATGTAGATTTTTCCAATGAAGTTTCGAGATCTCTGTCAGCTTGTCAGGGTGTTATACTGTTAGTTGATGCCAATCAAGGAGTACAAGCACAAACAGTTGCTAATTTCTACTTAGCATTTTGTCAAAATTTGGTCATTGTCCCAGTATTAAATAAGGTTGATTTAAAAAATGCCAATCCAGAAAAAGTAGAAGAGCAACTAAAAGGTTTATTTGAAATTGAACCTGAAACAGTTTTAAGGGTAATTATGTTTTATTATGTTATAGTGTTAATATAAGAAGACAATTGGCCGAGTGGGTAAGGCGTCAGCGTGTTTCACACTCACTGTCCCTGGCCCTACATAAGCTGCTTAAGCTGTTTTTCAATTTTGAAAGTGTTAATATACGATAAATAAATTAAATTTTATAGATATCAGCAAAACAAGGCACTGGTGTTGATAAATTATTAGAAGCAATTGTTTCTAGATTGCCTGCTCCAAAAACTGATCGCCAAGCTCCCTTTAAAGCTTTAATATTTGATAGCTGGTTTGATAAATATCGTGGTGCAGTAATAATGATTTATGTACTTAATGGTAGTGTGAAAGAAGGTGATGTCATTACAGCTGTACATTCTCAAATTTCTTATCCAGTCAAAAATATTGGCATACTACGTCCAACAGAGTATATTACAGGAACATTGTAAGTATAGATTTTATATAAATTTTAAACAGGATTCGTAATTTTTCACATTTGTATACCTGTTTAAAATTATTCTAGAAATGTAGTGAACGTCTGGTGGGTGATAAAATGTAGTCTCATCTAGTACCATAAAATCAATCATAAAATTTGTTCATTTAAGTTTATTATGCTAATTTGCTAGATTTACTTTTTTACTAGTATTATAATTTTGTTTTTTGTTTGGTAATTTAATGACAACATTTAAAAAAATTCTTTTTAGTTAGAAATTATAATTAACAAATTGTGAACTTGTAAACTAGGTATTTATATTCAGTTTTATCTTTCGGATAGATTTACTCGAGTATGTTTGTTTAAAATGACAATTTCAAAGGGTGTTTTAGTATAAAAGGTAAGTAATTGGTGATTAGACAGTAGACTTCTAGGGTATCTCCAAAATGCCCCACATTTTCCTTTTTTTAATAATCTGTTACTTACCTTTATACTGGAATACCCTGTAAACATACGTTATTTTTTTTGTTTAAATTGGTAAAAATAGAAATTAAGTTTGGCTGCCCACTGCAATGTAATATATGTTATACTCGTATATTGCAGTGTTTGTCCTACTTTTAAATATCATAGTAACGTCTTATTTTCTTTTGTTCAATTACAAATATTATATTAAAATCAGTTCGGGGTAAAGGCATAACTTCTTTTTTCTTATTTTGTATATAATAACTACAAATTTTACAGTTGCTTTTGGTAACAAATGTAGACAACATTGAACGGTTCCTTCGGGCATAATAATTTATTTAATGATAATAAATAATAATTTTTTTGTGTGTACACTTTTTTTTATGTTTTTAAAGCATATTTAAGCACTTATTTTATATATTCAAAAACCAGACAACTATCATTAAAGAAATACGCTTAAAAACTTTGAGATTCGAGCCCTAAAAATAAATATATTTATTATATAAATATTGTATACAGATTATTACTGAATTTTTTACTAGTAATAACTGTTCTACTAATAATTACTGTAGCTTTAAAATGTTTATGACAAAATTATTTAATGTAACATAGGCGAAGCTAAGTTAAGGGTATGCAACATTTTATTAGGTTTATAGCCAGCCCATAAATTACAAATTGGTTTTTTTAAGGTTAGAGTATGCAGAAAAAGCATACCCTGAAGTTTCGTCTACATATTAAATATTTTTGTACTAATAAGCACTCATTATTTTTTTACTGTTACAAGTATTTGCTAGATGTTTTTTTTTTTAAATAATTAAATTTTACTGTTATTTTTTTAGAGTAGGTGGCCAAGTAGGCTTTTTGACTTGTAACATGAGATCAGCAAAAGAAGCGCACATAGGTGACACATTGCATTTAAAAGATAAACCTGTAGAACCATTTCCAGGGTTTAAGCCAGCTCTACCTATGGTGTTTGCTGGACTGTTTCCATTAGATCAATCTATGCACGGAGAAATGAGGAGTGCCCTAGAACGATTAACATTAAATGATTCTGCTGTGAGCATTACTACAGAATCTAGGTAACAGTAATTAAATTTAAATAGTATACCAAAGTTAATCTATATAATCTCATCTGCTTATATGGTTCTTTTAAATATATAATTAGTAGCAAGATTCGAGTCTAAAGCTAGGGCATCGATTAGGTTGGCTAGGCAGAGTGGTACAACAAAGTTCCCATGAAAAATGTATGAGCTAAAATGAAGTCGCAATAATTACAAAGTCAGAGCGAAGCGGCACGACAAAACACAGAACCATTCGTAATAAGTTCTAAGCTTTCTTAAAAGATTTTTTACGATGCTTCACTGCACTAAACTAGTGATCACCCAGCTTTAATGTTGGGAAGACAATAAAAAAAAATTTTGTACTTAAAATTTGTAAAAATAATACTGGTTATTTAACCGGTACAAAGGCCAGATAAGGGTGCTAACACTTGCTAAAAAAATATACTCTCATTCTTGTAAGACCCACCTGTAGCTGTAGAGGTTTATTAAATAAAAGTGGGTAGACATTGTTTCCCATGACACAGTACGTCCTGATGCATATTTAGCGTGTCAAAAGTCTATAATGATGTTTTCAATTACTCTTTATTCAATTTTATTGTCTTTAATGATATTCAGATCATACATCACATTTTATATATGGAGTAGATGATAATGATTAATATCCATGATTTTTAATTTTTTTTATTATGTTTACAATAATATTTTATAACTACGAAACTATTTTTAGATTTGTAAAGTACATATTTAGATATTTATCTTATACATTTAATATACTTGTAGAACATGAGAGTTTTATAGACTAAAATAGAAATTTGTAATTTTAAATAAAAAGTACAAATGAATGAGAATGACTACTCATCTCTATCGTAGACTTTTATCGAGACATACCTGTACTATCTGAATGATATTACACAACTGCACCACTATGCAACTCGTTCTAATTAACACAATATTGAAATAATTACATTTATTATAGTTCTGTTAAATGCAAATTATCAAATAAAAATGAAGAGTGAATTTATCAAACATTCTAAGTGCCAAAGTATAAAAATTGAACTTTATAATTTGATTTGTATTTCACGCGTTACGGGAAACAATTTTGTATATATGTCAAGTTAGGAATAGTTGTTTATAAAAAAAAAACAATTATTTAACACTTAAAAATCTACTTAAGGGTTTCCGGTAATGAATAAAATACAAATCAAATTATAAAGTTTAATTTTTTTGCTTTGGCACTTAGAACGTTTGTCAAATTTACTAAATAAAAGCAACAATATCATCATAATTACTACAGTTTTAACATGTTTTGATGTGTAAATCAACGGGAAGCAGTATTGGAGAGCTATTTTTTTCCTTCAAATGTAAATAATAAAATTATACACTATATCCACTACTGCAGGACACGGTGGGATTAAGAGGTTTTTTTTTTAAACTAACAGTGTAACAGCATAACTTGTTTATGTGTAATGTAATAAAAAAAGTTACTTAAGTACGAAAATTAATAAATTATTCTGGGTAATAATAAAATAATGCTTAATAATCTGCACATTTTTACATTTTAAGTCCACATGACTGTTATTTATTTGTTTACAGTGTATTGAATTAAACGTTTTTAAAAATCATACCATGTTGCAACATACTTATGAATATTATTTTTAATGTGCAAAATGTGCTTCCAGACCCACTTTGTAACACTTCACCACTGATCAAAATAAATATTTATGTAAATTTAATAAATAGAATCTAATCAATAAATCAAAATTATTGAAGTATTAACTAAATTATTTTTTTTTAATTATTATGTTTCAAAAATTGAATAGAGCTTATTAGCTACTTTTTACAAATAAATTATTTTTTGTTATGTATTTTCATCTAATTTTACATTTTTGTAGTGCAGCATTAGGTCTTGGTTGGCGATTAGGGTTTCTTGGCCTATTACACTTAGATGTATTCAGTCAGAGATTAGAACAAGAATATAATGCTCAAGCTGTTATGACTGCACCAAGTGTAACATACAAAGGTATTTTTACACTTTTATCTAATGATTCAGTTACCCAATTGAGTTCTAATTTATTTTGTAATTGTCAATAGCTAAAGTGAATTCAAAGAAATTAATTACAAAATATGGAAGTGACGAGTTCTACTTTTCTAATCCAATAGATTTTCCTGACCCAACATTTACTGAAGTGCTTTATGAACCTTTTGTGTTGGGAACTATTATAACTCCTGGTATTATTAATTATGTTACACAATTAATTATACTATTCATATTTTACTAGGTATTAAGTTTAATTTTCTTTGACAGATATGTATTTGGGAGATGTTTTATCTCTATGCATGGAAAAACGTGGTGTTCAAAAATCGTCCACTAATATTGATGATACAAGAGTAATAATTCAATGCTATTTGCCATTAAATGAAATTGTGGTTGACTTTCATGATACTTTAAAATCCATAACATCTGGATTTGGTAGTTTCGATTATGAAGATCATGGATACCAAGAGTCTTTTTTAACTAAAGTATTATTTTATATAGTATAGTAAGATTATATTATCTATAAATATTACTAATATTTGAGATAAAACATTTGTTTGTTTAGCTAAACATTTTACTCAATGGCACTGAAGTTGAAGAATTAGGTACTGTAGTTCATGCAAGTAAAGCTGTAAATCTTGGTCGTAAAATGGTATTAAAATTAGCTGAATTAATTCCTAGACAGCAATTTCTGGTAAATCATTAATTATTGAAATTTTACTGATGTATATATAAACATATTTTATCTGATTATGTTTAGATTGCTATTCAGGCAACAGTTAAAGGTAAAATAGTAGCAAGAGAAAATATTAAGCCATTTCGTAAAGATGTAACATCAAAACTAGTATGTATTATTTACTCAGATTATTATATTGTGTAATGTATTAATAATTTATTTCAATGTATAAGTTGAATTTTGTATGCTCAAAAAAATTAATAAGTATTACTAATCTTTTTAGTGTGGGAAACGTGGTGGTGACATTACTAGAAAAATGAAATTATTGAAACAACAGTCAGATGCAAAAAAAAAAATGAAAATGATTGGTAACATTGAAATTCCTCGTGATACATTTATCAATGTTCTTAAACGGTAACATTACATGTGTTACCTGTTTAAATTAAATAAGTACTTTTAGTCTATTGATTAGCATTATTAATTATTATTATTATCATTATCAATTACATTATTATTATTTAATGCAGTGTTTTTATTACAGTATCAGGGTCCTCTTTATTTTTAATAACTATAAACTTAAATACACTTCCTGAGACCTGAATCCGTACAATTTCATTTTTTTTATATTTATAAGTACCTTTTTATGTACAAACTATGAGTACTTTTATCTTGTGGTTTGAAAAGAAAAAGAGCATAATTTTATAACGATTAACAAAAAACATTGAATTACATAACAATGTATTTTGTATGCAGGTATATTATATATATTGTTTTTTGTTAACACATGATAATGATGTTACATAATGGGTTATACATTTTTTCACAATTATTATAGGAATTAGTCTAGACTGTATTCGGCTGGGTGGTATAATTTATTATTATTCAAATTATCTATAAATAATGTTTTTCTCGATTTTGAAAGGGAATGGCCACGGATGGACTTTTTAAATTCATGCGTGAATGATTCATTAAGAATAAATCACTCCTTTTCCCTTAAAATATCTAATTGCAATTTTGTAGTTTTTATTTTTGAAGATACTTTAATTTATATTATTGTACAATATTAAAAAATATTTATATTTTTATTTTTTTACAGTTCTATAAACTTTAAAAACTTAATTGGGAACGTATATGAAGGGCACAGGGGAAAAACGGTAGTTGTCACATTATGAAAATTTTAGAGTATAGCAAAAACAAAATTCGTGAATTCCTCTACCTCTTACATAAGAACAAAAAAAATCACATTAAATGTTTCTCAAACAATAAATGTATTTATTTAAACAATCCATTGTCATAAATAAAAAAAATTATTGGCATAAATTGAAAATAAAAATTCATAATGTGACAACTACCGTTTTTCCTCTGTGCCCTTCATATGTTTAACTAATTTTTTAAATAAAGAATAATTTTCTGAACATTTTGAAAGTATATAATCTTAAAAACAATACATTCTCAACTTCGCATCAAAGCTAAAAAATAAAAATATAAAACCAACGTCCAGCACACACGCATACTCGTGATCTGCCTTAAAAATCGATTCGTAAACTTTTTTTTTCGGCATCCATTAAATCGGTTTTAGTGTTCATAAAAATGAGCTTTACTAAATTAAAAACCTTTTCGCCAACTTTTACCCTTACCCCCCAGGTTTTTAAAACAGAGTTAGAAAGTAATTTTCAAAAAAAAAATGTTCGCTACTTGCTATAACTTTTATGTTTGTCAACCTACAATATTAAGTGTAAAATTTGGTTTTTAAAATTTAAAAAAAAGACGTACAAAAACTAAATAAGATCACTCTTAACAGATGTCCATACAAATATTGTCATGACCTGATAATTATTTTCGAAGTTAGAACGTGTTTATGGTAAAATCTGCAAAACCTAGTTTTTGTATTTGTAGTTCCCAATTTATTTCCTGTTCACCGTTGAATTTGTTAAAGGTATATGAGTCCTAAATTTTAACTAACTTTCAACTAAAGGGTTCTAAAATTGTGTCTAAAAAACAAAAAAACTTCCACTGAAGCTACTATGTGTCAAGAAGCTCGTGAGCGGTTTTTTTCAGTTATATGGTCTAGTTAAAAATGTTGCCACTCCTTTCAAAAACTGAAACGACGTCACTGTCCGTTAGTTAGTTTCAGGCCCAAAGTTCTATTAGAATTGACATGTTTGTATTTCAATGCACCGATATTTCTATTGATATGATAAATAATCTAAAACAAATTTTAATTTTTCTAAATCTATCCTAGGAGACATCTTACCACATTTTTTAAATTGTCCGGTACCTATTTAATTAAAAAAAAAAAATGTTAACAAATGATATAATTTAAATTTAAAAAAAAGTTTGAAAGTCGTCACTCGTCCCTAGAGGAGATTTTTGAGAAACGCAAATCTGTTTTCAAAATTTTTATCTCATCAGTAGATCAATGATAAGTTGAAACAATAATACATCTAAATTCCTACACTGCCTGTAAGATGAACGGAGAAAGCAAACATACTTTTAAGGGATAAATTGTACTATATCATACATGATGTATAAGGTTTATACTATATAACTTATAACATACAACGTATTTCAGCTATCGTTGTATGCGGGCTCTTCACTACCGTTAAACATAATACATATATTTGGGGCCGACAAAATACAATGAACATAATGTAGTTTCAGTTTTCGTTAAAACTCGGTAGCGCACGTATTAGCTTTTAAATTATTATTACATGTATATGAACATCACGGCCTGCTCGAGAAGAGCGCCTGCTGAGTGTTAGTAACGTACGTATTACACACTGCACGCGGAGACCTCAACGTGGTTACATTTTTTTCGAACACTACAACACAATGCAGTGGTTTGGTCGGTTCAACGGCAGCAGGTGGTGGTGATGGGAGACCGTGGAGTACGCAGTGTGACGGGTCTGTGCGTACTGCGACCTGCGTGTAGAGTGACGCGACGCGCGGAGCACACGGGGACTCCTCGTTGCTCCTCTTACTACCACAACTATATGTTATATATGTAGTCTGCTGTATTACCGCTTCACTGAAAAAAAAACTAGCGTTGTGCAGACCGGCTGCGGTCGAGTCGGCAGTCGAGGTACCCGCCATAACCGCCGAGCGAGCCAACCGACGTGGATGTTTGGCACGCGCGCGCTACCCATTACTTTTTCGCCGGATACGCATGTGATAGTGGCCACAGACGACGCACCGGTGCGTCCGATACGATGTGATCGGCACGCTAAAATTATGCCGTACAGAATACAAACGGTACAACTCCGTGGATGTGGCGCGGCCGGCGCTTGGACGCTATTGCTAGCCGCATTTCTATGGATAACCGTTTGTACTGCCAGCTTACAGCAAGTCACTACCGTAGTCGGTGACACCGACGATGACTCTGCAGCCGCGGTGCCCGTTGTCCACAAGTGTTGCGGCCGTGACGAAATAGTCGTGGTCGACCGTTGCCGGAACGCCAACTTGACCGGTTACGATCTGTGGACGCCAGAATTCACCCGTGAAGACGCGGGCGGTAGTGGACAGGAAAGCGTATTACCGCCTTTTTCCGTACCTTATAGGTAAGCGCCCTCATAAAATGTCCATAATATACCTATTATGTAGCTAAATATTAAATATTTATCATTATTATTCTAAAATATTTTATTACCTGCCTATAATATATATTGCTATGAATAATGCGTAAAAATACTTGGCAGGATCCGGCTTATAAGATTATTTTGTAAAAAAAAAAATCGGTTCAACTTATATAAATATTGGTATTATGTTTAATGCTATGTGGTATACCGAGTAATTATCTTAATTTTATTAAATAACACAGCGACAAGATTGCGGTGTACAATAGAAATTGTTATTATGAATTTTGTCGATTCGTCAAAAAACCAAGTACACATATTCCGTATTCATACACACTGTTGTAACGTGATTCGTGAATAGTGTGTGCCTTAATGAAAGAGGTGTAAAATGTGTCGATGTCAAATATCATATAATATGCACAGTTTATCCAAATTTTATGTCCGACTTTATGGTAGATATTTATACGCTAAACAAATAATTAAGTATAAATGTAGTTGATTCTATATTATAATTTATAAGCTAACAATGTAAACAATTTGTTACTAAAAAAAGATAATTGCAGGTTTAAAACTCAACCAGTGGATAGTTTTAAAAATTCAAATGACACTTTTAACACCACCTATTTAAAGTTAAACTTACCACCTACTTAAAATTTACCTGAATATATATATATAAAATCCATACAGCAGAAATTTAAATAACTGAAAATTCGCCGATACCAACTGTACAGTTTCATTAAATTACTAACAATCTTTAGAGTAATCAATAACAGTAAAGATACAAACAGCTAACCATTATAAGTATTCTAGAGCAACCGCTTTTGTCCGCCTTAGAGCACTTGGCTTATTTGCCTGTCCCTGGATAGAGTTACAATGTTCGGTACAAAGGATCGGCGCTGGAAAACGCGAGTCTAATTATGTTGCTATTATTCGCCATCCATTGGCCATTTATGGCAGATACACGTTACTCGTTAAACGTCACGCACAGCGCATACAAAACATACATAAGCACACTCACATATTGCGTATACACAATAAATTAAACCGGTTTCCTAGAATCATCCTGAATGACGGTGTCTTCTATGCGATCATCTATGTAGAAGAGCGCTATCTATACCTTAAGTGCTTAAGTCGCATGTACTGTAGTCTATAGGTACGTCCACGCGTTATATAGCACAAAGTAAACGATATTTTGGCGCGTTATGAAATTTGTTGTGTAGTGGCCAGCCAATATTCGCTGTCTGGAAAATACTATAAACTCTAATTTCCACATGGTCGTAAAATTTTAAAAACAATTTTGATGAAAATTTTAATTTGAGTAAAATCGTAATTGTGAATTGTTTTCTCATAGGCGCAAATACGGAGGGGCTAGGGTGGGCTTAGCCCCAAAAATTGTTATGCATACAATTTTGAAATACAAAAATATATTTACCTATATATATATTTTAAAAAAAATTCCAGCCCCCCCAAATTAAAAATTGAAATTGCGCCTATATGTTTTCTACCTTATAGTTTACACTAGATTTTCGTTCGTGTAATAGCCAAAAACTTTTATTAGTATGATATTTAAATTGAGTTCTATTAGAATGGTCTGTTGAAAACGGATCGATGACCGGCTAGGCTAAGTTGATACATTTACTCGAAAACTCCGTTAGTCCGGGCAAGATTTAAGCATTTATTCATTTGGTTTTAATAAAAATGAAAGTACTGATCGACCGCAATTGATTATGCTCAAAAGTGTGTCTATTAATCAAATAAATTATTAGTGCTTGTGTGGACATAATATTATAATATTATGACATACCATTAAAATATATGCGGTCGTTGTTGCTATGTTGAAGGATAGACAAATCAGAATAATTTTAAAAAGCTATGAGGGTGGCCGACAATGGTTGAATTTGGGCTTTTAAAGCCTCGCGTCGCTAAGTATATTGATTATTTCTAAATGTCTATCAGGCACCAGGAAACATCAACAATTCAAAGTTGTTGACAAACTCCTCCATTTCTTCAAGTCTTTTTCCCAATTTATGTTTTAATAAATTTGTCGTGGGTGGGCGGTTTCTCAATTCATATCACACACGTTAATATAAAATATACTCATTCACTATATTATATAGATTGTATGTAACAAACGGAGAATAAAAAAATAAGATTTTAATAAATATTAAAACAGTTAATGCTCTCATTTCCCCTATAATTAGTTTAATTTATTTTAAACCCCTGCCGCTTTTGCCATAATATCATTAAGCCTATTTAAGTCAGTCAAGCGTTAATCTAACGTTAGACACTACAGTTACAATAAAACAAAAAGCCAGCACAGTGGGGTTGGGGCATAGTGGGAACGGGGAGGTCACAGGTTTACAGAAACTATTACAACTGAAAGTAAAAAAATCACTCAAATAAAAGCTTCGATGCGAATCATTTGGTAGTATTTTTAAACCAGTAAAGTCCAAACCAAGCGTATGGGGGTATACCAAATACACATTCCTTATAAATTACAATATTTATTTATTGATTAATCCTAATAAGGGTTTTTTAGAATATGTTTTAATTAGTAAGTCTATGATAGGAATGAGAACGTGGCGGCTACAACTATACATATAGTTGGTTATTACTTATTTTTTAATAAGTATTAAATATTATTGATTTGTTTAATATAATCGATATTTAATGACTATGTGCAATGGGTACTTGATGTATTAATTAAAATAATTCGCCACTATATTAGTATCGATAAGTTTCAGGGATTATTATTTATTGTAACGTCAGAAGAACTACGGTTGCCATCATTTCGATTGATCAGCATAATTTAGTACCTATATGGTTTTTAAACAAGTAGTGTTCGATTGCAACGAATCGTCTCTCAGTACAAAAACTATGTGTGTATACTTATATATTTTATGTATAGCATCATTCGAGAAGTCAACTGGTTATACTAAGAACTGACGACCGGATTCCTTTTTGAGAAAAATATAATAAATATATATTCCAGTTTACTGTTTATGCTAACCATTAGACGCACTCTGATTGAATGCCCATTGTTAAATATAGCAATAATGTTAGTCATAAACTTGCTAATAGACATTAGTCCACTTATTTAACTAAATTGCAAATAAAAAAAAAAGCCGAAACAAGGTCCAAGATACAATGAAGTTGGGGTATTATATTATTGTTACAGGAAGATTAATTGCGATAATCACTTGTTGTATAAAACGCTCAAATTTAAGTAAATCTACAGAGTGCAAATTATAATTAAAATCTAATTTTGTTTTTAAGTTTTTTTTATTATAAAAAAAAATATTACGACTACAGATTTTGTTTTAAATATCGGTTACTTACATATACAGTATTCAGTCATAGGAGACAATAACACGATGTCTTTCCACTTGAAAAACGAGAAAGTAATCTTAATAATATAATATTTGTATATATTTGATAATATTTCAATGCAAATTTAAAATGCCGAGATGAAAATGTACAAATTAATTGATATGCCCTTAGAGATTAAAATCATGTGTCCAGTACAACTATTATTTTTTAAATTTAAAACTAATTGCAAAAACCTATACTTTTTTCTGTTACACAGCGAATAACTGTGATATACCAGACATGAAACTAGGAATTGCAAATGGGAAAGTTTAATTTAGACTAATTTAGTAAATTATGATTTTCTGACGAATCTGATTTGTGGACTTTAAAAAAGCTTACGACAGCATACACCGGAAAAGCTTGTATAATATATGGCTGAACTTAGGTTTCCAGCAAAACTAATAGCATTAACAAAAATGTGTATGGAAGGTACAAAGTACCAGATAAGGGTAGATCAAATCTCATCCGGAGAGTTTCAAGTTATTATAGGTCTAAAACAGATAGATGCATTTTCACTTTTGCTATTTAATATAGCGTTGGTAAAAGGGGATAAGAAGTGTACATCATAATAGATGTGGGCTAGAGGTCGGTGCATCGAAATTGAATGTATTAGGGTTTGCGGATGATTTAAACCTAATTGGAAACAACAAAGAAACTGTAGTGAAAAATACAGCCACATTATTGATAAAGCTAAAACAGTGGGCTTAGTAGTAAATGAAGAAAAAACCATAGTTATGGAGATTTTGGGAAACGACTGAGATATTTACAGTGGAAGGACTGGTTTTTGAAAAAGTAAACCAGTTAAAATACCTAGGAGCTACCATTAAGAGTAATAATGACTGGAGCGTAGAAATAGTAAACCGCATACATAAAGCGGAAAAGGCTTATTATGCATTATTACAATTTTTCAAATACAAATTATTCACGAGAAGGACGAAATTAAGACTGTATATGGCTGTAGTTAGACTGACGCTGACGTATGGTTTCGAGGTGTGGACGATAACAGCTCAAATGGAGAAAAGGTTACTCTCTTTTGAGAATAAGATATTTAGAAAGATTTGCGGTGCGATGTACGACAACGAGTCGAGGTGCTGACGGAGAAAAACAAACGCCGAAATCGGAGAAATTACGCAAAGCCCCAAGGTAACTTATTGCATAAAGGCACAACGATTACAATGGTTCGGACACACTATCCGAAGAGATGAAACAAAGGCTGTGAGGGCAACCATACAGTATCAACCAAGTGGGAAAAGACCGAGGGGTAGACCAAGGAAGCGATGTTTCGACGGGGTAAGCCAGGACTTAAGGACGCTGGACGTAGACGATTGGAGGGAAATTATTCAGGATAGGGAAAGATGGGAGGCTGTAACGGTGGCGGCAAAGACTCTTGGAGAGTAATAAAGCCAAGAATAAGAAGACGTATCTGATACCATTTTCATGTTGTTCTTTTTTAATGGGTCGCAGTGGATAAGGCGTCGAATTTCCTATGTAGATATACTAGAGCTAACAATACCCGTTAGGCCACCAGTGCGAAAAGACTTGCCGGAATTTATCTCGAAGTTATAATCGCAATAATTTTTTTATAATTATTTATGTCTTATGGGATTTTTGTATAGGTGCATTATATTTGATTATAATATCTTTCGACGCTAAACTTATTAAAATGAATTCCTTAAAAGTAAATTTATACAGACATTTTTGGGTATACGCCTACAATATAATATAATAATTATTATTATTATTATGTTATAAACGCACAGCTTTCACATAAAACGATCTGTTTTTTTTTTGTATTTATGTATTTTTTTGTGAAGCCTTGGCCAACAAAGCAAGCATTAATCACGAGACTTCCGGCATTGGACGCTTTACTGTTTTACATCGCCTTCAATTATTATTATTTTGTTTTAATAAAAAATACAATGACGCCCGGGGTCATCGACTGTGGTCCTTCAGAACTTCTATGCCGTATGATACTTGTATAAACTTCAAGCGCGTTTGCAGGCCATGTATCTAATTATTATAAAATCATGTGGTTTCCTACCGGCAACCACAGTGAATCACTTCAGAATCATTGTTAACGATTGATAGATACGTTATTTAAATCAACGGAAATGTCCTACAAACAAATAATAATTATTTACATAATATTATGTTTATATGCTATGGATTTTTGTAGTTTTTTTTGGAGATGACGCATACTGTAATGACTCATTTTACTGGACTGCGACGACTAATTATAAAACTATTTCTCTTGCGCAGAGGTGGATATAAAAACATACCACAACTAAGCGAATTGTATTTTCCGTCCTATCCCCGTAAATTAATTTTCATGTATTATTATGATTGTAAAAAACGTTTACAAATGTAAATAGATATGGTCGTTGTGGTTTAATTCGACAATATGAACTTTTATTTGTCAAAAAGTTTAAATATAATATGGTCTGTTATTATATTTTGCGTACGTGATGTTTTGATTTTAAAATCACTAATCGCTTTAATATAAACTTACACAGTGTTCCACATAGTTATTTTAAGCTTTAGTTGAGTCGTATGAAAGATGACTTAATATGTAGAGCCGTAGAATTGAATGCGGGGTACATTTGAATAATGTTGATAGAATTGTTTTCACTGTGCTGAAAATATCGAGGAAAAAAAAATTAAATAGTCACAGTGTATCAAGACTAGATAGTTGATAGGTCAATAGACGTAACCCTCAAGACTTACATTTTACAGGAGATACTAAAATACCATGTGCATATTGATTTTATGGACTAAATAGTTAAATTTTGTTTAATAAATTTAAAAATAGTTTAAGTATAATTTAATGTACTTCTTAAAAGGTTAGGTAAGGTTGGCAAAAGTAAATAGAATACTTAACCACTTTATTTAATCCAAAGTGAAGTTACTTGTTGGTTACACTACTTGACTAGTCAGAATAAAAACTGTTATGGAATAATATTGTTATTGACTGGTGTTGGTTACTGTAATCCTGAAATCCAACAAACTAAAACCGAAAACACATTCGATATATTTTAAATATTTTACTACTATAACAATAACAAAAAAAATTGTTCAAATTTATTGTGATAGCCGATAGGTATGATTATTAAAATTATTAAAGGTAAATTGTTGTCAGAAAACGGTTTTCAAACTTAGGTTCAGTCAATTGTGCTGGTGTTAGAGTACGTTCAATAACCGTTGACTAGATCTACTCGAGTACTATTTTTTTAATATTTTAGTTTTAGTCACGATTAACGATAGAAATTTAAGATTATCTTTAATCTTGGTTTAGTTAAATAACTCTCATTGCGTTTGTCTATACTTCATTGCTTGTTCAAAATGTATAATGACATTCTTTATACAAAGTATCGGTTAGAAGAAAACCGTATTAATTAATTAACAGCGGTGTAGCGCGAGATGTTTTAATATTTTTTAATAAATATTTATGGTATCTTCAAAGCGTTCACATGTTGGAATTCGCATTATAGTTTAATAGTTTAGTTTTTTCAATAACAATGCCACTCCTTGAAGATCATATTAAGGAGTTTTAGCACCCGCCTAAGGAAATTTAATGGAACACCCATAATAAAATGTGACATTAGGTAATTCAATATAAATCCAATAGCGTTCACTTTACAGGATACGAATCAAAACGGAATTGTAAACTACACCCTGCATTTATTTTGAAATGCCATTTAGAGATATCGTGGCTTAATGGATTTTAAAAACGGTTGGGTTGCCACACCATATTTGTGTATTGTGTAGTAATGATAGAGAGCGGGGTAGGGTAGGTATCTGTTTACGGTTGTTTTCTAGGAAACGCATTTATATGGCTCTAGGGTATGACATATTACCCCCCCCCCCCCGCTCCGGAACGCAAAGGATGCAAGTGTAAAAAAAAGGGTATGACATATTATACTATTAAATACGAATGACACGAGTCAATATGCAATTCGAATAAAACCACTTTTATAATTTTATTTATGATTTACAAAAAAACGACGAAGACCCTTATAAATATCGCTCCAAGGCCAATATTGCATAGCTAAAGCATTGATATATAATTTCTATTATCTAAATGAACAATCTTGACACTATAGAAAAGAATACCTACCTATTGTAATTGAGTGTATTATGTACAGGTTTTCCATTAGTAGAGGACAAACTCGCTATATTACACGTCTAGCATTATAATTTGATTTTAAAATAAAAATAGATTAAATGTAATTTAAAATCAATTGTCATACGGGGTATGCTATCGATTTTGTTAAAAAAAATGTTAGATATATTTGAGGGTTTCCAACCCGCTTGTGATCTCATCACAATCAAACGATAGAATGTTGCTTTGGGGATATATTACCCTAAGGGCTGTAGGTGAGTTGCGGCCCGAGGTGTTGTTTACAATGTTGGAGACCGATGACTTGCGGCCCGGCAATTTTCGATGGACGTACGAGTTGCGGCCCGGCAGTTTTCGATGGACGTATGAGTTACGGCCCGTGCAACCTTTTTTATCTTAAAACTTTTATCGCCCATTTAGTTATACAGGATGATTTTTTTAAAGAGATCCACTCAATATCTTATAGGATTTAATTAGTTTAGCTACATTTCACCAGACGCGACGTTCCCCCAATATTTGGGCATAGTTTACTGCCAGCTACAACCGTACCACAAACAGCTGTGAAAGTTTCCATTTAAAGTTAAACGGTTCATTCTATACTAGCCATCCAAATATTTATAACTTCTTTGATATGCTACTTGAAATTCAATCTGAAACGTATATACAATTTAGAAGTAAATTATTAAGAAACTGTGCGAGAAAGAAGCGTTTATTAGAAAACAAATGTCAAAGCTAGAAAACAAAGAGATCGGACAGTTTGAATTAGTCAAAATTTTAAGTTTTAAATTCTCTCAATAATATAAAAAAAACTAAAATGACAACGACGGAACGCTTATTGGCAAATAAAATGACCAAACTTGACCTTAAAGACAGATTTTTGGGAGGCAACTCAGCCAACCTCCCCGTGGTGTCTCTTGGGCAACGCTAATAGGCTGATATAAAGTGGTTATTATTATGTGGCCGCAACTCATACGTCTCTTTCATAAACCCGGGCCGCAACTCATACGTCCCTCTCATAAACCTGGGCCGCAACTCGTACTTGATTTAGGGATTGGGCCGCAACTCACCAACAACGACCCTAAGTAGGCCAAATCCGTATAAAAAAAAACAAAAACAAAATCTCTTATCTCTTATATCTTATCAGATAATTATTTCTGTAACAACTGTGAATAAGTGTGTAAGTCGATTTCAGTGATTTTACAGGGGAGCGATTTTAAACTGACCAGCTGCCATAAGTCAGCATGTAATAATCAGGAACTCGCATCTCTCTCAAGGTTTTCTTGTTGGTCGAACGAGTTAGACATTTATTCAAGGTGTGCTAGACACTTCAGACTACATCCTAGCGTACTTAGTCAGTTTTTACCAAAATTCGACTTCACACTTATTCACAGTTGTTACAGATTTATCAACCGCTAGATAATGCCACACGCTCAAATTTTCCTTGGTAACGTTCAGCGTTGATGCACGCGCGCACAGATTTTCTTATTGACCCCCAGCCAAAATACATATCCATGTCAAAACTGTACATTGTCCCCTTCCCGTAATTATGTACTGGACCCGCCCCTGGTTAATTACATGTGCATATTTTACTTAGATTTTACCGATTTTTTGGAGATGATTTTCTTGTACTGTTTTTTTGCGTGGTCCAGTGAATTTATACAATGTATTAGGTACTATTTACGAAGTTTATTCGGCCGTGTTCACAGACTAGCTACTGGATTTCCTAACTGCAAGAACCGACAACAATGGTTGGTGTATCATTATCGCGGGTCCGGCGATCGTCTGGCGTTGTTCCCCAGTGGTAAACTCAGGCATTTTGTACTTAAGCACCCACATGGCCACAACGACGACCAGGAACAACGGGACTTCGAAGTGGACCACGAACGGTCATTCGATTACGAACAAGGATCCTATTGCTTGGACAAGGTACCTAATCAATGTTCTGAAATCTCACTTTACTAATAATTTAAGATACAACTGACATATTATCTTATCTCTATTCATGATATTTCTTAAACCTAGAAGACTTCAGATTTTTTTTCATTCAAACTCCTTCAAAATACTTAAAAACGCTATTTTATAATTTAATATCGTAAAATCGGGAAACCTACGTTGGCTACCACTTTCTAGACAGAGGACACTAAGACTATACTAAATTATAATAGAACAATTGTATTATGGACACTGAAGGTTTACAATATATGTGGCGCTGAGAAGTCAGTCTGTTGTGAACGCCGATAATAGCATTGCTACCGAAAAAAGCGTATATGCAATCACTAATCTATTTTTTTTTTTTTTTTTTTGTAATAAAGGGTATTTTTGTATTATTTTGTAAACGACTACAGTTATAGTTTGATCAAATTAGGCTCTTTTAGACTCAATGTACTAAAACATTGTAAATATTGGGTAACAAAATAACTGAAGCCTTCCAAGGCAAAATAATCTAAATGCCAAAAAACAAATTTAGGAAATTTAAAAAAAAATAACTAATATTTATAGAAGTCGGAAAAATGTAGGTAAGAGTGTTTAGTTAGTGTTTCAGTTGGTTAGTGTTTCCAGATAACACTTTCCAAAAAAATCCTTTCAAATTTTTTGGCACTTCGATTACTTTGCCCCGAAACGCTTCAACTTTTATGTATAATGTATAATATGTTTAGGTGATAGACATAAACCGCTCAGACATGGATGCACAAGTGGCCGTCATATGTACGCCGCAAATACCTTCCCCATGGACGGACACAGACTACGTGATGCGCAGGGTTGCCAACCCAGCGTGCCACGCTTTGGCCGTCTTATGTCTTTTGCTAGTGGCCATCGTCCATTTTGTATTGCCACAGCTTAGAGACTTGATTGGCAACATGATGACTACTTTAGCCTGCTGCTTGATTGTGGCCAAGGTAGCAGACATCGTGCGTATATTTGTGGAGTATAATAGTCCAATCAGCTACTTAACGGCCGGTAAATACTATATAACAAAAAACGGTTAAAAAAGTAAGACAACACTGCTTATGATTCGAAATTCAACAAAACAAAGATTTTTAGGTGTGTTGTGTTATGAAATTGAGTTTAAAGTAGCTAATAGGAATCGATGATTAGCTTAAAGAAAATTATTTAAGTACCAATTTGTCCATTAACCGTTGTCTTACTTCTGTACTACAATATAAGTTTCTAGAAACCTCATAACAATTTTTTTGAAACTTAATGAAATTAATTATTACAATTATATAAAAAACTAAAAAAAATGTTTACGAAATTTATTTTGCAGACGCTTTTCTTTACATTTCTACGTTGGGGTCGTTTTTCTGGCTGAACGCGATGGGTTACTACATCTGGCGAACGTTAAGGTCCCGTAACGTTTTCCTACGGATTACCGACGGCCGAAAATACTGTTATTACTCGCTGTACGTGTGGGGATGCACGTTGGCCATGGGAGGAATAGCGCTTTTTGCTGATCTCATACTGGACACGCAGCACCAACCAAATGCACAGGCTGGTTACGCCGGTACGCAGTCTCCGGTCGCTTCGTCCGACAGCGCAACAGATGGAGCTATCGGTAAGATAACAACATTTTCTATATCGCCTACTTATTCATCAGCACTAGTGCGTCGATAAACCTATAGTTCTATTGTACTTATTCTTGCGGTTCTAACTGTTGTATTATTTTTATTATCTGTTTATAGGGTGGCTCGGCATAGCTGTTATGTTCGTACCGGCCGTGTGTACGATTCTAGTCAATTTGTTTTTTTATGTTTCTACAAAGACGGCCATCAAACGCATGTCCACCTATGGGCAGATTCATCATAAAATGAAATACAGGTATGTCAGTGGTAGGTACAAAAATTTAATTTCAAAAATAATTATTTAACAGTTTTTCTGGATTGGATTACCAAGATTGGTGAAAAACCTTATAATAATGTAGTTCTATGGAGTTAAATTAGCCTTTACTTACGCCTAGGTACGAGGCAACATAATACACACCAAAATAAAAAGTATAAATTACTAAAAAATACATTACCTAGTAACCTAACCTTTCCCTATAGCTATAAGGTAATCGGTATAATTATCGAGTCCTGCACCAATGTCTAACTAATTGGAGATTATGCATACATAGTAATTCAATTAGATAGGTAAACTATACATAGGTGTTCAATAAGTTTGGAATTTTACCCATTGGAATACTATAGAAACTCGTTTCCAAACTAATTAGATGCCTTGTATGTATGTATTTATACTTTGTTGATGTTTTTTTTTTTTTTAGCTTCGACATGTTTTCAAAATTGTTTGCTATCATGGTGGCCGACCTGACGCTGTTCGTCTTGTCGTGGACGCCGCACGACGCATTCTTTTACACGTACGTGGTGGCCAACCCAGTGCAAGCTATCCTTGTTCTGTATGTCACTGTCATCCGGCCCAAAAGGGTCAAGTATTTGTTGCGGAAAGCTTGTTGCTACGAACGGTGTCCGTTCTCTTGCTGCAGGCCAAAGGAAACAGACATCCAAGCGGGCACAGAATGGGGCGAGGAAATGATGGCGTTTAATACTGCAGACTACTGATCGCCGACCGCGTACATATTGATTAATTGCAAAAAAGTACCGTTTCTTTAAAGTTCATTTTTATTATTTTTTAAATTATTGATTTTGTATGAGATTTTTTTTATGGAAAATACGTGATATTATCAAAACGTACAGTACGCGACTGATGATGAACATATAACATTATGTATATACTATATAGGTACCTAATAGTTATAGAATACTGGTTTTGTACTTAAATATGTTTTATTATAATTTAATATATTATTATTAATTATCAAAATTATCATTGTACTTATTTTACTTACGTATTTATCTACCAAGCAGAGTCAGCCTGACGAACGTGGCCGGAGCCCCCAGCTATGCTAAGGCCCTGAGGCCCGCGCATTTAACACAATACGTGGGATTTGCCAGGGTAAAACAACTGTAAAATTTATAAAATATTCAAATAAAATTGTTTTTGGGGGCCGTTTAATCGGCAGGCTGACCCTGCCTCCAAGTGTATGGCACAAATCATTGTACGAGACATGTTCAATCGGTTAACGCAGTTATAGTGTTGAGACTTGAGTGTAATATGTGGAGTACTATTTAAAATACACGCAAGAAAATAATAAATATCTTCATTAGTCAAATGAAAAATATAAGGACAGGTATTAAAACTCATCAGAATATCTAATAATAGAAAATATCAATATCAATTCAGAATTATATTTGTATTTAATTATAAACATTCACATACAAATTTTACACTTAATTTAATTCATTAATTATTATTAAAAAAAAGTATTTCTTTTAAACATCTTTTGGATACATTTTTTTCAACCAGTCCCGCGGTAAATATCTTGTACCGTCGAATTTCTCAAAATAATGTTCTATCATTGTATGGTGTACCTAAACAAAGTAAATTATTTAACATCAAATTGTGTCTGGAGTAATAGCCACATAGAAGCAACGGGCACAATATTTCAAAATATTACTTCAACGTCTAGCAGTAGTAACATACGATCCTGTTGCTCCAAAGACGATTCGTTTTTGTTCTCTATCAATAAAACATAAACGGGTTCTTTGGTTAAGTCCTGCGTATAGACAATGAAATAAGTTAATAATAAGTCAAGTTCATAATTATTATTGAAAATTGAATAAATGATTAATCACTAATGATTAAATTGTTCGATAATTAAACGACAAAGTAAATTAATCCATGAGTAATCGATTATGTATTTATGCTCTATATTGTTCAGCATTCTGTTACGACTTACCGACATATCAATGGACCATCCGACCACTACGGCTATACTCAAATCATATGTAAGCACTACGTCTCCTACTCTATACTTAAGATGGGGTGGTCTAAATTCGTGAATGTCGTCCTTGGGAATTTCGCTTTCCTCGACGTCTTGCGTTGTCGGTACAGCGTAATCGAATATGCTCCATAAATAAGGTCCTAATAGAAAAAAAACAATCACATAAACAATATAAATTTTAAAAAAAATGATAGTTCCTATCCGATATTTATTCTTTCTTCAACTTGTTTGTTCCTATTTTATAACTCAATAACTGTTCTGGAACAAACGAACATTTTTGGTTTTTTGCAACTTTTGTTTCAAAACTAATAAAACTTACTGTTATGGTTTCTTAACTCTTTTTTTTTAATTCGTTTCAAAATAAAAATGCCTACTGTTTTAAAAAGTGTCTAATTTTTTTAAAAAATATTTTTCAAAATTATATACAAAATAATAAGAATCAAACATGACAACTTAATAGGAATAATTAATAGTAACTTAAGGAATAATTTCTTGAAATTTATCCGGACTCTACAATAAAAATATTTAGAGGTTATAAAAAGTGAATAATGTGATTAAGTACTTAAATAGAAACATAAATCGTTTAAACTTGAGGATCTTAAGAATTAGACACTATAATATATACTATATATTATATTGTATACTAACACAGTATTTAGATTTAACACAGTTTCTAGTTTCATATTATTTTATAAAAAAATAATGACTAAAGAGTAATACATTCACTTCATTAGTGAAATAAACGAAAATCTAACGTACTGAAAAGTGGGGTTAAAATGTTCACTTGGAATTATTATAATTGAAAGTAAAAAAATCACTATTAAGGTCCCTGGATACCGATCGTTTTTTCAGCTAAAACGCATCATTTTTTGTCAATCGCACAGGTTGAATCAGTGACGAGTGATCCGATAAGCAATTTAAAAACAGATATGAATTCGTCATGAAGTTTACTTGAGATCGGTCAGAGTACTTATTTTAATTTTTTAAATTTGAAATTTTATAAAATGTTCAAACTTGTTTTATGCGTAGTAGGAATATGATATCAAAAAAGTACGCTGACCGATCTCAAGTAAACTTCATGACAAATTCAAATCTGTTTTTAGATTACTTATCGGATCACTGGTTCAGCCTGTGCGATGGACAAAAAATGGACTATTATATTAACTAAAATGGCTTTTACTCATAGAAAAAATGATTTAAATTAAAAACAATACCACGAAGCTTATACAAATTAACAGCTAAATTAATTGACATGGTCGAAATTTATTAAAACCACTTTTTTCTTAAATATTGCTTATACAAAACTCCTTAAAAATGGACGGTATCTAGGGGCCTTAACAAAACACTTTGCCACAAATTAGTAGCTGTGGTAAAGGAGACGTTAAATAAGTAAAAATGAAATGCAAAGGCAAGTTGGCATTATAATATCTACACAGGTATTGATTTTTTAGTACTTTTAGTTTTTCCATTATGGGCAAAATTAACAATAGTTTATTTATTTTCATTAGTTAGGATGTTTTAGGTACCTACAGGCTACACCTTGTATGTAATTACCTACTTTAGTTTTTACTTAACATGCTCACAAGTACGAACAAATGTTTTTAACATTAATATGCAGGCTTATAGTTCCTTAAATATATTACACAAATATAATAAGGAACTATTTTGATTTTTCATTACTTTTTTAAAAATTATAAAAACGTGTACCTAATTTTCAACCACCAAAATGGAATTAATTTAAATTGAGGATTGTATTATACATTACAGTAATTCGATGATTTTATGACCCTGCTTGTATATAACGAAGTTAAAAAGGTTTGACTACCTACAAGCTAATCCAAATGCCAGCCATCTAGAAGTTAGAACACCAGCTGTACATAATGTTCATAATGATTGATGTCGACTTACTTGGATCGATATAGTCCATAACATAATCGCTATCATATAATTCATCGGGTAAACTTTTAAACAATTGCAAAATATATTCTTTTATTTCACGGTTATATCTCATTAAGTAAATTTGTAAAGGAACTGATAAAATTAAAAGTACTAACGATACGACGTTTCTTAATTGCATTGCCCCGTTATAATTGTCAAATAAAGAAATATATAAGAATATTTAAAAATCAAAACATTGCTTTTAACTTTTATTAATAATTAAGGTAGGTACGCAAAGTAATGCTGCTATAATAATACATACGTGTTATATTGTGATGATTAATACACTATAATATGAATAACCAGATATTAGGTGGGTACCTAAAAGTATGGTTTACGGTTATTCTACACATTTATTTTCATATACATTTTCGTATACACAGTTGTTTTAAGCATATGTTGTAGGTATGTCTTATATATATATTATAAAAAATGTATACATAAAAATATGTTGCATAGTTTATATACATACCTACCTAACGTATATTGATACGTATATTTACAAATTCAAATCATTTTTTAACCTAGGTATTTTCCAAAAAGTCGCCTTAACAAACATTTATTAATGGTCATTCCAACCACCCCAAGTCTCTTCGCTAAGAAAATTACATTTAATGCAGCTATCAAGTATGAAAGATTATTATTATAAAAGATAATAAAGTTATTAGATATCGGGTTTTTTTGGGAAAAGTCGAATTTTTGTGGTCTTATTACAAATAGATACAGGTATCATCAAGATTGTTAAGTATATACGGTATCTCATAAAAAAAACGTCTTTATCTTAATTCTATACCATCTTTGTATATATATGTTATATTTATGCCTGAAGGGGATTACATGCAGTTTGTTTTTAAGGAGTTTTGTATAGGCAATATTTAGGAAAAAAGAGGTTTTAATAAATGTCGATCTTATTAATTAATTTACCGGTAAATTTTTATAAACTTCAATGTGTTATTATTACATTTAAATCATATTTTCTATGAGTAAAAGCCACTTTGGTTTATTTTAAAACCAAAAATCCAGACAAAATGTCGTCTATATAGGATGGTCCAATTTCAATTCTGCATTTGGCTACTTTACTATGTTATGTAGCGTGCCGATTTTCATTTAAAAATTTCAATTTCTTGTAATTAAATAATTTAAATTTGCAATTTTTTCAATATTAAAACCCGATTTTTTTACAAAACCAAAAAACTGTTTCCTACATAAAATTTTAATGTTTCAACTAAAATTATATAGACTGTAGTATAGCAATAGCAGTGGTATATTATAATATAGTAAAGTAACAATAAATTAATGTGGCATGTATACATTATAAATGATGACTTAATTTGATTCATAAAAATCATTAAAATAATACTGATATAATATAACAATTAACAAAACTAAATAACTAATAAGTATAAAAATGTTAGTTGTATGGGTATACATGTCACATGATTGTATAAATGTACAGCGAACCTTACTATTTTCGAAACTATTTATTATGCAAAAAGTTACTGTACAAGTCCATTTCAATCTGCAACATATTTTGAGTGGTCGCTACCCACAAATTACGCCACTGATTTTCTCTACAAATACATTTTGATTTCAAATAATTTCCAGACAAATAATTTCTCTTTCATCAAAACAATTTTTTTTTTAATTTTGGAAATGGCCAGAAAAATTGTTGAAAACGATCGAACATAATGCGGTAAGCAAAATGGACCTCTTTTCGGCATTTTTCAAAGTTGAGATAGTATTATTTTTTAATTCCTTTTTAATTTTTGAACAATTTGAGACCGTTTACAACTTTGTAGCTAAGAAAATGATATAAGTTGTTGTACATTGAAGCTTGGGGCTAAAAAGAGGTCCCTTTTTCCGAGATCAATTTATGCATACTAATTTCAGCTATTACTCGATTCGACGTTTTTACCTAAATCTAATTCTAGAGATTCTAGAGAAGGTAGGTGCAATAGTTGAACTTAATAATAATATTATCCTTAGAGTGTATTATATTGTAGATAACTCGCAGACCTGTGCAAGGGCGCCCACAGGGAGGGGTAGGGGGATAAATCCCCCCTAGCTTCTCCGCAAATTAAAAATGTATATCTAATTACCAAAATTTGTATAATCTATTACAAAATCATAGGCGATCCCTCCCCCCTGAATTTTTTACTGCGGGTGCCATTGGACCTGTGGTTGTTTAAACCTTTTATCTCCTATATTTTACAACTAATTACTAAAATACATCTTTCATAACAAATACGTATATCTTCCTTTAATTATTTCCACCTTAATATAATGGTTTTTATAAAATTCAGAAAAAAAAACACTCATTTCTTGGATATACGCCGTATAAAGACTTGATTAAAAGCAAGTATAGTTTTATAAAATTTAAATTGCTACGAAGATTAACGATTTACATTTAGGACATAAATGTTTACATTAGGATTAGGACTTACAATAGTTCAGTATTTTGGGGATATTCGATATCCGAAAATGATTCGAATAGTATTAGTATCTGGATACCCTTGTTTTATTTAACCAGTTGTAAGATGGCAATCATATCAAGACCGCCAACAGGTGAAAATTCAGAGGCTGCCTATGATTTATTTTAACTTGCAGAGGAGCTAGGGAGGAGTTCCCCCTAACCCCTCTCTGTGGGCCTTTTTAAATCATACTGAAAAGCGCATTTTTAAGTATTGTTGTTTAAAAATGTTGCCTCTCCCTTTCAAAAACTGAAATGACGCCACTGATCAATTTGTTATTTTTTTGTCGAACTGGATCGGCTTAAAACATTTCAAACATCCTTTAGATAATAATTGGAATCTTAATTTTTTCCACTTAAAATTCATATTTTATTGTTCACAAATTCTTTAAATAAAAATGTATGTATTCTTTAACACAGTATTGGCACTACAATGCTATTATCGATATTTGTACTTCCACTATTACGAATTCGTATCGAAGTGTTTATTTGAAAGCTATTTTATCACTTTCAGTTGTAATAATTCATATAGACCTGTGACCTCCCCAATTAACTCCACTCTCACTGCCTAGACTCCACTGTACTAGCTTTTATTTAATTTTTTTTACAAAAATATACATTAGAACTAATTATATACTAAAAAAAAACTATGTATATATATTCAAATATTTTATGTCATATTTTTTTAAGATGTAAGTCATTCTAAAAAGGCTAAATCAAGAGACAAGATTCAAGAATTAGCTAAAAATAAAAAATTATAAATCATTTTTTGGAAGTCAAGGTAATATATATTTACAAAATAAATGCATTAACAATGAATGAACACAGACTTCAATTAACAAATTATTAAAGTAGTATATATTAAGTTGCAACATTTTTTGGTATCAAAATGAACCATTAATTAAACTAAATAAAGTTAAAGCAACAAAACAAAAGAGAAGCTTAAAATAAGTACCTGCTAGATGTATACAATTTTTTTATAGCTTTTAAACCAATCTTATCATAATTTGAACAGATTTTGTTATTTATTCTAAATGTAGAATAAAACAGGATAACATTGAAAATATTTATAATCGAATTTCGCATCTAAAAATATTATATATTTATAAATAAATTACAATGACCAATTAATATATAAAATAAATTATACGCATGACTACAAGTTGATGGTCTTCCAAGTTAAAAGTATTTGTGTTCTTTTTTTTTTATAACGGCTGCAATTTTGAAGTTGATTATGGTTTTGAATACCTACATCTGTGACAACATATAAAATGCACATACATGTTAAAAATGGATCGTCTCTTGTTAATTTACAACTTTAGGTGACACGTTTTTATGCTCAAATATACAAAAGAAACTAAACGGAGTAAACAATAATAAATTTTTAACAAATAAACATATTACATTCCTTTTACATACCCTGTTCATTTTACATAATAAAAAAAAATTGTTTACACAATTAAATGTTTAATTTATGTAAGAAATTTAAATTATTATTTTGTAAGAAAAAAAAACAATTTATATAATTAGATGGGTGAAATAATATTAATGTAATAATTAGTAAAAATTATATAAAATAAAATAAAATGAAAACTAGAAAACAAGCAAGTTAATCATTATTTTTTAATAAAGTAATTGGCGACAGTATGTTGTATAATATACAACATATTATATAACATTATACAACTTTTAAAAAAATGTTAACAGATATTCATATAAGTAAACAAATAAGAATAAAAATAAGTAGAATATATGCATTTTACATAAATTTACAATAAATATATTTGTAATATCTTAATGTACTTAATTAACGAACAGGATATGTTTAAAAAATGTCATTCAATTCTGATTAAGAATGTAATACAATATCAATCAGTTAGAGCTGGTATACATTTTTTTTTAAAAAATAAAAATACTTGTTCAAACTGTTAAACAATACTAACTATGTTTGATTAAACATACAAATCATATAAAACATGCATATCTAGTTATACACACTAATTATTGAACATTCCAACTAATTTTATAATGCTTGTAACCTATATGGAAACTTTTTTATTATTTCGTTCTATTAGGTGTAGTTTAAGGGCGTAAGTTCTGAAATTTAGACTTAAGGTAGATCTATATTGGGATTATAACATTTACAATTTTTAAAAAAATCTGAATCTATTTTTTATTAGAACAAAATATAAAAAAAACGAAAATTACACTTATTAGTAAATTCTAGATTGCTATGTTTAGTGAATACAGGTATCCAAATTATTTTTGAATTATGTTGTTTATTAGGATGCATGCATATAATGTTCTAATCGCACCCACCATAATACATGTACTAAAAATACAATACAAGGCACATTATTGTCATTACAATTAATTTTATCGAATATTTGTATATCTACCATCTACAGATTCAAAGTGTTTATTTATAAAGCGTTGATATTAATACTTTAAACTATAATAATTTATGTGAACTTGTGACTTCTGCCCAATATATTTTATTCCTACAATGCCCCAACCTGTACTGTATTTTTTTTATGTATATTAAAATGAAACCAGTTTTGTTGATTTTTATCAGAAACATAATGCATATTTAAAAAAAGTAATTTTAATTTTAATTTTAAATATTATTTCAGTTAATACTGACATAAAAAATTTAGTTATGTGAAATTGTATTGAAATTGACTCTGTTCTATTGTATTACACATTGCTATTTATAAAAGTAAAATTTGAATGAAACTTATAAATATTAGTTTTAAAATAAATCTAATGACTAGCATAAATAAAATGTTATTTAAAATGATAACATAAATAATTAATAATTAAGCTAAATAATATGTAAGAACTTATAAATAAAAACAACATTTTTAAACGATAAACAAATATTTAAAATGAAATAGTTGAGGTAATAACTCGAAAAAAAATAATAATAATAAAAGCACTACAAAATACATAACAATAATGGTGTGTTACAAATTATAGGGTAAATAGGTGAATTAAATTATTACTATTTAAATAAAACAAAACAAAAATCAAATTTGGTAAAAACTTAAGCAAAATGTAACTGTATAAAATTACAATAGGTTTTTTTTATTTTAATGTAAATGACATGAAGGGCCAAACGATAAATTCATTGTATCTACCTAAATGAAAATTGATGGACCAAGAATTTTGTGTAAATTAATAATACGCTTGAATGGTGGTCTATATTGAACCTAACATACTATTGAAGAACATTATTATAAAACCGAAATATAAAGTAAATAAAAGTAAGCCTCGTAGAGAATTGTGTTATTGCAATACTTACTAATACAAGAATATGAAATATATTATCGAAATTTAAAAGACTAAGTTATTAAAATATCTAGTTAAACTAAAATTTAGTTACTTAGATAATCAATATTTATACAAATTGTATAAATTTAAATATTAGTAATCAAACATTTATATCAAAATAAAGTGTGTAAAATTGTTATTAGTGAAGTCGTAGTTAAGATTTAATATTAATTCACACATAGAATCGAGAAGACTATGAAAAAAAAACAATTATATAACCATACTAAAAAAATGTATATATAAATTTTATTGACTTAAATATTTTATTTAAACTAAGTTACTTATCGGTATGGTAATTAAATATTAGTAGAATCTTTTGAATACACTTGGTTAATAAAATCGATTTTGATAATCCCATTACAACGAATAATTATGTATTATTAATATTAATTTTTTTAAGGTTAGCATTTAATGACAAAGTTACAGAGTTTCTCAATTATTTCAAAAGAGCGCATTAGAATAAAAATTAAAGACATTACTGACTAGCCATAAAAAAAAATAATGCATTTTTTAATACTACAAATACCTGATTGAAATTTATAACATTTACGTTATATTTTTTTTTCTTTCTTAATTCCTCATTTTTGATAACACTAGTTGTCTGTAATCGAATTGGGCAGTTTTTCAATTTGTAATATACTATAAAATAAACTATGTTATATTTAACTCTGTCAACATGTAAGACAAGGAATGTTTTATTTTAGGTGAATTTTTTGTGAAATTTGTAAAATTTACAATTTTTAATTTATGTAGAAAAAAAAATTATCAATTTTGATTACACATTTAATTTTGTTTTTACTACAAGTAACAAGAACTGGCATTTTTTTTCCCCCACATAAAAAAAAACAGTGACCAGAGATAAAGCAAGTTATTTTGGTTTTCCATACATCTTAAGGTACAATTAAGGTACTAAGCATAATATATTTTTCTGAAAAACAGATCATGTTCCTAAGTTTATCTAATGCATGATTAATGCTGTGTGACGTAACACTTGATTTATAGGATAAACCAAATACTACAACTATTGTGTCATTCAAGTCGCCAGCTCACAGTCTCAAAAGTCATTATATAATTTTACTAGATTTCCATGTCAAAAAATAAAATATCCATCAGTTGCGCTTTAAAAGGGCGCAGAACCAGTAAAACATTATAATGAAATATGATCTCGTTTGGTGACCAATTTTATAAAACCAAAAAAATGGCCTTCTTGTTAATTAGTTAAAAGTTTCATTTGCCTCCATGAACATTGAAAATCGGTTCAGTGGTTACAGACATATGTATGTACTCATAGAAGCACGCCAAAGCACTATGACCTGCTTTATCTCGGGTCATTGTTGTTTTTTACATGGAAAATAATATAATAGTTCTTGTTACTTGTAGTAGAAACAAAATAAAATGTATCATTAAAATTTATAATTTTTTTTCTCCAAATAAAACCTTAATTTTATACATTTCATAAAAAGCCACCTTTAACTAATTAAGAAAAAACTTTTATACCTTCTGTATTGTCGTTTTCTGATAATTCTGTATTATTTCTGTGTTTTCCTTCCAAAGAACTACTATTTTTTATAGAAACAATTATAGGATTTATTAACACTTAATAATTTAAAATCTCGGTAGAATAAATTTACCTTGAACTAACAACACTTCTGATTGCAGACTGCAATATACGAGCAGGATAGAACGTACTAGGTTTATTTTTTACTTCAATTTGAACCTTAAATAAAAAATTAATATAAGAAACCTTTTATATTTATTAGAAGAAGTCAAAATATAAATGATTTTACTGTGTTCATACGAAGTGCTCGCCTTCTTTTTAATTCTATTCTTAAATCAACAGATGATGAAGACTGTTTATCCTCTTTTACCAATTCTTTTTTTTTTGCCACAACTTTTTGTACTTCATGATTAATTTCACCTTCTTCTTCCTCATCTGTTATTTCAATGCAACTATCACTAGTTTCTTCTACTTTTTCATATTCTTCCAGATATTCATTTCCTTGAGATACATCCTCTTCTTCAATACTATCTTGTTCTTTAACTTCTTCAGGAGCACTAGATAGTTTAAATGTACCTGTTAATTTATTAAATATTATTTACCGTATATGATTTTTATTTGTCTTTAAATAAAGAGGAAATAATTTAAATATGCAAAGAAAAAAATGTCTAAACAATAATAAAGTAACTCACATATACACATATACATGCAGTTTACTTTTTTTTATAGCACCCCCAACAAGGTAATCATAACTTTATTTTTATTTTTCTTAATAGCTATTATTTTGTTTTATATCACAAAAATCTGAAGTAACATTGCAATTTAATAGTCCTAAGAAGTGTCACTTTTTTGTTAAAAAACTACTACATGTTTAATTATTTATTAAACTTATAATAATGGTCAATACAATTTACCTTTTCCCATTTGTTGTTTAATAATTTTTTCTTGACCAAAAACAATTCTTGGTCGTGGTTGTTTGATTGTTTTTCCAGAAATTGAATTCAATTTTACAATCCGACAAGTAACATCAGATTTAGAATCATTTTTTATTTTTATACTGAAATTGTTCAATGCTTGATGCATTTGAGGAGAGTTAAATTTTTTTGGTACTTGTAAAACTTTATTTGTAATTTCTGGTACAACTTTTTCGGTTTGAATAGGAACTTGAACAGAGTTAGATTTTTTTAATATTATTTTTTTGCTTGTTGGTTCAATAGATTTATTGGATTCAAATTTTCTTTTTCTTGCTTCTAATACAGGGTCTAACAATTTAATTTCAGCGTCTTTATCAATAAGTTTTATTTTTTCTTTAGTTATTAAGTGTTCATTATCTAATAACTTAGTATCTTTGCTTCGATATGCAGGGGATACAGGTCTTGATTTCTTTAATAGACTAGATGATTGTTTCCCAAAGAGCTTTCTACTTTTAGGTGATCTTGATTTTGATCGAATAGGTGATCTTGATTTTGATTGAATCGGTGATCTGCTTCTTCTCTTTTTTAAAGGAGAAAGCAGTCTACTTGTTTTATCAGTATCCTTAGACAATGATCTACGTCTTCTTCTTGAAGACGGTGAATGATGTGTATGAGATTTCGCCGGTGAATATCTTTTTGGAGAAAGATTTTTTTCTCTCAAAAGTGACAATCTTTCTTGTGATCTTCTAGATTTTAAAGATCCAAGATAGTTTTTAGACCTAACTGGTGAATATCTATAATTATCTGGAGTAGAAGACTTTCTACGGAGTGATTTTGGTGGTAGTGATCCTTTGCAAAGTTCATTGTAAGGAGAAATAGATTTTTTTATAAGAGGCGTTGGAGATTTGGAAGGAAGATGTGCTTTTGGTAGCATTTTATAATCATCACTGTCCTTTGAATGAACAGTTTTTTGGTTTTCACCTTTAAAAATATTTTTGAAGTTGCTTTCGGCTTCAAAGGATTTTTCTTTCTTTGATTTAGTACATTGTTTTAATTTTTTATTTTCTTTCTTGGAAGGTTTAGCCACTTCACAAGCGATTTCAGCTTCCATTATGTCCATTAACTTATCTAGATCATCTAAGTCTTCATCTTGTTGACCTAATAATAATACATCCCCGTCATCTGAATCAACATTATCTTCTTTTTCTGCACTACCCCCACTGCTTTCATCAGAGCCAGATTCATTCTCCAATCTACTAAATTTAGTAGATACTAATAATTGTATAAAAATAAATATATTATTAATAAGAACAATATTTTAATAAATAATAAAAATTACCTTTCTCTTTTGTTTTTTCACAATTATTTGCATCATTTGTTTCTGTACCACCCGATACTTTTGTACATATTTTATTATCCTCCTTAATTTTACAATGATAATTTTCTGGAAGAGAATCCCCTTCATTATCAGTTGGTATAATAGCAATTAAATTGTTGTTGGAATGAGCTGCTCTAAGAGAACCATCCTGAAAATACAAATAAGTTCATTCAATAGTTTTAGTTTAACAAACATACAATTTAGTATACTTACATTTATATAAGTACTTTTATATGGTCTATTAGATGAACAAAATCTACTTCTATTATTTCTATTAGAAATATTACTGTAGGCACTGCTATTTGTTGGTAAAATATTATTTGTATTTTTTTGGTTTTTAGATTTTCTTTTACAAGTCATAAGTGCTGCTAACCGTAAAGATTCCACATCGTCATCATCAATATTCTGAAAAATAATATGATTTGGTTATTATAAATAATTTAAGTTGTCATAGGGTTTCTTTATTGAGATATGATATTCCCTATTTTATGAGAATAAACTTACTGAACCCACTAAATTGATTTACTTTCCACACATTAACTATCACAATATAGTTTTGATTAGTAATTATATAACAAAGACAAAGTAATTATAGAATTTAGAAACATGTTTTTCGGGAGCATGTCATTAGTTAGTAAAAGTTCTGTTTAAACAAAAAGACTTAAAAACGTAGGTAAAAAGTAAATTTTAAGTAATGTAATACATCAATCCTATTTTTAGTGGCATAAATGTATTTAATAAATCACCAGAGTTCCCAACTAAAGAAAAAAAAGAATCATAGTAGTAGTTCTAATCTAAAAAATTGAATCGGAAACAGTTTAAAAGTTTTCCATGCAGAACTATCAATGCCTTGTCCTAGGAAGGAGGTTTCGACAAACACACATTCTCTATCTCTAACGTTTTTTCTGTTTCTGTTATGTTTTTAACTCGATAATTTTTTGCTCAGCAAATAGAACCTGCTGACTGAGTGACTAACTATACCCTGTCTGCCAAACATGCTGACATAGACTGGAGACCAAACAGCCGCTGAGGACTCGTTTTTACTTCCAAAAACCCCAATTGAAGGTGACCAATTGGCAATGCCAATTCTGATTGACCGCTGTCGATCACAGCCATCAGCAAGCAGGGCAGTCTCAGTCACAATAGGTGCCTAAGTAGTCAATTTCTATAAACCTATCAGTTCCTGTAATCTATAATTCATGTAAAAAGAGCTACTTTAAAATCGATTTTCAAACAGTTATTTTATTTCTAACAATATTTTGACTTATTATTATTACTTAAGTTTTACAGTCCTAGGTACATGATAAGTCAACTTACATTATAATCCATATTGACTATTGTTTTATTCCAAACATCTATATTATAAAAAATAACAATTATAAATTAAAAATACGAAAAAATGTTTGTTTTAATGTAGTTGAAACCATTGAAAGATAAAACCACAAACTAAGATATTATATTGAAGCGCGCAGTCTTTATTCTTTAATTGTAAAAACTAAAATAAATTATAAAATAGTGGTTGACAACAAACACCAAACTATCATAGACTCACTCTATACATCATAACATTACAATGAAATTAAGTGATAAGCCTCATACCAATCTAATGATTTTCATGAAAATATACAAAGATAGGTATGCCATAAAGATGTGTTATCAAATTTCACAATATGGCTACTAGACCTAGTGTTCTATTATATAGTTATTATATATTAATATGGTCTATTCAGTCTATACTTTTATCACTTAAAATTATTTAATTCATTTATCATTTTTAATTATTTAAAATATTAATTATTTACATACAATCAGTGTTATCGCCGGAAATACACGGCCGTCGGATAAGTGAGAACACCAGCTGTTTTGGAGTTTAAGCATAAAGCACAGACTATTTGACTATACATATAGTGTATGCATAAAGTACAATGTAATCTAATGGTATTGGAACTTATTATATCGTTATGATTAGAATTCAGACTATGAGACGCAGAGAGAAGAAACTAATTCCTTCTTCTTAACAATTAATACATTATAAGAAATCACAAAGAAAATATTTTATATTATGAAGTAGTAATTCTAATTAATCATTTGACATAATTTACATTTCATAATATTTTATTAATATCACTGATTACTTTTACTACTTTCATACTTTTGTAAAGTTTGTCTTAAGGGGGTCGCAGCATGATTTTTACAAACAAATGTTAAGTAGAGGTATCAAAAAATAAAAACGCCACCCCATAGGTAAAGTTGTTTTCTATACATAGTGAGAATTTGGTAAATTTACCCCTTAAGAGGATCGGAACACAACTAGTTTTCTTGCGTGTTAGACCAATAAACGGTGTTAAATTAGACATACTTTCCAATGTTGGATTTTAATTTTTAAAGTATGTATGGATTTGTTGACAAATCGTTTAGGTTTCTTAGGAAGCCGATTTTCGATTTTAAATTTAGTATGCTTAAAATAAATTCCAATGTTGTTCGGAAATTATCACTGAATTTTTAAAAATAATTTTGGAGGTCTTCAAGAGATAAAATTGAAAATCGCCTACTTAAGAATCCTAGAATTTAGCACCGCTTATTGGTCTAAAACGCACAAAAACTAGCTGTGCCCCGACCCCCTTAAAGGGTAGATTTACCAAACTCTCACAATGTATAGAGAAAAACTTTATCAATGAGGTGGCGTTTTTATTTTTTTGATATCTATACCAAATATTTTTTTGTAAAAACCATGCTGCGGCCCCCTTAAAGCATCGATTACATTGAGCGAGTTTACAAGCTGCTAGTTGACGAGTTTAGAAGCGGGCGAGTCGGCTAGTACGATAGTGATGATCACACGTAAAACTTCCCACTCGCTCAGTAGCCAACAAGCTAGCGAGTAGCGTTAAAAAACCACGTGTTGTGGATACATTTTTATTATAATTTATTACGTTTTTGTTATTTTTCCTTTAAAATTTCTGGGTGTCCTACTGTTAAAATGAAGTGGAACGTCAATAATATTGTGGAATTTCTTAGGTAATGTCTACCAGCAGTACCCTTTGTTATGGAATATAAAAGACAAGGACTATTGCAACATAAAATTAAAAAGTGAAATTTTTCAACGTATTTTTTATGAACTTAATGAAAAACAGTTAATTGGAGGAATGGATGAGAAACAACTGAAGGATAAAATCAAATCACTTAAAGATGTCTACAGACAAGAACTACACAAAATTGAAAAAAGCAAAAAAAGTGGTTGTGGTACTGAAGAAGTTTATTCACCAAAGCTGGCATGGTTTAATGAAGCAAATTATTTGTCAGAGGTTTCGAATACAAGAAATCTCCAGTTGCTAGATAACGTAGTGTAACTTCTAGTTTTGTGGCTACTGAAATTGACATTCTCATTATCGTATCTTCTTTTTTGAGCATTCCATTTACCATCTGCAGTAAATCTTCAAAATGCGTACAGTATAATCTCAAAATATTTCGATAAGCCGAAGCGTCTTCGTCCTTCAACTTTTCAGTAAACTGCTCGATGCACCATACATCTCACGTCTGCCTATCCATGATTTCATCCACACAGTCCTCTTCCTTTTCTGATTTTCTTTTTAACTCCTTTTTGATGGCATTAGCTAAAATAATGTCTCCGGCACGAACTATTTCCGTCGACATTTTGTAGACACTAAAACCAGGAACCACCGAGTAGATGAGTAATCACAGCTAGTTTACTAGCAACTATGATTACATACGGCTAGTTTACTAGCTTAAAATCCAAAACGCTAGCGATTAGCGAGTAAAGTAGCCCAGCTTTCAACTTTACTCGCAGATAGTTTACAACCTGCTAGTTGGCTAGTGAACATGATTACACTGGGCGAGTTTACTAGCAGCTGGTAAATTTCAACTAGCAGCTTGTAAACTCGCTCAATGTAATCGACGCTTGAGGTGATTAGATACCGATTAATCCTGCCACCGTCTATCTCACACACAACAGGAATTATGACATATTTATTATTTGTCTATCAATCTACTGATGCGATATGGAATCTTAAAACAGACTTTAATTCGTCACAAAGTTTACTCAAGATCGGATCTTAACCTATTTTTAATTTTTACGCTTTCCGAATTAGTTTTTAAAATTTTTAAATCTAATTTGAAATCTGTTTTCAGATATTGCATTGGAAGAGGTTGCGTGAGTGAAGTAGACGGGAATAAACGACATCCATTCCCCCTAAATCACGATAAATCATGTTCTTTTATCGTGGTATTAATAGGTATAATATATAAAACTCAATGTTAAAAATATAATTATATTAAGTTAGTTCTTATTTTGGGCCTAATCGAATTTTGATGCAGCCGTCCCTCACAACAACTCTGAATGTATAAAAAATATTTTTTTTTTAAATGTCAGCATCCAAGTTATATATAGTATAGTATAATATTCTTTAACCCCTCTGTATTAATATGAACTTTTCTTATCAGGAGAAAACTGGTTTGAGATGCACACAATAAGTAAATTTTACTTCTTTTCTTCAAAATTAATTATTAATTTAATATCAATTACGTACATAATTCGCAAAAACAAAACGTCGGACACTTATCAGTCTCTAGGTTTCTCTTCTTGTTATTCTGCGTTCGTGGTATTATCACTACTCATTATCAGTATACGAATACAGAATCCAGATTAAGTATTGGTAATATACTGTTTACAGCCATTTCACAGAAATCTACGACGAATACGGTTTTAATTATATTTATCGCCTTTATTATAAATACATGTTATAATAATATATAATAAGAATTAACATTTTTTGTTTTAGAAATTATTAGTTACATTCATTAAAGTATCTTGTATTTAAAATAGGGTGTTGATGAACACAATGATTAGCTTTTAAATAAGTTTTTTTTAGCTTTTTGAAAATAACTTGCTATTATGTGGACTATATTTTCGAGAGATTCGTCAAAAGATTTTCCATTTGAAATTACTGAACCTTCAAATTATGGATTTAATGAAAAAAGTTTATGGAAACTGAACAAGGGAAAGAAAAAGGTAAAAGGTTTTTGAATATGCTAAAATGTTGCGTACAGCTAAATTTTAATCATGTAATTTATTGCTATTAATTTGATTTGCATTTAATAAAGTATTGCATAGGTGTCGACCTAAATCTAATGGATATGAGAGAGGACTATTAAAAAATAGTCTCTTATTTTACTTTAAACAGCTTTATCACAATTTAATAATGTGAGGTTAAATATTATTGTGGGAGACTACTGATTTAAAATCAAACTAAGTTATGACATAATATTATTAAATAAAAACTCTAATCACATTCTTATTCACTTCAATAAGATTACGTATTTCGGCAACAATTTTGCCATCTTTAACGCTAACAGCATACTAAGGACACACTGACAATATATCTTACTTATGTAGTAGTAATAACAACATACAGAAAGTTTGCATCTTTAACTTTTTTTACAAAATTTAGTAAACAACTGTAATGTACTTAAGTCTCAAATTAATACATTATATTAATTGTTTAACTTTTGTATATTCTTAGTAATTTTTTATAGTTTTCAACAATTAAGCAGTTTTATGTTGTGATTAGGATTGAGTGCATGTTCTACAACTTAAGATTTTCTTTAAACAGCACACCGATATTTGTTTTAGTTTTTCTAACATAACACATCATAATCTTCATACTGAATTTGTTAAATATCTGATTAATCCTGTTTACTTATTTTGTCCATCATGTTTCCTAAAACAAATTATTGTTGTAAACTATTTTTCCTTAAGTAAGTTAATTGTATTCTGTACAGGTCATTTTTTATACCAACTAAAAAAAAAAATTATTCTTAAACTAAGAAAAATTGTAAAATCTTTGAGTATTATAAATAAATTACTTATCACGACTCAAATAAAATAATAGACCACATTATAATATGAGTTATAACTAAAATTATCATATTAAAACAAAAAATAACCAAACTCCAAATTTGTTGCTTTCAGAAATGACATAAGAAAAACCATCACAAAAAAATTTAATTACTATACACAATCAATTAAATTGTAACTCCCAATCATGCACCTGCCCCGGTAAAATGATTTTTACAAACTTTCTCTAAATATCTCGGCATGGCAATCAAAATTTAACATGGAATATTCATATCAAAAACTTAATAATTAAACTAAGACAATTAACATTTTTTTTTTATAGCTAAAAAAATATTAAACAAAAACTTTATTAGAATAGCATATTTTGCAATGGCTCGATCATTAATCCAATATGGCATAATAGCTTGGGGGGGGGGGGGCTGTAATACCTCTCTTAAAGATAAAATATCAATTAGCCAAAAGAAACTAATAAAAATCATATTAAATAAACGGATAACAATACCATTTTGTGAATTATTTAAAATGTTAAGAGTACTTGACATTAACAATTTATTCAAAAAACAAGCAATATGCTTTATTTACAAAAATAATTTATTTAATACTAAAAATCAAAAATAGAAGTTTAGAAAAAATAATCTTGAAATACCATTCGTTAGCACCACAAAAACTTCAACACCTTTTTTACAAGTTGGTTTAATGTTCTTTAAATGTTATTCCAAAAGAATTATTAATTTGTACAAATTTTTCACACTTTAAATATAAACTTAAAAATTGGTTTTACAATAATCTTTAAATGTACAGTAATAATTATTTCTAAATGTATACTACAATACTCACCAATTTCTTATTTATATCTAATCATTTTTAGTCAAATAAGTTCTACTTCTTCTTGTTATTTTTATTACTATTATAATTAATTTATTTTTTGTCTTCTTTATTGTTAAAAAATTTTTAATTTAAATTATTATTTTTTTGATTATTTTCAACTGCACGCACTTCTAAACAGCACTTACCACTAAACTCTTTTAACTTTAAAAATAGTTATCCAAAACTGGTTATTAACCAGTCAACATTTTTAGTAAAATATTCTTAATTCAAAAAGTTAAAAAAATATATAGGTTACCATTTAAGTTTCAAAAGTTGCTATAAAAGTTTAGGTGGGGGTAGGAACATAATAATTTGTGGAATTAAGATATAATTGGGATCACATTATATACAAACACTATGAAAAAAAAAAATCAATTATTGGTTAAACCCAGTAATATATTGAGTGGCCCATGATGAAAGAATCTCCCTATAATATGTTGGTCCTATTTTTTAACCGCACAACAATATACAGTGGCCCATATTGGGCGGCCACTTATACATTGGTGCATATGCCGTCCTCGTGCTCACGCCTATGCTTCTCAGCTATTTAACCTAAATGGACATAGTATAAAAGTTTAAAATCTATACATATCTTAAACTGGAATTTCTAAATAGTTGTTTTCTATTATTTTGAAATAAATTTTTTTTTTTTCAGAGTACCAATCAAGATGTTTCTATTTTTGAATTTTTAATAAACGATGATATTCCTGGTGGAGAAACAAGATCTTTGCTCTCTAAATTAGCTGTAAAACATTTAAAGACTTTAAAGCATCCTAATGTTCTCACATTTTTAGAGAGCACTGAAGTAAGTTGTGTCTAATCATTTTATTTTTAAATAACTTATATTTCTAGATAGAATATTTAAAACTATGTACTATTTACCTTACTAAATTATAAATTTACAGGTCAAAACTACAATATACTTAGCAACTGAGTATGTTGAACCACTACAGTCATTTTTATCGGTTCAAAATGATTTACATGCTACATTTATGAAACAGTACATTGCTTGGGGTTTGTCTAATATAATAGTATGTAATTACTAATTAATCATTTTTTATGCAACTATTAATAGTTAAACTAAAATTATTGCTTTATAGGAAGGTTTAAAGTTTTTAAATATTGAAGCTAAACTAGTTCACAATAAAGTTTGTATTTGGTCAATATTTGTAAATAAAGCTGGTCAGTGGAAGTTAGGTGAATTGGAATGTATGAACAATTATGAAAATTCTCCTCCAGTTTATACTAGTGATTTATACCGTGCTCCAGGAAATCGTCAATCACCATTGTATGTTGCTTAAAATGTTGATTACTTATACCTTAATGTTTATGTATTGTTTCTATTTAGTTCCATTGATGTCTGGGGTTTAGGTATACTTATTTGGGAAATATATAATGGTCCTTTATCGCATCAGTCTGCTTTAAAAGATGTAAAAAAGGTAAGTTTGATTTTTTATTACTATCACATGATACTAATCAAATTTTATTAATAATTATATAGCTTCCAAACGAGTTGTTAAAAGTTTTTCCAAAAGTGATAGCAGCGGACCCTAATAGCCGTCCTTCATATGACAGTATAGTTTCAGTACTTCAAGACGAAAAATATTTCGGCAATGATTTAGAGAAAGCTATGACATCTTTAAGTCAATATCATTTGTTAGATGAAATTCAAAGAGCTTCATTTTTAGAAAAGTTACCAGGAATGCTTGAAAATTTTCCAAAAAATATTGCATTATACAATGTATTGCCTAGTCTTCTTGAAATGTTTAAATATATTAAAGAACAAAAGATTATCTTTCCTTCTATGATAAAGGTATGTTTAACTAGTTTATAAAACATTTCAAAAATAATTTTAGACAAACATTAATTATTTAACATTAATTTTGTGTATAGTTAAGTGTAATGCTAGAAGATCATGAATTCGAAGAGAAAATGATGCCATGTATTATTAAATTATATGAGTCTAATGATCGTGCTACACGAGTAATGTTACTTAACCAAATTGAGCTCTATGCCAGTAAGCTCATTCATTTTATAACAGAACTTTATTATTAGTACACATCTAATAAAAATTAGCAATTTTCAGATCGAGTAAAGCCTGATACGTTGAATGCAAATATATTTCCATTATTAGTAAGTGGACTGGCGGACGCTAGTCCTACTATACGGGAGTTGACTGTTCGAGTAAGTTAATAGTTAACAAAAAAAATACGTACATTTTGTAGTTACTATTTTTAAAATTATTTTATTCGCAGAGTATGACACATATTGCTTCTAAATTGAACCATAATAATTTAAATGTAGAGTTAATGAGACATTTTGCAAGGTTACAAATGAAAGATGATCAGGTACAAAAATATTCTTTTAACATTTATATACATATTTTTAATACTAATCTGTAATTTTATATATTTCTAGGGCAGTATAAGAACCAACACAACTGTGTGTTTAGGTAAAATAGCTCAACATTTAGATCCAAATATTAGAAGCAAAATACTATCTTCGGCATTTTCTCGAGCTTTGAAAGATCCATTTCCACCTTCAAGAATGGCAGGTTGTAGCTATTTTTTTTTTTCAATTAGTATCTAAATTAATAATTACTAGTTTTATATTTAAATATTGTTTTTAGGGATTTCAGCATTTTCAGCTACTCAACAGTATTATCCATTGGTTGAAGTTTCCTCTCGTGTCTTACCAGCTTTATGTCACGTTACTTTAGATCCTGAAAAAAATGTACGAGATATAGTTTTCCAAACAATTAAAGGTTTTTTAGGAAAACTTGAAAATGTATCTGAAGACGAAAGATTAAAAGAAAGAATTGGTAACACTATTATTAAATTTTTAATTTATAAGTATCTGAAATAATATAGTAGTACATTTACTTGTATAGATGAAGAAGTAGTAGCTAATTCCACCCCTGCTGTTTCTTCTTGGGCTGGATGGGCTGTCAATACTGTTACATCAAAATTTTATTTAGCTTCGAAAAACCCTCAAAAAGATGAAAAGCTGAATGAAAATCCAAAAGGTGAGCATACATTTTTTTCTAAAATTATTTATAATGAAATATGTACACAATTCAAATAAATCTTACAGATAATTCAAATACAAGTCAAAATATGATTCCAAGTAATAAACTAAATAGTAATAGTGAGCAGATGAAGCCTATATTTATAGACAAACAAATAAAAGCTTTGCATATTCATAATGTAATATTAATATATATTTAATTTATTACAAGATTATAAAAAAAACTTGTTTTAATCTATAATTATGATTAATTTAATTTTAGGAAGATAAAACCTATGAAAATTCTATAAATGAAAACATATCAAATAACTGGGAAGATAATTCTGGGTGGGACGTTGGAGATGATTGGGAAAGCATTAATACTAACCCTACGGTACAATAAGTATTTTAGTATAATAAATGTGTATATATATATACCGGGTGATTGGTTAATTTAGGCCCAGTCAAAAACTTAGATATAAATTTGATTTAGTTAAAACGGGAGAGGAAGTGCGGTTGAGTAATACGCGTAGATAAAAGTACCTCTACTCTCCACCCTTTCTCTCATCCTAAAATTTTAAACTTTAATAACTTTAGAACTAATTATCCAAAACTGGTTATCTACCAGTCAAAATGTTCAGCAAATTATTCTTAACTTAAAAATGTAATCAAATATATATGTTACCATTTTAACATTTAAGTTTATACAGTTTTAACAGAAGAGCGATGGGGTTATATTTTTGAAAAATATATTAAATTTGTCCCAACTAATAACTATAAAAATATTTTAAAACATTTTTTTATAAAGTAACATCTTCTAAGTTATTGACTGAACAATGGTTAACCAATCATCTGGTATAATTATGCACACATAAAATAATTACTTATATGAAAAAATGTATGTTCTAATTTAACCTAATTTAGGACCAGGAACCTAGTATATAATATTATTTTTTATTTCTTATTAATTTTTAATTTTTTCCGCAGCAAACAGAAAAGTCCACAAAAGTTAACGATGATTTCAGCTGGAATGATCAAGACCCAGTGATATTAGATAACATTGAAAGTTGTACAAATAGTAAGCTAAGAATACATAACTTGTGTTTCAATATAAAAAAGAATCCATGATTTTTTAAAAAAATTTATAGAAATGACCGAAGCAGCAAGAGAAAATTTACGAAAAAAGCGGGAAGAAAGAAAACAAGAACGTTTAAAACAGTTAGAAACTAAAAGAATAAATAAGCAATCTCTAAAATTAGGAGCAAAGAAACTATAAAGTGCTCTACTTATTATTAATATTTATTATTATAAACAATAAACAGTAAACTTTAATTACTATTATTATTATTATAATATAAGTCTCAATAATTAAGTAGTAAAAAGCAAATGTTAAGTACATCTTATAATATTATATTAATGATTTATAATTATTATTGTATTTTATATTCTATTGGAATTTAATTATTTATAATTTTTACATTATCATTGAAGTCATTAGTAGGTTTTTTACTTAAATCATTAATTTAATAATAAAACGTTCACATTCATGGAATAATCTTAATTATAGTATTTAAGTCATTGGTTATAAAAATTTTTATAGTTTTTTAGAACATTTTAATTTACAGCGATTTATGGGTTTATCATTATGTAAGTTTTACTTCTTTAATAGGATATATCTCCTATGTGTTAAAGATTTTATGGACGTATTCGAATTTATTCACCGTTCGTGTTGACACGTATTTTTATTACTAACTTTTAATTATAATCATTTCTAAAGAAATCTTTTTCAATCAAGCTTGGTTGTCTTTAGATCTCTTATTTTTTTTACTAACGATAATAATATATTACATTTTTTTGTATGAAGTCAAACTTGGTAATCATAATATGTATATTGTAATAGAAATAGTTTTATCACAAATAAACAAGCACAGCGATCATCGATTTGTGAAAAAAATAACCTTCCAAGTTACACGTTATAGAGTATTTAAGTTGTTATAAAAAATGGCTCGTTAATTGAATATTATTATATACCTACCAGTGATGTAGTCATAAAAACATTTATAGAACCACGCCTAAATCACTGTTGCTATTACAAGTTTAATAACTGTATGGTAAATAGAGGGCACAAGAAAAATGTTTAGAGCCACTTGGTTATAAAATCGTGTGCTCGGTGATGATTGCATAACGATTAGAGTAGTAATTGTTTAAAGTAGAATGAAATGTCTAGATGTTAGTCGGTTAAATATCGAGTGTTTAGTATGGCTATTATAGTAGTCGGAGTGAGAAATGGTAAAAAAAATTCATAAATAATTTTCTGCTAAGAATTGGAGTATGCAAATAAAATGAATTACATTAATGCATTTCTTCTTATTTTAGCCTCATTCCAAACCAATAGTTTTGGCTAGCTAAACCTGCGTTCTCCACCATTCCATTGTAATTTGTTTTGTAATTCTACTAACCACTTACCTTTATAGGTAATTGTGTACAACGGTGTATTTACTTATTGTCCGTTTTTGAAGGAATTATTAAAAAAAAACATGCCCAATAAACGAACGTAGTTAATGGACTGAATAGAAATTGTAAATAAACTACTAAATATTTATTTATCATGATTGTTAAACCTACCCTTCGTGTAATATATCTGTAATTTATCATACAAGTAGTGCATCTATGAGCTTGTATCGTGTTGTTTGTTTAATCAATATCACAGTTCAGGGACATGGTGTGACAACGAGTATTCGATTAAACATAACTTACACGTAATACAAATGTAGTACTCTTACACATTTTATTTAATAAAATACAATTGTGTAATTCTTTTATGTAAAAAAAAATGAATTGCGAAAATAGTAAATCATCAAGTTCTAGACAGATAGTTCATTACGATGACCACAAAATCGACATGATTTGTGCAAGTTTAGAAAAAGGTAAGTATGCCAGATATTTAATTTAATACCAATAAGTACTAATTAGTACTTATAGTATATATTATTATATTTTTTATAATAAAATATAATATTGAAATACGAATGACTTCTTTTGAAAAGGTATACTCACTTAAACGTATTACTCATTCGAAGAGAAAAATATTCATTACTTATTTTTTGTTTTATGCTGGCTAAAGTTTCTTATATATGAATAAAAATAATCTCACTTTTGACGGAAAATTGCACTTATTTTTGAGTTACGACCAGTTATCATATTATTTATAATTATAGGTACAAGCCAGATATGGGTTTATTAATATTAAATTGTTTATCTAATGTTTTTCTAAGTTGAAGTTTTAGTCTCCTGGCTTTATACAAGAAATTATAATTCACAAGTAACTTAGAAGTTAGATCATAGTATGTTCTTATTATTATAATCTTTGAAAATAATTTGATTTTTATTCCTAGTATTACTTTTGGAGACATTTTAGTTATTTTACATTATTAAACAAAAAAAAAAAACAAGTTAATTAATTAACTTGTTTTAAAACATGTCTGTATTCTTGCCCCAAGGGTCGTCAATAATATAATAAAAATAAATAATATACCTACAAATTTTTATCTACTTTTTGTAAATTTTATAGTCTTCAATTTTTGAAACTTAAATGATAATGTAGATAATCGGAATACAAGACGGAGAAACAATAACTCAGGATAAAAAAAGATAGAAGCAGTATGTGCTGCTGTAATAGGCTCAGTCGTCTTTAAAATTGAGGAAGAAGATATTTATTTATACATTTTTAATTTTAGATTATTCTCTCTAATTTTCTAACTATTTAATCCTAAAACTGGAACTACAAAATACAAATTAAATTAAATTTCCATCTCGAATTTGGGGAATGGTGGTTTGGTGCTATTTTTGGATAGGAGCATGCCTAATAAATTTCATTAAAAATGTAACTCAAACATTTTTGATGAGTTGAAAGTAAAAAAAATTGTAAATTTGTTTAGTGTTTTTCTCGATTTTAATAGTGAAGAAGTAAGGTAAAGTCAAGAAAAACTAATACTTTCTCACCTTCGTATCGAAACTAAAATAAATTAGCTAATGGTGGTCACACATTGTGGTTTTTTTTTATGTGCTTGCCAGTTAGTATAGTACCTATATAGTTAAAGCATTCATTTAAAGTTCACTATACAAATTATTAGTAAATTGTTTTTTTAGAAATCGCAGCTTTGAAGAACGCCAAATATCAAGATAACCCGTTAATGGTCGTGCGTGATCACACATATTTTAAAGCAACTTTGCAAGAAACAAATACCCTATCTCTTCTTGAACTACCAGCACTGGCCTCTACTAAAAAACATTCATCGGACCCACCATGGTCTCAGGTTAACTTTTATGATTATTTCAACAGATTATACTCATTAGTTACCTATTACCTACACCACAAAACAACATTTTTACAGATGGATAATTTTAACTTATACTTAGTAAATACGTATTAATAAATAAATTTACTTTTTAATAAACAGACAGCTGACAGAACCATTAGGGTTGAAAAATAATATCGATTTTTTTTCATAGCCCTTGATGAGTCGATTTAGTTAGCCCTTGAGGTTAGTTAGATGCGATAATCTATACTCTTTACTCTTTAGCAACACTTCAGTTTTCACTGTGGGTTGGTAGTATTGTAGTGTATACTACTACCAATCTCTGTTAAGCTAAGAGATACTTAGAGGTCTTTTAGAAATTAGAGGTCTAGTAGAGGAAACGGTGTAGTGCAATTGGCGACGGCACTTGTAGTCTCGGAATACCGCGAGAAATGTTTGCAATGTGCCGGGGATCGAAACGATGGTTGTACTACGCGTCATAGCCAGCTGCATAACCACTTCCCCTGATATTGAAATTAAATGTATAGTATAAATTATTTTACAAATTTTTTCATTGACTCTTTAGTCTTAAGAATATTATGCGGGTGGATATTTTTTGTCGGTTAATAAGGTGTTTAAGAATTTCAAATAAATATAAAAATCGTTCATATAGGTATTAATTATTATTATTTCCTCTACCTATAGTTTATTAGTATTCACATGAAGTTGACACAATTGTCTAACTTTCAATAAATTCATTGTATCTAATTTATTACAGTTTTTACATTTTGTTAATTAGGAAATAGCAAACTGTTATAGTGTTATTTTAAACCTTGAAAATATAGAAAAATAGCATGCGTTTAATTTTAACTTTTAAGTGTTGTTTGTTTATAGAAAAGTAAACGATTTATTTATAAATACATCTTTTTTACTAAAACCGATTTCTATGTTAATAAAAATAAAAACCTATACCATATGTGTAATTTGAAATTCTAGAAAAAGGATTTTCTCAAGTACTCGTTGCCGGGCGCCACACAAACTTCGACTTCGTTTCAGAGAACACAACATACGCAAACAGCACCGATTTCTTTGACCGTAAGAGTATAAAATAAATTGACATTCACATTATAATTAGAGTCAGAAGTTTCAGAATTTACTTGATTTTACTAAATAGTCCAAAAAATAGATGGGAAACCTACAAATTATGTTTAAAAAATCTAAATTAAAAAATGTGTTATCCACAATTTAGCATATTTCGGGTTTTTTTTTTATATTTCCGCATATGTTCGCAATGTTTTCCATAATTGCATTTATTATATTTTTTGTATCTAAAATCAGTAACAAAATCATGACAACATTAAATACATTTTTTTTTTTTTTTTTGAAAAAATAGAAAGTATTTTATTATAACATAAATTAATACTATCAGAAAAATTAAAAGTTGATAATTATTTTGTTTATAATTTGTGTCATTTGTGTTTTTTAAAAAAAGTGTTCTTTTTTTTTAATTTATTAAAAATTAATTTTTACATATTAAATTAAGAACTTATATCGGTTGTTTTCAGCGCATAAACTTTTTACCCTGAATGTATTATTATATTAACTCCATGTGGTCACCTAAACTTTATCATTTTATTTTCTGTAAAAATGTGTCTAGGACAAGTCAAATTTCGCGTCTGTGTGGAACATACAAATAAACACACGCAGTACCAATCCACCGTTAGAAAAACCAAGTGCGTTCTAATTTTATTTTCTGCAGCTAGACTATTGTTAAGGGGAGCGCTAAATTGTATACAAATAAAGATTAAAACAAGAAGTCACTTTCTAAAAGTGTCCACTGAACCGATTAAATTTTGTTTTTTTGTTATAACTATAAAAATAAGTAAAACATCTTTTTTATAGGAGCTAAAAGGCCGATTTTTTATTACTGTTTTCAACATTTTAATATAAGCGATTACATTTTTACTATTTTATGGTATTTTCTAATAAATCTAACTAATTTTCTGATAGCTAAATACAAAATCGGCCGTTTAGCCCCCACAGAAAAAATACTATATACGTATAAAGCTTCACATAAAAAAAATAAAAATTTAATTTTGACTAACAGATATGGTGGAAAATGACTTCTACGAAAGTAATTTTTTTATCAAACTTTCGCCATAACTCGGAGAAATATAACTTTTAAGTTTTATAATTAGAAAATTGTTTTACATTAAAACTAGTCAGCATACTTAAAATGATTACTAGATAAATTGTTGTTGGTGTCTATCTTTTGCCCCTTAATTTATAGCGCTTTCCATTCTTCTTAACATCAATATTAGTATGTGGGCTACTGTGAGTATCACGGATATCTTTCACATGACTATACAAGCGTACCTGCCCTACGTGTTAAGAAAACACTTTTCTCACGTACTGATTGCTATGAGATGTCTCACATTGCGTGATTCTTTAGGTACCTCACGAGTCACCGGTGACGTTTTTTTTGTAAATATTAAACCTAATAGGTGTACGCAGTATGGTAGCTAACAAAGTTTATATGAAAGATACCCGCGTGTCTCAAGCTATCAATATACAATTAATTTTTATGATTTTTTTGTATATTATAGTCATTACCTTGTAATATAATAGAGATCAAATGTATTAATTAATATAGTAAAATATAGAACTTAACAGTTAACTTTAATATATTACCTGTACATAGAACGTTTCTTGCCATCATACAAAACACGAAAAATATTACATACATAATTTTAAATGTTACATGTTATTATTTATAGCATAGAAATTCAATTACAAAAAAATCTACAGTCAGTTAAAATTAATTTTTACTTAAATTGGATTTAACTGGTTACGAATTCCCGCCAAAGATCCCTACCATATAGTTGTATACATACAATTGGCTAAAAGTCAAAACCTAGCCAATTAAAAAACTAATATTTTACTCTACCTACTAGTAACTATAGCTTGATTCTTCTTCTTCTTCTTCTTCTGGCCTTCATAACTCTCCAAGAGTTTTTGCCGCCATCTATAGCTTGATTAATGATTATAATGGTCGGTTTGCTTTAGATATCCACTCAGACGTGCTCAGCAAAAAAATGTTCGTTTTCGAACGAATAGTTACTTCGAATTATTTTTCGGAAAAACAGATTGAATTCAAAACATTACATTCAAGTAAGTCTTTTAAGATTATTTGTCTAGGGTTTTAGTACAGTAATTACTGCATTACAGTTACCGATTCTACATCGTACCGTTACGTTTTGGAAGATATTTTACAATTTTCAACCAAAGAAACAGAAAATTGTTCAGTTACGTCATTTGTATGGAACACATTGAACGAAGTAAGTGTATCGGGCAAGCTTTAAATGATGTTATTTGTTGTGGAATTTTTCCCACAAGTCACAACATATCATAATAGGATAAAGGTTAAGGAATTAGTATTATAAAACGAACCTAAAATCTTTTTTAATACTTTGTCGAAAATAAATTTAACAGCACATATATTTTAATATTATTTAACCTCTTTTTCTTTCTTTTAAACAGGATATCTTAGCAGTTAGTTATGGTAAATGGAATGATGATGCCCGTGATGGCAATGACGACGTTAAGGGAATTGTATACTGTTGGTCGCTGAAAAATCCAGTAAACCCTGAGAGAAAATATAAATTCGACAAGCCTATAACCTGTTTGAATTTTTCGAAGACTGATGCTAACATACTCGTTGCCGGCAGCTACGATGGCTACATATTCGCTTTGGACATAACTCAAGAACGCTATCGTCCATTAACAATTAACGAGTAATGACATTGAATTAAAAAAAAACTTTTAACAGTCCAAAACTTGAATAAAATTAATTTGTAAACGATGGACCAACATTGATGCATTTATGATGACACACTTAGGCACATGTTGAGCACTTGTGTGTTTAACAAAACAAATTAAAGTAAAATAGAAGTAACTCAAATGAAAACTTTAAAATGCGTGGCTGGGTTAAATAAAAGATTATTAGGATTAGTTTAAGAAGTAGGTACTTATAAAAGCTCTTAATACTCAGTGATACTCTTGAGAGTATTATATGGGTACCGGTTATTTTTTTAATAGTCTTTACTACTCATAAATAAAAATTGTTCGAATTTCGAAGAGTAACGGTACCAGAATGGAACTGGATCGAAAAAAAGAGGTGGTGAGTAGGGATTTAGACGAAGAGGTAAACATAGATATGGATGAATTAATGAACACAAATAATGGTATGGATGTTTGTGTAGTAGATTGAAATGGCGACGATTCGAGATGTATGGAGAGTTAAAATTTGTATAGTCGTCTTCACTTGAAGGGTATTAAGTGATAAAAATATAGCATTTTATCCAAAATCAAAATTTCGACTTTAAAAAAGATTGTTTTGTCAACAAACATATACGTACTAAAATAGAATTTGGTTGGGAATGTTTAAAATAAGTCTTAATCTGTTTAAGTATGTATATATGTGTAATGAAGTACAAAATACCGTTAGTTAATTGTATCAACAATAATTAATGAGTAAAGATAGGTGGGATACTATATTTTAGTAAATAGTTAAGTAGATAAAATTTTAAAAAGAAAATATATTATATTTTTGATTGATAAAACTATATAGAAAACGTCAACGTAGTTAAATCTGTTTAATCAGGGTGCCGCAGCGTCTTAAAAAATTGTATAGAAGATATTAATGACACATTAGATACATATTATAATATTATATTGTTTAGATACGAGGGGAATATACAAAAAAAGTTCCGTTTATTTTATAAAATCAAGTTTTTATTAAAAAGTTATAAATTTACAGTGGTTTATTTTAAGTACATCTACTATTTTTTTTATGTAATCGCCACATAACTACCACTATACATTTTGAATATCTGGAAACGAGCTTCGAAATTACCTCCTTGTAGAAGCTTCCCGCCACCTCCTCTAACCAGTTGTTTACCGTCTCAATGACTCTTCCTTGGTAGTAAATTCCCCCTAAAGCCTCCTTTAACTTGGTAAATAAATGATTGTTCGAAGGGGATAGATCAAGACATGGTGAGTGGGACATCATAAGAACATGCATCATGTATAGTTTGTATACTTATCTCGACATTAGTTTATTTTTAAGCTTGCCAGTTGCCAAAATCAATTTATAAACAAATTTATAGAAGAAATCTCTTCACAAAAAAAAAAAATTATTATTATCTTTTGAAACTTCATCAATAAGAATAATTTATTGAACTGTTACAGAAAATACCTGAAAAACTTTCCAATATGCAGCATTGTTTCGTTAATGCAAAAAGGTTATAATAAGTCTGAAAAAGAATTTGTTTTGTCCGTTGACAGCAACGGTACTGTGCGCAAGTGGTCAATTACATTTGAATCAAATAAAATCGGTGATAATTCAAGATAAACTCTGTATGTACCACAGAGGTCAAGTATCACAAGTCCAAATTAAAAAAAACTAAGTTAGGTTCATAATCAAAATATTTATTTAATGATATTTTTAGAGGTATTTAAAGTTATGTCCAATTTTCCATAAATGCATAGATAGCAAGTGGTAAGCTAACGGAAGTCCTAAACTATAGTAGGAGTATTGTAACGTATGTCCATTATGATAGTTGTATTATTAAATTTGGTCTCCCCTGTAAAATTTGTTTTTTGTGACTTGCATTATTTGACCTCTGTGGTACAGAATTATTATATAATTTAAATCTATATTTTTAGTATAGACTCACATTAAACGGTAATTAGATAAGAAATTTTACTATTTACAAGGGAATTATTATTTTAGATCAAGTGTCGTTATTATATTGTGGCATTCGGAACGGCGGCAGCGCTATAGCAAGTAATGCGGTAGTCGCACAAAATATGTCTGGGACAATTTTGTCACTTCATCCGACAGACAGAACAATTTACTTCGTCGGAACCAAATTCGGGTTTATCGTCAAAGTAAGTACTCTATACTACACTCCAGCATATTTATAACAATTATAAATAAATAATTTACTTCTAGATATTTTCATTTGCTTATTAGTAAATTAACAACTCGATAGCTTACTATTATATTTATATTGGTTGGTACCTATATATTATTGACTATTCAAGTTCTGGTGTATATTTTTATACAAAAAACACCTCGATTCACTATTACTATTTTATTTAGAATATAACCAATTGATAATTTTGGTTGTTAATCGAAAAAACATGATCTACCTACCTATTCTTTAGTTTAAATTTATTACCTATCGTTTTTTAATTTTAAGTAACCGAATTATTACGTTTTTGATATAGTAATAATTTTTTCCTCACTTGGTAGTTCAGAGAATAGACTAAAATCAGATCTTTGACTTTTAAACTTATAACTTTTAACTTAAATAGTTATATTTAGGTTCTTATATTGCTTATGTATTCATCACAAGCTCAACTTTTTAGATAAATTTTCTTATTATTATATTAATCATTAAAAAAACAATTATTATTATTCTAAAATGAAGTACAAATTTGAGGCATGAGAAATGAGGTAAAACTAATTCCATTTTTTTAATGAAATGCTAATGTCAGTTTATATTATATTCCGAAGTCCACTGTAATACATATACTGGTTGTCGTTAATAAAGATTGGAGTGAGTTTTTCGGTTGCAGTTAAACTGTCAATATGCGTTATAAAAATTGAAAAATTTTCCATAGTTTACCGCTTTGCAATTTTCACGAGTAGGACCTTTGGTGCATTAATTTAATTTAACTTGCATAGTTTTGACAAAATTTAATTATGTAGATTTTTTAAATTTTAAACTATCGAAATAATTTGGGAAATAATTTTTAATTGTAAATAACATTAATATTTGATTCGTTAGTTGTATTAAAAAACAACTGATTAAAAAAATAATATTAAATTATTATGACTTTTGACGTCAAAGTTCTAAAGTTTCTCCAGTATGTTGACTAGAAACGATTTTAAGTAGAACACCATAGATAACTGCGACGACTATGATGACATTTTCATTGCTCACCATGGACCAGTGTATGGGATAAAATTTTCGCCGTTTTTCCCTAATATTTTCATGACGTACGGAGCAGACTGGCAGATCAATATTTGGACCGAAGACATAGAAAAGCCATTACTATCACTGTGCTACTTTGTATGTTAACGACGCGACGATACTAAAAGTCAGTGGCGCAAATAAGTCTTCAAGCGCCCTACATTGACAGTATATTGATAATTTGTATTAACACTAAAATTTGACCTTTTATCGAAAAAAACCCAATATACAGCCATATTTTATTTTAAGACATTTTTTTTGTTGAATTTTTATTTGGTTTTAAATCCTCTAAAGCAAGTCTTGTTTTGATAAAGTCTATGTCGACTTTAAAGTTATAAAAACTTAACCATTTTGTGATCTTTTTAGCGTGTTTTAATTAAAAATATACTTTAAATAGATTAAACTATAAAAAATTACAATAAGATACTACTTATTCTGTTTATTCTCATAAGTTATAATAATCCATATCAATAAAAATAATAATAAACCAATAAGTATTATTATTTTACTAGCGATATATGCAATTTTCATAAAATTTTCCCTTTAAATTATCTTTAAGCCAAAAATTAAGCTAATACAAATTTTTTTTAGCTAAGTAAACTATTCATTCGTAGGACCAATGGCGTATAAATGACCTTCAAGATTGATTACAGCAGTAGTTAAGTTTTTAGTTACCTATATTATATTGAAAATGAAGAATACCTCTGTGACTACTGACTAGCCAAAAAATAAATGGGAATTTTCTTTTTCTTTTTTACTAGACACTTTTTTTTTACCGACAAGTACCAATTTTTCATTGTGGAGCCGAAAAATAATTGAGCCAGCTAAGATAAGATATACCTGCTGACATGGAGCGTGTGTTACTCTCTGAGACTTTTTTTATTTGTGCCACTGCTATAAATACATTATTGTGATCCTTAAATTGTATTAATAATGCAAATTTAAATACAATATTTCAGAACGCAATCGAGGACGCCGATTGGTCGCCTATCAACTCAACAGTTATAGTTAGTGTTAGCCAGGCGGTCATTTGTATTTGGGATTTTGCAAGAAAAACTGTAGAACCTGTCATGACGTTTACTTGCGAAGTCGGTGTTCACTTTACTCTGGTTAAATTTTCCAAACGCGGCAATGTAAGACATGTCATTTGTAATAAGGCCTGCACAATGATGTCGGAGACCAGGGCAAAGTTGGTATTGTAGTTGGGGAGGCTATAGGTTTTTAGAAGTTATTATAACTGACAATAATAAAATTACATTCAAGTTTCAATGGTTTCAAAAGTTTTTATGCAAATCTATAGAAGATAAAATGTACTTATAGGTAAGGTTAATATTGCAAGGAAAACGAACACACAATTATTGTTATTTTTTATTGATTGACGTTTGTAAAATAATGAGGTACCTATAAATGCAGTTGAACGAGGCCCTAGTGCTTTGTTTTGTCTAAAATATATGTAAACGGATTTGTGTAATATAGTTTTAAAAAACAAAATTTGTTTGAAAATGTTGATTCTAAAAAATGTAATTTTTGGCCTAATATTAAACCAAAAGCCTAAATAGTACCAGTACTAAATTCTAATAGTCTATTACCTATTTATAAAATATTATCAACAATATATTATACCAAAATCATATGAAATCACAATATGAACAAATGTGTAATTAACAATAGCTTATTTTCTAAGTTGTACTATGGTCTATGAATATATTATTCTCAAAACCAAACATATTATTATTATGTTAAATTTTATTTATATTTTATTAGGTATTGGTTAAATTATTACTACAGGGTCCGGCAAAAAACCTTCCTTATTTAGAAATGGCACTGTGTGAGTTGTGGTGGTGGTACAACGGGGGAGGGGGTATCGATCGATAACTGTATACATGCCATTTCCTCTGACCTAACCTAAACCAGTTTTCTAGGAACTATGATGAGGCAGAAGTCTGGTTCCAGCAAGACGGAGCCACAACTCACACTTTGCGGCGTTCACTTTTAACTGTCGAGAAAGGCCATAGCTCTTCGTGTCATTTCCGGTGTAATGGCAGCCGCTGCCTGGGTGATTGCCGTCTTAAGTCTCCAAAGAAAAAAACCACAAGGGGATAAATCGAGTGACCTTGGCGGTCAGGTGATGTCTCCTTGCAAAGAGAGAAGATGTCTAGGAAACAACTCTCTCAAGATTGCTAGGGAGCGCCGCGAAGTGTGACCTGTGGCACTTTGTTGGAACCAGACTTCTTCCTCATCATGGTTCCTAGCAAAGTGGTTTAGGTTAGGTCAGAAGAAAATAGCATGTATTATGTATACAGCTATCGATACCCCTTCCACCGTTGTACCACCACCACAACTCACACAGTGCCATTTCTAAATAAGGGAGTTTTTTTTGCCGGACCCTGTATAATTTTGTAATTTAATTTTCCATAACTCCGCCGCTAAATAAGCCGTTGGGTTTAAATAATACAATTATATTTGTATTCTAGAATATTCTAACTGGTGATTTGAATGGGCAGATAAGGTGCTTTCACATCAAGAGTATGCCAGCTCCGCCGTTTCTTCAAGTACCTAATAATATTATTTTTTTTAAATTACGAAGTTTACAGTTAAACACTTATCTATTGTAGTTTGTACTTATTATTTCAGAGAAATTCAATCTTAACTGCTCTAAAAAATGTGATGTCAAATCCAGAAATGGCGCGAATTTGTAAAAAAATATAAAATACAAAGGTATATTATTAGCATACAGAGGTATACCTAAGTATAATGCTCAAATGAAACGTCTATTATGTAAAATATTACTCGTTTTATTGGTTTACCTTTATTAAAACGCAATTAATTTAAAAAAAATTGTTGTTATATTATGCTCCCCAACAGAAAGCTTTACGTATGTGTAGGTATGTATGTATATGTATATGCAATATGCATAAACGTATATATATATATCAATGTAAAGTAATTATTATGTATAGAGTGAAAGGGAGAGGAAAAAAAAGAGAGATATAAAATTAGTTGACATGTTTATTTTTTTTTTTTGAAATGGCTACTAGATCAATTTCTATCAACTATTGCTTGCCCTTGTCCCTTAATAAATGCCCCTCCCCATTAAAGTCAAAAAGTGAGGCGTATAATTATATGATATTTTTTTCCCACCCACAATTATCATCCATAACTTTGTTTTTTTCTCGTTTTATCTGATAATATTAATTTATAATTTTCTATTATAAAAAAAAACATACTTTACATTGTCATTATTGGTAACTGTCAGCTAATCAAAAATTCAAATAACGCAAAATAGGTTATTTTATTTAAATATCACACAAAGATGTCTTTGAAATAATATATATCTTAATAAAAAAAATATATCCGACAGAGAAAAAAATGTACCCAATGAATTTAAATGTAATTTACATTATTTTTTCTACTTATTTTAGCTAATAAATGGCAATTAAAATCTAAAATTTAGTGTAATGTTCTCGACGAGGTGGGAGAAGGACTGTAATACTATTATTTCTACCCACATACTTTGTCTTTAACTTAAAAAGTGAATAACACAAACATTATTTATTCCATTACAATCCAGTGTTTGGTTTCACTATGTAAATTATTGTTCTACACTTAATGGGTGAATTATATATGTAGATAGGTTAAAATTTGACTCCTAAAAGTTATCTTCAACAATTATCCTTTTAAATGATACCTATTATAAAATTGTTTTGTTTTAAATTACTATAGTAATTTTAGTTCAACTTACGAATATAACCTGCTCTATTTGCCAAAACAAACCGAAATATTTTTCATGTATTAAAATCACTAACTGCACTGTCAGTAGTAGTAGAATAGACATAAATTGGTTAAATTTCTTAGCATGTCATATGACATATACCCGAAAATGTTTTTAACATAAATAAAAAAACATTTAATTTTGTAAAAAAAGAGCACATTTGAAAAAAAATGGTTTTTATACTTTTTTAGGTAGGTAATAGAAAATTAAATAAAAATAAGAATTGTACTGCAAGAAAAAAGCCAATTGGGTTTGGGGTGTCTAAATCACATATTCGAAAGGCTAATGCCCTCTTAGGCCACCTCTAAGTCCGTCTATGGTGGGTTAAGCTTTTATAGAGTTTTTTTTTTTTATTATTGAAATATCAGCATAAACTATTTATTTCTACAATTACGGATTAAATTCAATTATGTAGCTTAAAATTAATATATACAAACTAGACGGCATTTACAACAATGGCAAGCAACTTAAAATTAATTATATACAGCGATTATAAGGCAAGGCCGGACTCATCAATGAAAAGGAGAACAGATTTAAATTTTAATGATGGAAATGACTGAGGAGTTAAGAATGGAATAAATGTCAAAGGGATTGATATTATAGGAGGAAAGGTGATGATGAGAGGAATACGAAGTAGGGAAATAGCAGGACACCATAGAAGATGGGGGAAGTCGCATGGAAATTCATCGTCGTGACGAGGGCAGAATGGGAAATCGTTAAGGGAGAGTTTAAAAGCGTGATATGGGAGCAGGTTATGGCCGGATCTTAAGCGGGAGAAAGATATTATTTCTCTCCTAGATAGAGGGAGGTAATAAAACCACAGGAGTTAGTTGGGCGTGGAAGTGATTGTTTTATAAAATTGGGCATAGCTGGGGGGTGAGTTCTTCCATAGTATGGACCGGGAGACAACAATCGAGTCTACTTTTGTAGCGTTATGTGCCTTAATTATATAACCAATAGATATTTGACGATGTTTAGACGCTTAAATCCGGGAAATACAAAATATTTACACGTAAATAGGTACACCCTTTTAAGTGCAAATTATTCGCCAATCCAAAAAACGCTAATACAACCTATCGTTTAAAACCTTGAAGGGTCTAACTATAACGAATTAAACGAAGTAATCCTTTTAACCAAATAACATGCACCATAGTTGTATTAACGACTAACGTGGGAAAAATTTAAATGCAGTTTCTACTTTTTAATCGATTGTTTTGTTATCATTAGTCAATTGGACCAAATTATGTTAACACTGTGACCATTCGTTATCTATGAAAACAGTAGTCACTAAACTTTATTAACATTTATTATTTAACAGAAACTTTAATTTGAAAATCGGAATTTAAGTTATAGTTATTGGTAATTTTATTAGGCCGTAACTTGTATGTATACATAGAATGGTACTTTCACAATACAATAATCATAAAAATTAGAGACGTTAAAATATAACTCGAGTTTAAATCTTGTCTTATAAAGAAGAAGACTGATTTTCATAAATTAAATGTAGTTTTATATAACTATCTACTAGTTCAATAATAGAAGTATTATTAAAATAATCTTAATTAAGTACTTTTAGCGTGTTTGATCAAACAAGAAGACGATTTCTGATTGCCATCTAGTAAGTCTATTGAATTAAAAATTCAATTATTTTCTTTAAAAATATTTTTCTATATGATTTTATTTCATGATTTGTGTGGCGTAGTACACAAACCGTATTATTACACTATTTTATTGATGATCTAGAATAGATTTGAAGAACTGTGCAACAGATACAATTTTAACAGTTTGATTTCTCCAATATACTGCAGAATTATTATTGTTGACTCAATATTATTGTGCGGGTTGGGATTAAACATAAATCTTAGTCACACAAAATAAGATTGCACTAGAATTTCAAACAATGTTTTTTAATTCAATTATTTTAACTTTAATAATGTTTCTTAATTTTTTAGTCTTAAAATTTTAATATTTTCGATTCTTGTTAAGATATATTTTTAACTCTATTTGATATGTAAAATAGATTTGTCAAAATACAGTTGAAATAGAGTTAAACTTTCTCATCTTGGATCAGAACAATATTTTTTTTGCCTGTTGTGTTAATAATTTATTAACTAGAAAATAGAGAATAGTCCCGCCAGGCTAACCTCACACAATTAAATCAAACGCTAACAAAACCTCAACTTGTGCTTTTTATTTAGGTTAGATATATCAAAATTTTAAATTAAGCACTAGGCCAAGTGGTGGCTTCGTTTGCATTGTATAAAAATCAATTGTGTAACATCAACTGTCAATCATCTTGGAGGTCATTTTGTGGGCAAATAACCTATTGTTAAAATAATTTAGTAATTTTTTTTATACAAGACATACATGATATACTATAAGGATATAATAATATCTTAAAGTGTAAATATTCCATTACCCCCACTTCTGAACAGTTATTGTACATCGTTGTGAGACACTAGTATGTACATAGATTGGCTGTTGTCCTTCAACCAATCTAAGATGCTGTAATTTTGTCTTAATCATTTGTAGTTCATATTCAGCTTTAACCAAAACTACAATAGTATATAGTATAAGCATATCAATACTTTTTTTTTTTTTTAGGCAGTCATGGCACAAGGACCAGCATTGATTTGTAAATTATTGGCTTCTTCTGTATCAGTGGCTCATAAAGCTGGTAAAATTATCCGAGATGTAATGTTGAAGGGTGATTTGGGTATAATTGATAAGGTAATGCTAATGCTTTAAATATTTTGATAGGAAATCATACATATATGTAAACTAAAATTATTATTTATACTCAAATTGTTTTTTCAGGGAGAAAACGATCTTCAAACTGAAGCTGATAGGTCAGCTCAAAGGTGCATTGTAGCTTCTTTTAAGAATCTTTACCCAAATATTAAAGTAGTCGCAGAAGAAGTAGACAAACATAGTTTGAACTTAGATGTTCCTGAAGACTGGTTAATTACTGAACTTGATTCAAACATTTTGAACTTGGAATGTCCACAAAATTTAAGCGAAATTAAAGAGGATCAAGTATGTTTTATTAAATATTGTTGATTAAAGTTTAACAAATGCTCTTTAATTTAAAAAAAAAAATAGAAAATTTCATTTATACCTACAACGTCAAACAATAACGCGAGAACTTGGATGTTATTCCAAGAAACTCCCCTCCTTAAAATGCACTAATATTGATGCTTGTCAAGTTGATCCTTCATGTTAATTTTATCTTTAAATAAATATGTATAAGCACATGTGTTTATACACTAACACAATATGTGAAAAACACTTTCACTGAACATTAGTACACTACAATAATAATTTAAAATTATAATAAAATGATTTCCTTTTTTTAAGGTAATTATAAACTAATACATTTATTTTATTTTATAAATTTTAGATAACTATTTGGGTTGATCCATTAGACGGAACATCAGAATTCGCTAAAGGTAAACTTTTTTTAGTATTTTTTGTAAATTGATAATATTATAATGTTTTTTTTAGGTTTGGTGGATCATGTAACTATTTTAATTGGAGTTTGTGTGGACGATGACGCAGTAGCTGGTGTTATCTACCAACCATTTTGGCAAAACAAAGGTCGGGCATTATGGGGATTGGTTGGCTATGGAATTGGTGGTTTTGAAGTAAAAGAACCACCTACTGATAGAAAAGTGTATGTGACTACTAGAAGTCATTATGATAAAGCCATAGAAACTTTTATAGATGGTTTAAAACCTTGTGATATCATAAGAGTAGGAGGAGCTGGCAATAAGGTATACAAAATATACAATTTTAACCTTATTCTATACATTAATAACTGACGTAACAATTTTTAGGTTCTTTATATTTTGGAAGGAAAAGCTCATGCATATGTTTATCCTCGTGCTGGATGTAAACGATGGGACACAGCAGGACCAGAAGCTGTGTTAAAAGCAGCAGGTGGTGAATTAACAGATGCGCATGGTAACAAATATAGTTATAGTAAAGAGAATGAAAAAGATCCTTTAAATAAATATGGAGTTTTTGCAACGTCTCCAAAATTTAATCATACAGAGTTTATGAAACTGATTAGTGAGATTCAGTCTAAACTCGAATAAAGTATTAATTTAACAAATAAATATACATAAAAATTGTATTTATAATACATAAATTTACCAAATTGTAATTTGCTACTTATTAAACAGGTGACAATTTGTTTATAGATACCATGTTTATTTCTATAACTTTGTATGCGTAAATAAAACAGTAATGCTTGTATAAACTTATGGTTTTTTTAACATACAAAGCATAACATTTTTAAAAAATTCAATACTTAGTAATACATTTTTTATTTTAACTTTAAACATTTATTACATGCATGCAATTATTGATTTAATTTGTTCTAATGATAATACCATTGATTGTAAATTTAAACTCATTAATATTATATATTGTTTTGTATCCATTAAATTAATAAAATAGAATCTATGATAATGATGTGGAGTTTTGCAATAATTTCTAATTTGCCTCTTAGGCGTTGAACTGTTATGCAATTCTTTCCTCTTGACCATTTTACATGATAGCACTATCGTTTGACATCACAGAATTCCCTAAAGCCACATAATAAGATACACGAGTGAATAAGATATCTGCAAGGTCATCCTGGAACTTATTGGGCCTACAAAAAAATTGCATTGAAAATTTGTTTTTTTTTCTTAGCATTCCTAGGTATTGCGTTAGTCATACCCTAGAGTATCAAGCAATTGTTTAATAAGTTTATATTCTGTATGTAGATGCATGTTCATACTTCATTAACCTAGCCGCCATAGGTTATAATTTGAAAAACTAAAATTTCTTATTGATATTATTAATGACTTAATAAAAACGGATGTTACCAAATAAAACTTGAAAGTTTTAGATATGTCAATTGCAGATAACTTTTACCTACATTAGTTACTATATCAAGTATACAACAGACATTAGCCATAAGTTGAACTCCAAAGGAGGCAGAATATGTTGTTGCACAACCTAGTCGCATAAGAGGTCACCTGGCCCAGGTATTTATTACAATATAAAAGCCTAAATACGTTCAGTCGATTGTAGGGCTTATTAAGTGCCGATTATAAAGGCCTATGATTTTAACAATGGAATCCTTTGTGACGAGTATGTAAAAACAGAAAAGGTAATTAAACTTAAGTCCTCACTAATAAGTATTGTCAATGCCATTTTTATATTTGGACAATAATCACTTCTAAACACACAACTCATATTTAATTTTAAATTTGTAAAAAAAAAAATTTATTTTCTCCAAAACTAACTGCAGTAAATGGATAAAATCCTTTTCAAAAATATTCTCTGGAAAAGCATTAGTGTTGTGAATACATTTATATTAATTGTATAACCAACAATAATACTATTAAAAGTATTGATCAATAATTTAATAATATTGTAAAAAATAATCGGGGAATGAATGTAGGCAAATATTTACAATTTAAATAACAAAAAAAAAATTAAGTTCTATTGAATTTTCCCCAAATGTGTAACATGAAAACTGATGCAATAAACAATAATGACATGACTAATACAGGTACTGGACCCCTGAAACAAAAAAATAAATAAACAAATTATAATTATATCAAAATAAAAGATGTTACAGTAATAAACAAATACAAAACGCTACATGAAATAATACTAATTAATATTAGAAATGTGTAAATAATTAAATAACATTTGTTATTAACAATAACATTAGTAAAATTGTAATTAAGCTGTGTTTTATTCTTATTTATTGTTACTTCATTATGTACACAAAAAACCAATGAATGTGTCTTACACTTTAATTCCAGGAGAATCATCCGTATAAAAACGCCACATACCACCACTGCTGGTACCAGTGTTGCGGTTTCTAACAGATGTAGTGGGTGCAGTAGTTTTCCTGTAATGACATTTTAATTATAAAACAATGAAATAATTACAAATATCAATAAATATATAACAATTGTTTTACCTTTGTCTAAGGACATTTCCTGCTGTTCTGGAAGCACCAGGTTTGGTTGGAGATCGTGGTCCACCGGTAGTTGATTGCATTGCACTTGGAGGAACAGGCTATATAAAATTTACACAAATATTTAACATGATATTAAATAACAATCGATGATTATAAATAAATAATAAAAAAAGTTTTATTATTGCATTGTAATAATTAAATACAAATTTTCTTTTTTTTTAGTGTATTTTTGTTGGACAGTAATAGAACAATATACCTTGTCTCGTGATTAGTATTATTAGTGCTTAAGAATTAATAATTGTCTCTATGCCATAAGAACAGTACTGTTAGAGAGACAATCAGTTTTTAATATCTATTTTACCTAAGTTTCTTTCTAAACCATGTCCGTCGAGAGAACATGCTGCAACCCAACAAAACTTAGGCGTTCTGCACTTCCCTGTGTGGCACTTAGTGTGATTAGCGTTACCCCAAGAATGCCCTACCTGCCAATGGCCGTGTATGGTCAAAATTGGCCATTGCCAATCGGTCACTTTTAGAACAATTAAGGTTTTTTGGACGAGGTAACAAGTCCTTGGTCTCCAGTCTAAATGCATAAAACCAGCATGTTATCTCAGCGGACAGGATATAAGTAATTTAGTTTAGAGATAATATAACAGTTATTATACCCCTTAACTAAATTGATGTTACATAAAAACTACTGTTTGAAAAAATGGGACCAATTAAAAAATGTTTTTTTCAAACAATTTAAAATTACCTTTTAATGGTTAAAGTATATTTGAGTAATTATACTATTAAAACAAAATTAAAATGTAATTAAAATTAAACAACATCAGTGTTAATACTATTTCCAAACAAGTAGTATAATATAAAATAATGTAGATAGCATGAAACTTTTTTAGTTTATAGTGTTAGCTTACTTTGAGCAAAAACTTGTTAGAGCTTACAGGACCATAAGAAAGGTAAAATATATTGGGTAATCAATTAATACTAGGTACAACCCAAATGATAACTGTTTAAGATCCGATATGACCAATATTATCATAATATCATATTTATTATTAGAAAATAATACTGTGGCGTGGTTTTGAGAGAAATGTATTAATATACCAATGAAAAATACTCTCAATAGTATTTCAATAACCAAATAATAACAATAATCGCCGTTTAATGGGTTTTACAATAAAATGCTACTTTATTGACATATGTAAAAAGTAAAGCACTATGTCTAGAGTAAATACAAAAAATAACATTTTTAATTGCTGAGCGTCATTAATATTTCTGTATTTTACGATTTCTAATTTATTATAATTAGCAAGTACACTGTAGTCACACCAACAAGCAGAAGAATAGAATATTGCAAGTACAACGTTATTGATTTATAATTTTATAGATTACATAGATGTAAAGAATTACATATACATCGGGAGAAGTTAGAACTGTAAAAGAATCGTAATTCTAATTGTCAATTTTTGTTTACTCGTCACGGACTGGCATAGAATATAAACAAATGAGTTACACAAGCGGTTGATTTTAATGTACAACAAAATTCTTACCATTTCGATTAGTTTCCTTTGTCGGGCAACGAAAAAATGGCCTTAATAATCGTTGAACTTGGAGAGAATCGACTAGAACTTGAAAATGCCACACAGACACAGCAGTCAGGACTCCGTCTGGGCTTCTAAGTGGAACGATTGTACACTGTACGTGTACGGTGTATTTCCAGAAGACGAACGCTGGCTACACGTTGTGGTGACTCGGTAAATGGTCGTATGATAAGCGAGACGTGGAACAACTAATAACCAATAGCCGACGTGTCACGTGATGAGGCAGGTTCGTGGTAACCACAATGTTCTACCACGGTTAAGGCGCCGATAAGACGTTAGCAGCTAGATTATGATAATGATAGCACCACTTGGAAATTAGCATTTTTATAACGTTTTTATTTATGAACTCACTATCTTGTTTATTTTTTATTTTAACCAAAAATCGGAAATCCAATCCAATACACAATAGATTAATATAGACAATATCTAATGACTAATACTATAAATTAGAGAGAAACAACCGTATTAAAATAAATAAAAAAAAAAAAGATTAATATGAATGAAAAAAAAAACGCTAAGTTGCTCGTTGTATGAAATGCTTTAGTGACATAACATACTGTTCAGTTCAGTGCCCAAACATATAAAATAATAATAATTCTTAACAAAAAGATGAAAAAAAAATTAAAGTAACAATAGAAATGATAGGAATGTAAATGGTAATCGATGATACCCAAAGTACCTATCTTTCACTAGCGAAAGACAAATTGTAATTTAATCCTGTTTTGGAATACACTGTTTTCTAAAAAAGTCGACCACAAAAGATGGAGCTGTTCCAAAGGACTTAAACCATAACCATAGACGTATCCTTGTATCTAATCTTATAGTTTTGTTGTAAAAACTAAAAATGGTATTTTTGGAAGGTAAATTGAGCGTTTTTCTTCGTTAACAGCCACGTCATGTGTTACTTCATTTGTTTTCATGTTATGGTGATCGAGAACACGTTCCTTACGGCCTTACCCAAACGCCGATCAATAATTATAATACCAGTCAACGTGTTTCTTGAGACAGTGTTAATGAACTTCTACAAATACTTCCAATATTTTTTTTTCTTACGTTACTACTTAATAGCACCTAGAGTGGGCACTTTGTGATGACTGGTAAGCCATATTCGTCAAATACTCTGTTTTAGGGCAAGAGGCACGAAAATGGGAATATTTCAGTGAGTTGATTCGCAGATTTTTTGATGTCTCGACAAATAATTTTGTCAATGTTTTCTAAGAAAACTAATTCCAAAATATTTAACATTATTTATTGTCTTAATAATAATATTTTTTCTCCATGAATCTATTTTTCTATTCACTGTCGTTTGCAATTACTCTAACTTTTTAAAAGTTCATCGCCACACATCGGAGTATTTGTATAAAAAGTCGGACATTTTTTTTTTTTTTCAATAGTAGAACAATAACAAAATAAGTAGTTAAAAAAGATGTATTTCAATATTTTTTAAGTTTACAAATTGAAAAAATGTCGGAAAAAAAATTTTAATTCTACAAAAAAAAATTTGTGGTATGACGGATTTGAACCAGATATGGCATGACTAAGCGTAAACAACGATGCGCTGCGCTATACTAATCTACTACTCTGTCTCCAAGTAAAATACACCGGTTTCGCGCATCGCGACTGACGGCCACGGAAGCTCGTTGCCCGATTTCCCCCCACTATGCGGCGAAATCGACAGCCGACGTAAACCGAATAGCCGACAACTTCCGACGGCAATACGAAACCGGTAGCATATCGAGTACAAATAATAAATAGAAAAATAATAAAACTATCGGCGTCGGCCTGCATACGCCATACATTGACAATGCGGTGCACATAAAAGTACAAATATGAAGTTTCATAATTTATTTTTTCATTAAAAGGTATTTAAAAAAATTGTATAATTGTATATTATCTACTTATAGTATGTCAAAGGATGTATTGTTGTCAACTTTAAATAATTAGAAATGTTTTAAAATAGATCTTCCACTGTTACTAGATATTAACTATTTTCGAATTTTTGGACGTCTACTTAAATTGTTTGACTTTGAAATGACATAAAATAAAATGGCGGAAAGATGCGGACAATTTTTTATTTTAATTTGTTTAAGGAGAGTCTTAATTAAGCATTGGTTAACAAAAAGTTGCCTGACTAGGTCTGAAAGGTAAACAAAATTACCTTTATTCTTAAAAAATAGTGCTAATATACGTGTAAATGAATGTTTGACAACTCGTTAATTAGGTAGTAAAATAATAAAAAATCATATAAATGTAAAGAACATACCTTCCTTTTCCATTTCTACAATTTTCAATAGTTAAAATAAATTATGACCAAAAAAAGAGCAAATGTACAGAGCAGAGAACGAAATAATTGGATTCTCACATGACTAAGTTTAGATTTAATTTATGAGAAGTGGGATAGAATGGTACTGTTTTTATTAGTCTAGCTTGATAAAACGATTAGTACCCAAGCTACAAGAAAAATATATTTTTTGTGGATTTCTGTTAATTTAGTTATTTTGACTTTTGTCCGACTTATTCATACAAATACTCCTATGTGTACTATTTACCATTATTCCTAGGTAAACATATTTCCTTTAATTTATATCCATGAAAAAATTGATTAGTAAATTGTAAAAACTAATGTTTGACCTGTAAACACTATGTAGTACAAATAAATTGTAATTTTTATTAAATACAATTTTACTTTATTCATCTACACGGTACACCTATCTATTACCTAGGAAGAAATGGATTTTATTGATGTTTTGTTTTACATCATATTTATTAATATTGATTTTGATTAATAATCTGTAATGCATAAATTATAAATGAATTATACCTACAGGCTACACAATTTATTTAAAAAATACTTTTCCAGATTTTATTATTGAAATTTCAAACAAGTATCATTCAACTTTTCCATGATAAGACAAAGCTAATAAATACACTGTACAAGTAATATTATTATAAATAAGTATAGTATTGTGAATACAGTGTTACATCCAATAGACTAAAAAAAAAAAATATATAAACATTTTTTTACCTGCTAAATAATTTGTACCTAATAATTATTTTTCAAGGTTTGAACAGAATACTGAATAGCATTAATACGCAAAACATCATATTTTACTATACTTAAATTAGATTAGATCGAAAAACGAGGCACGAGTACATTACAGTATACTATTAAACAATACACATATTTATAAAACAATAAATAATAGTACTTATTTGAATTTTGAGACTAAAAAAAAAAATATGATGAAGTACAAAATACATGTGTATATATAACTGTATTTTTTAATAATTCGAAAATGTTTATCTTTATCCTTTTTACGTAAAACAAACATTTACTTCGTTCTTTCCAATGGTAAAATATGTTTATAATTCCATAAATATGTAGACAAAAAATGTTAATGTATCTTAAGGGGATTTAAAGCGGTCGGTTTATTTTTGACGTTTTAGATCAAAAAGCCTGAAAAATGTTGACTTCTTAGGATGGTCCGATTTTATTTCTGTAAAGATATCCAAGTTCTTTGGTTACTTTACTAAGTTATGTCGGGAACAAATTTTTTATTTTTTTATGTAAACTATTTTTTAAATTTAATTTATATAAATACAGGAAACTGATTTTTTAAAATAAAAATCGGTTTCCTACATAACCGCTTCCACGCCCCCCCCCCCCTATGTCTTATTTTAAGACATATTTAATTCAAGTTGTTGACAAAGTACTGTGTTGAAAAATATATTAGTAGTGTAAAATATCTATGTATGTATATAAATTAATTTAAGTTTTCTTTTTTAATAAAGAAGCTAAGTGAAAACCTACCTGAGAAAAATGTTTTATTAGTAAAGTTTGAATGTAGGTATGTTATGTATTTAAATAATAATAATTACATTCGTTTTGGTAAAATAAAATCTAAAAGTATTCAAATGTACCTTAACTTAACAATGTATCAAATGGGATCCGACTTACATATAAAGTTTCATTGAGGGCTCTAAAATTAATTTTCCCTGGGCCATGGCCCGTGGTGAGTTAGTCTAACCATTTTTTAAATAGTTATAGTGTATCAAGACTACATATCTTTTAGCTGTGTACAACCAATCTTTTGATACTAATTATTTAAAAATAAACGAAATTCCATTAACATTAACAATCAGTACAAAAATACATAAATTATTAAAAATATAGACTATATTACATACCAAAATACATGTGTTCATGTATAAATTTAAATATAGATACAACATGTTAATGCGCAAAAAACAATTTATATTTATTACTTTAGTTCATTAATATAGTTTAATAAGATATTGTGAAGCTAGTAATAACATATTAATGTTAGACAAGAGCTTACGTGTTTATTTTTTAACATAATTACTAAAAATTGGTATTTTTATATAGAGCTAAAATAATTAAATACATTGTTTTGTTAAATGAGAATTTTATTAGAAGTTTTAAAAAAAAACTATTAAAAACAGAATCTCCATATTACTTGTATATTTTAATATTTCTAAATGGCAAGATTTAAAAGAAACAAATAATAATAATAACAATTTACTAGAGTAACATATTATATGCTAGAACCATTAATGAAATACATTTTTTTAGAGAGCATTTAGGGAAAATGATTAAGTAGTTATAACTAAAGCAAATAATAAATCTAACATTAAGTAGTTACAAGCAGAATTTTTAATTTTGGTAAAAAACATAGATTGGTTATTTAAATATTGCTTAATCGTTCTTTTTTTTTATTGAAATGGAATAATAGATTACATTTCAAGATTTCAACCCTTGATGTTTACGTTTTATTCTTGCATATGGTCCAATACTCGGATCCATGATAAAATCATATAAAACACTGGTCCATGAATGATGTTGTGGCAAATTATCATAAAATTCAGGAGCTATTTTTTTCACCTTATTTAAAAAAAAATATATTATAGTTTCATAAACGTTAATATTACCCTTTCGGCAGTCTCGCGGGTTACTATTCATCCCACTGTTATTTTTTATGTCGGAACTTTAGTTATTGGTTTTTAAAAACGAATAAGTCTTATTTTAGATACCTTTTAGTTATACTTCCCACTATCATTTATTATCATTTATCACCATTAACAATTTAGTTATCTCTCAGACTCTTTTGTATATGGTTGGGTACACATGTATCCCATGCGACTAACCGTGTAACTTTTTTCTCCTATGTTAATATTTATATTAGATTTAATTAAATATTTTTTTTGTAACTTAATAATTATATCTGAAAAGTTACTTTGTTATGTTTTTTTAATTTATAGTATTTTTTTTTAAACTAAAAAGTTTAGATTATATGAACAATTTTTTTAAATTGTTTATGTAATATAAATTAATCATAGTGTTTCAAAGGTATTCATTATTAAGTATTGGGATACAATAGTAATCCGCACGCAACTGATGTTACAAATTAAGGGTTAATGTTTAATGAAATGTATACAATAATATATATTAGCTAAGTTACAATAAATAATTAATACGAGTTTAATATTTTTACCAGTGGTAGTTTTGATCCAGGGACAAATGGAAAGTCGTGGTGCTCGTTATGATATCCAACATTAAATGTTATTAAATTTAAGGGTCCATAGTATGAATATGTCTCATATCCTTTGTTAAACATATAATGTTCAGAAATAAAATGCCCAGCTACTGGATGTAAACCCATGGCCATTAACGAACCAGCCAACATATATGTTAGTACTTTACCACCTAAAAGTAATAAATAACATTATGTGTACTAAGGAGATAAAATTTAAGTTATTATTTCTGTATGCAAATGAAGTATATTTGTAAAAAGGTATTATATTATAAGTAATATCATATAAATCTAAGGTCAAATAGGACAATTGCTAATAAATAGAGGCTGGGAGTAATTAAAAAAAATTTTTATGAAGGAAAAACATCAGTTTGTTATATTTGTATAACAAGGAAGTTGCATGAAAGAAACATGTTTTATCAATACTTAAAAAACAAAAAAAAAGTCTATGCAAACCGCAAAAACATGTATATATATATACACATGTTTTTGCAAAAAAATGTATTTGAAAATAAGTTTTGTGGTGCCAGCTGAAGTTTCTGCCTGTTTAGTAAAACACGTCTAATCTACAAGATCCTAAACTTGTATAGTAGAATAAAAAGACAGAAATACTTTTCCAAAAAAACCAAAACTTTAAAAATTAATATTTTGTATTAGGTTTATGCAAAACTTATATTTACTTATAACCATATAAATAAAAATATATTACATTATATAAAACTTCCTTACTATATAATATGTTCATATTTTATAATTGAAAATATTGCAAATGTATGATTATTTTATTAAAAATTACATCTGCCCAATTTTTTTTCAAATTCTTCCTCCCTTGACCTTATTTAAGTGTATTAAAAAAAAAGGTTTAGCTTTATATTTTTTATAATCAAGTGTTAGTTATAAAATTATCATACCTAAATAAACGTATATCCAAAAATTGAACGCTAGTTGAATAGTCACACTTAGAATTTCCATAGAAGTTGGGTTTTTAGGATAAACATACATTGGCCTAAAAGCGTAAAAAATAGGCTGCAGTAATACCCATACAAATTTACCAAATGTGGAGTTGAACAACTTGGCTTCAAAATAAGTGGGTATATCTGTATCCAGTTTTTCATCACCCTGATACTGAAATCAAATTTGCAAAAAAGAATGTATCAATTGTATTATTAAAAGCAAAAGGTACATATATTAATTATTTTTTTTATACAAATTAAGTTATGTCAATGATTATTAAGTTCCATGTGTGATAACTATATATGATGACTGATGAGCTATTATTGTAGCAAGTCATAAATATTTAAAAATGAACAAATTTAAAAACCTATAATACAATGAACTACTATATTAACGAAAATAAAATCTTTAAATACGATTATCTTGAAACAAGAATTTTTCAGTTAATTCATTACTGCGCCATCAAAGCATTTTTTCTTCATTGTAATTTACTATCTTTAAGTTTCATATTACTATTTACTTTATATTATAATGTAAAAACAACAATTTGATACTTGACTTTGTCAGATTATAACTATTAACAAATTATATTAGTTTATCATTATGTGATAAGAGTGTAATACTTCTATTTATAATAAAAGAAAGTGTTAAGTGATGTATAAACACGTCAAGTGTCTAAACTACCAAACTATATCACCTAACTAGTTCAACCTTGGTAAATAACAAAGTTAGTTTACTGACCAAAATATGTAATAAAATACACGATAAATAATATTAATTTTTTGTATCCATCCTTTAAACTAAACAAGTAAAGATCAGTCACCTTCATCCTCTCACTTTACTTTTTTATGTACCTACTTCATACATCTATATGATTATTTATAACTTATACTATTCACTCACTTGTTTATTTTTTTAGTCTACCTATTCTTATAAAATTCCAGTTGCGTTAATATTCATAAGCACATACTTAGTTTCATAAGATCATAAAAATCAATCATTATATTATAATATTATATAATAATAATAATAATACTATAATATACTCATTAAGAAGGAAATTTCCATAATTTGAATGTGTAAAAATTAACAAATATATTTTAATAATAGATTATAGTTACCCGGTGATGCTCAAGATGATAATGTTTAAATGTAATAGAAAAAGGTAAACCGATAGGTAAATTGGCAAACATACCCAATATTTTATTTCTCATTGGGTACTTTGGGCCAAAACCCATATTATGAGCAATTTCATGAACAGCTAAAAAATGAAAATACAAATATTTAAAATTTAATAAAAAAACAACATACAATATACTTACCAAGCATTAATGAGTGATTAACAATACCACCAAAACAATAGGCCAATATTATAACATAAGACCATCGTAAATCCTTAATAAAGTAAAAGGACAATAGTTGTAACAATGTGGTTACTATAACAATCCACTTAAAACTTTTATCTGGACCATAAAGTTTTTTTATTTCTGGATATTTTTCTAAAAACAAAAATTGGACTAAATATAGTCTTTAAGAAAAAAAATTTACAATTCGTAAATTATTAAATACCCAGATGTATAAACTACCTAACCTACTAAACCAATAAAATACATTTTTAAAATGATAAGACGAGAGGTATTCAATAATAACTATGAATATCGTAATATCATTTTTAAAAAAAAAAATGTCAGTTTAAAATACTCTACGTAAAGTAAAATATTTAATTTTACAAATTATGTAAAAATGAGTGCGGAAGGCAACGGGAAACCACTTCATTATACCCACTTCCCCAGGATGGCAACTCTCCTGAAACGACAAGGTCACCAGGCCTTTAGTAGAAGAAGAGAAGATGTAAAAATGTATAAATAAGGTGTACTTATAACGCATACATACCCTATATTTATGTAAAAACATGTTTCTAATTTAAAAAAATATGCAGCAGCCTTAAACAGTTTTAAAAATTCTTAGTTTAAAAAAATATTTAATTTAAACAATAAAAAAAAATAAATAAATAAATATAATCATTATGATAACTAAAGCCTTATTTGTAAATGAATAATATTAAAATTACCTTAATTTAATCAAAAAAAGGAGAAAGGTCAAAGATACATTTAAAGATTATCTGACCTTAATATATTACAAACAAATACACATTTATAACTAATTATAGCTAAAACTAATTAGAGAGTTTTTGGGTCAAAATGGTATAATTAGTACAATACATACATGTTTTCACACATACTAATATGATTACATTTTAGTGGGTTTGTTATTCACATATTATTTAAAATAACATAACTCTTAAGATATAACTTATGGAAATTAAAAAAAAAATTCATGGAATGTAATTGTTTTAAAAACATTTTAAATTTTTTATCAAGATTAGGGTAATATTACATAAGCTCCGCTGCAAATTAAACCACAAAATAGTATGTTTAATTAAATTATACAGTATTTCATTACTAATATATATAATTATTTATTTGTCTGAGAATAATAACCATTGTTTTAAAATATGGTTTATATTTGAAAACACTCACTAATTATTTTACTGATAATTATGTAGTTTGCGTTATCGAGTCACAATAAATTTGTTGACGTAATTAAACATATATTAAGCTAACATTTTTTTCAATAGTAAATTATGATTTGCTTTTTAAATGGAAAATTTTTAGTAAAAAGAGAAGTATAAAACCAATTTTTTATTAAAATTAAAATTAAATGAATTAATATTTGTGTATGTATGATTTTGACAAATTGAGTTCCCTATAGAAATAGATACCTAATAGCATATAAATGTATCCATTTATATACTATGTATATAAAACAATTCTTTGATTAAAATTCTTTTGTTTAAAAAGATAATGTTCGTAAAAAAATAATTTGATCAAAGCAAAAAACTGACATAGTAATATTATAATTAATACAATTTAAATTTTAGGCGAGGTGGTGCAAGACTTGATTCATCTACACTTGCTGCTAGAACATTTGAGATGATATCCCCCACATAAAAATAAAATAACATGCTAAGCTATTAATTATAAATGTTTTGTTTTACCTAAGATTATTTTCCTTCGAGTGGCGTGTGGTTCTTCAGTGTAGCTCCACTCGAAATCAGATCTGGAAACCCGCGCTCCCATAGTCCGAATGGATACTTACTGATTCAATGACTAGTTAACTATATTTTCCGATCAGAAAGTTAGCGTGGAAAATACAGTAATCGAGATCCGCGTTAGAGGAGAAAAAACTAAAGACTGAATAAAAACATGAACATCAGTTATTTAATGGACTGAGATAAATCATCGCAAGGTATAATGGAAATCGGACGTCCGATATAGGACAATTCGGCGAAGGATGCACAAATATTGTGTGTTGCCATGGTATTGTCATTAAGTATAATAAAATCGGTAATAAAAAAATAATTTTTTCATACATGTGTATAGGTACATCGTATCGCATAATAATCGTTGTCAGCGTAATTACTGAATACAAGAGCATCCAATGGCACCAGGCACAGACCGTACTCTGTAGTCAACCGCCTGAGAGCTGGCCGTCAGCTTGTAGGATTAAATCGAAGTAGATCAAATTCCGAGTGTCATAACTCATACATTGAAAAAATAGATAAGATTAGTTCACTACTTTTTCAATGAAGTGATAATACTATGTTTTTTTTGCAAATCAGTAATCTCAAAACGAAAATGGCCGTCGACACGCCGGTTACTGATAAAAAAAAATTATTATCATTCAACATTATCGATCGCGATTTTGAATGCTGTATTCTTTGCCCAAGTGACTCAACGCGGTGGACGTGGATGTAAACGAGTACGAGTCATAGGAATATAACAAGACTTATAGATTATAATACATAAATCTTGTGAATATGGAATACTCACTGTCAACTGATTAACATATTTTAGTACAATTTACAAAGGATAATACCTGGTATGACCTATAGGCCGTACCGTTATCTGTACCATACCATTTCTCAAAATACATAGGTAAACATCGTAGACGTAATTTTGCTAGAAAGACATCATAAGCGGAAATCTATTAAAAAAAGTTGGGAGCTGCATTTTTGCACATAAACCTTATCAGCGTGGACTTAGATCCTACAGTTCTAACTTTGCAAATTCTTAATTAAATATTCGATTTTTTTGATAATATTAAAATGCGGCATGCAAAACGGAATAGGGTACCTATAAAAATACTAAATTCAACTCATTTTATGTTTTTTATAATAGGATTCATTAAAACTTCAATTTCTCAAACTCTTCTCAAAAAATGTTTTTTTAAATAAAAAAATTAATAAAATCTTAAATGTTTGGATTTTATTCTGCATTTGTAAATAATTGCAAATAATCTTCTTAAACTAGATCGGTCCCCTAGATTAATATTTCTCAATTTAGAAATCCAATGTCAATTTATATAAAAAATTAAACATTAAATTTAAAATAAATACTAAATAGTAAGCAGAGATGTGCATTATTCGAATAAAAATAATATTTGTTTTATAAATAATCATCTAGATAACAAATTAGTCAAGTGGAAATTATTCGAATAATTTTCAAACATATTATTCAATTAATTTAAATTGTGAAAACATTTTGGATAATTTTTTATAAATAAATACATTTCGAAAAAATGATTTGAATAAAGTTTTATAAGAATTATTTTTATTTGAATAGTTTGCACAACTCTGGTAGGAATACAAATAAATAAAATAGGCCTAACAATAATTTTTAAATTAATATATATTATTTTTTAATTTCAGTTTTAATTGTTACAGTGCCTACATTGATGAAAGAATCATATAGTGGTGAGACTATAAATATTTTTATATTATTACTTCATAAGTTAAAAATTAAATTTTTTTAATTTAGTTTTATTTGTTTTTATATTGTATACTATAAAAACTCATATTTGTGGTCATAAAAAATTAATAATTAACTATCTAAATTATAAAATTAGGTATATTTAATTTTCCTTATATATCCACCATGTACATTTCTAAAAATTTAGTGGTGTAACCGAAATACAATAGACATTGTGGAATTTGAACCTAGTGTCACTTGAACGTCCTTGATATTAAAATTAAATCTGGTAGTTATATTGTGATGGTGTATGAGTACACTATTATTTTAATAATTATCGTTGTCTGTTGATGATTAATATATACCTAATAAATACATAAGTATACTTATTCAGAATGGAAATACCATAGGTACTTACAGTGATAAAACCAACGTTTTGAATTTTTTTCGGTATTATCGTGAAAAACGGCAAGTAACTATTATATGAGCATCGACTGGATGCAGGGTAATCTATTTAATTTAAGATACTTATTTTCTTGGATAATATATAGGAACAAATTTACTTTACTGGACACTTTTTTTTTTGCCAAATCATAGTGTTTTTTTACGCTGATTACGAACCTGAAGTCGATCATTGGCGGACTTTTCTAGTTCCAAAGTAATAGGTACTTTAAATTTGCATATTTCCGAGTGTATAACAACAGCCGACGGCCCCCGCGCCATACATTTGTCGGCGACGCGAGTGCGCGCTGATACAGTATTATTAAATAATTAATTACTTTTATTATTAAAATAATACTATCAATGATGTAATATCAATATTGTATGGAATTTTTTTTACGTTTTAAAGCTTTTACGTTAGTAAATCTTTAACTATATAAAACGTAGGGAGACGTCTGCCGGTTTCGAGAGCTGATTTGAGCCCCGTAGGAAAAAGTAGCTTGCCTAAAGGAATTAACTAACCTAATACTGGATACCACTCTGGTAGCGTCAACGACCTAAGGAACATTACCTAACCTAACCTTTCCTCGGACCTCTCGTCGCCGCCAAATGTGCGGTGCAACAGCGGCCGCCGTCTATTATTATACCTACACGCGGAAATATGCAAATTTCAAGTAGCTAATAGTTTTAAACTAGAGGTGTCCGTCTATTTCTGATTACAGATTCGCAATCAGCGTAAAAAACACCATAATACGGCACAAAAAGATGCCCGGTAAAGTAAAATTTGCCTTTTTTAGTATTTTCCAGAACGCTATCGACTTAAATGGGAATCTATACTTGACTTTATTAAGTAAGAAATAATTTGTTGAACATTTTGACTGGTCTAATAACTTTAAAAGTAAGTTTTATATTTACATTTATATATATTATATATTTACATTTATATTTATATATAAGGTGTCTAAAATCAAATAACTTTTGTTCTAGATTAAATTTTAAGATTTTTTTTTTAAATTAATTTATACTCATTTGCGCTATAACCACTACGTTTTTTATGGCACTGTTTTTTGTAACATTTTTTCTTTAAATTCAAGATACACATTTTATTAAGGCCCCTGGATACCGACCGGTTTTTTCAGTAAAAAAATATCATTTTTTGTGCATTGCACAGGTTGAACCAGTGATCCGATAAGCAATCGAAAAACAGATATAATTCGTCATGAAGTTTCTTGAGATCGGTCAGAGCACTTTTTTTAGTTTTAAATTTTAACCCTTTCCAAATTTTATTTAAAAAATTGAAATTGTATAAAATGTTCAAACGTGTTTTATGCGTAGTAGAAATAAAATATCAAAAAAAGTACGCTGACCGATCTCAAGTAAACTTCATGACGATTCAAATAGTTTTTCAGATTTCTTATCGGATCACTGGTTCAGCCTATGCGATGGACAAAATATGTACTATTTATTAACTAAAATGGCTTTTACTCATAGACAAAATTATTTAAATTGAAAATAAAAATATGAGGTTTATAAAAATTAACGAGTAAATTAATTGACATGGTCGAAATTTATTAAAACCACTTTTTTCTTAAATATTACCTATACAAAACTCCTTAAAAATGGTCGGTATCCATGGGCCTTAAGAATAATTTGCTAAAAATTTTGATTGATCGTTAACCAGTTTTCGATAATTACTTTTTATGTTATTATATAAGACGGGAGATGAAGTGCGGTAGAGTAAGAGCATAGAGTTACTTTTATCTGCACGTTTTACTTTACCGCACTCCAGTTCCCATCCTACACATTAAACTTAAATAACTTTAAAAGTAATTATTCAAAACTGATTATCGACCAGATAACATTTTCAGAAAATTATTCTTAATAAAAATCTTAAAAAAAAAAAGTAACCAAAAAATAAAATAGTTAAGAGCAATACAAACTGTGGGGCTATACGCGTAAATGAATATAAATTATTAGTCTTTAAAAAAAAACGTATATTCATTTTACGTTACCATTTAAGTTTCAAAAGTTGATTGAGCTCCGGAAAATACCAAAAAAGGTCAATACTTAGTAATTTTATAATATTAAAAAATAACATAAATAAAAATGTTTTCGAAAATAAAAACTATAAAATTGTTATTGCTTACCGAGAAGATGAGTGTCTTACGTTTAATTAATCACCCTTTATACTATATACAAATTGACAATTGTACTTATTCAATAGAACTCATAAGTACCTTAAAGTAAAGTTTTTCGTACTGAATTCGAGTTTTGTCGAGTTTGAGTGTTGCATTACGCAACGACGAATTTTTATTTTTTTCTTAAGTATATTTAGTATTTACAATCTGTATATCAAACATACAAGTTGGATAATTAATGTTACTTAACATGAACTTTGATAGAAGAAGTCTAACGACCCCACTTTATTTACGAACTTATTTGTTTAGGAGCTTTGTGTAGTTTCTAGAAGGTCTCTTAGTCATCTTCTTTTGAGTCGGCATGTTAGGTATACGAGGTTTATGAGAGTTGAGACTATGTAGGTTTGAAATTAAAGAGTTTGAATAATTTTTTTTTTTGCTATGGAAGGTTTTGTATTGTTTAGTTGCTATTTCTGTTATTGTTTGTATTTTTAGGTCTTTACCGGTTACGGGCGCTCCGCTTGCTGGGCGAGCAATCGTCCTGTGAAAAGAAGCCGCCGTGTCAAGAATTTGTCAAGAAATCATCTCATGATGGTCTTCATGTCCTGATAAGCTAAATAATGATGATATAGTTATAGGTTTATAGTGTTGAAACGCATCAGTACTGCGTCCTAGCGATCCTGGATGACATTTGCGGCTGAGTAACTGGTCAGGGGTCGTCAGATGGCGCAGCGCAGCGTCCCGAGGCGGCCGACCGTACCCGTCGGTTGCTGTTGAAGAACTTAATTTTAGGGCACACGGTGTATTAACCCGAAAACCCGAGTGAGCCTCCATTACGTTACCTGATGCTCCCTTTCCCGGGTAGGTTAGGTACCCCTCCTACAGCAATCGTATATGACTCAAAGTTTATGTTCCATTTACGATCATACTACGTGGCTTCTACAAACTAGTGGTCCATAAATACCGGTGCGTCATACCGATTGCTTACCTTCAGTTAAGCCAATGCCTAATAGTATTCGCAAACTATTATTGCCGACCTAAGACACCCCCCCCCCCGGTCTTAAGCCCACCTTTCACTTTCCGCTCACTCCTAATAGAGTATTCTAGCCGTCAACAGGTCACGAAGTAACCGACACCGAACAGGCCATGCCGTCAATACGCCCGTACCCGTCAACAGGCCCACCTACAATCAACCGGCCACGCAATAAGGCTTCACCATCATCTCCACAGGCCTCGCCGTACTCACTCCTTGTTTGATCCATACTCTGGGCC